GTGAATATAGTGGCTTCCCACCATCCCACCCCACATAACCATGTACACCACTCCGCCGCCGATAAAAAAGGATCGTATTCCTTTGTATTCGCGCGCGTAGTGTACGACCTTAAGACATTGTGCGCACTTTTCACCACGATATGTAGCATACATCAAACAAAATAAAAACAGCGTTTGCGATTGAATTAGCGCGGAGGCAAGTGGATAAACAAGAACACGAAACACAGAGGAACACCGGCGCACACTATGTACACGATGGGGTAGAGGGAAGAACACGAAGCACAGAAGGCCACGGACGTTGAAAAAGGACTAAATTAATGAAGGCAGCTAGCCATTCTGAAAAGCACGAACCACGGACGAGCACGCTACCATGAAAACTTGGAATGGCAAGAATATGATGGGAGCGTATGGATCACGGAAAGTAACTGAAGTAATGACACCCCAACATGCTGAAAAACACGGGCCACGGAAACGGTAAGGTGCACGGAAAGCAATTCTTCCATAACACCACGGTAGAACATGAAGCACAGACGATGAACCTAACACAAAGCCACAGGAGAGCATAAGCGGGAAATCACCGAGCATTGGAGCACGATACCAGGGTAGAGCCAAGCCACGGAGCACAGTGTTACGGTAGCTCACAATAGCTCGGACGACAGACCAACCACGATACCGCGAGATAATACGATTGCACGGACGGTGGTCCAGCCACTAAACCGTGAGATAACACGCAGCAACGGGAGTTATAGACGGCAAATCGCGGAGCCACAAAAGGCGATTCCACGGCAGATCAGCCACGGAAGCACCGGGGAGCGCTTTTGGATATCACGATTGCACAACGTGGATCAGTATGCCATTGTTGAATATAATAACACGGGAAACACAGATGCACTACGCGAGCACGAAAGCATAGGATGGCAGAATTATACTGCGCTCGCATGATAGCGCGATAACGCGGTCGATGAAGTCACACCAGGAGAGCACGTTACACGGGGGACGGATCCATATAACTACGGAATAGCACCCGTCGGCGAGGGTACCGTCGATGAGACGCCATGGACCATGAATGAATATGGACCACTAAACCTGTAAACCCACTCAAGACCTTGTGAACACGGAAAAATAGCAGCCACGAAAGGGTGTCGTACTACTGAAAAGCATGAACCCAAAAGAGAGAGCGCATTAACGGAAAAGGGCAATATCCACGGAGGAACATAGACGCCAACCAGTAGTACGGAGCAACGGACGCGTACGAATTAACGATACCGTACACTGCCACATGAGACTACGAAATGACAGGTGTTTTAAGTACACGACACAACATCGCACGGGGATGGCCGAAGCCTCGGGGTACAAGATCAGACTGAAAGCACACAACACACGAAGTACTTAAAATTGCGGCCACCTTATCTCCAACAAACCATGCCACTCCGCCGCGTAGCGGCGGCGAACGGCTAGTCTTACCTCCCTAGTGGAGTCTGGTGTGCGTCTGTCAGTCCGTCCGAGGGTAGGGTTCTAAAATGTAACGCAAATACGCGCGTTCTACTGGCTGCCGAGCGCAGCGAAGGCGGCCTCGGTTTGCTAAAATCGAATTATGTGGTGTACACACTGTATGTGGTCAACACATCGTACTTAAAATGCACCGTTCAAATTTCATTTTGCCCCCATTTTTAACGCTGGAGCGCCACCTCACGCAAAGGGCGCTGCCTGTGCGCGCGTTAGTTAGCATTGGTAGAAGGCGCCAACGCGCACACACGTAGTATATCGTCGTAGGAGCTGTTTGAAAAAATTGTAGGCCTTGGTGACTTATATTTCGGCTTAAATGAAGCCTTTAGTACTTATTGGTTATAATATGATTTGTTTTAGCTTTGTAGCATTTTTTTTACTTTCTAAGATAATTTTGCTTAGTACTAATCTAAAGTCTCATATTATTGCTTGCAGACGTTTGTAGTAGTACTACACAAAATTAATTTAGTAGCGCTTATCAAATTAAATGCACTTTATATCTAATACTAATAACCTTAAAGTATTGTATCATATTTGCGTTAGATGAAGATGCACAATTTATTATTAATATTAAATATTTAAAATATGAATATAGTGGCTTCCACCGCACATAACCATGTACACTTCTCCGCCACTAAAAAAAAGAACGTTTTCTTTGTATTAGCGCGTATTTTGCACCCCTAAGAGCATGTGCGCCCTCTCGAACACGATACGTAACATACATGCAGTGCAGTGGGAGCAGTGTTTGTGATTGAATTAGCGTAGAGGCACGTGATTAAACAAGAACACGAAACACGGAGGAACACCGAGTCAGATCATGTACATAACGCGATAGAAGGAACAGCTTGAAATACGGAAAGTCACGGACGAAATAAGAATAGGCCACGAAATTTCATACGAAGCACGAACCAGGGAAGAGCCTGAAAAACACGGAGCCGCACGATCAGATGACAGCGGGTGAGAGCTGAAATAATGAAACGCCAGCACGCTGAAAAAGTACGGACCAAGAGAGAGCACGTTCACAGTCACGGTAGACCACGCAGCTGTGCGAGTGCACGGAAAGGAGTTCTCCCACCACAGGTTACCCCGAAGCACGGTCGACGGCCAAACACAAATTCACGGGAGAGTATAAGCGGGAAATCACTGAACATTGGAGTACGATACGAGGACAGCCCACCGACCCACGGCACACGATACTACGGTAGCTAACGATAGCCTGGACGACCGATCAACGTCAACACCACGCCATAAACGACAGCATAGACGTTGGATTAACCACTAAACCGTGGGAGAACACGCAGCCACGCGAAATCACCGAACCACGGAGCCGGGTACCAGTGTAGAGCCTGAGGTCACCTAGCATCGAGGGACAATAGTGCATTACAACATGATTGCACGGACGACGTGCCAGCCACGAAGTCACAGGGAAACGATTCGGGATACCACGGTTGCACACCGCGGAGCACGATACCATTGTAGAACACGATACGCGGGCAAAGCAGATGCACTACGCGAGCACAATACCGTAGACATCATTGCCATACCGCGATTGCACGATAGCATGGTAGCGCGGTCGATTAAACGGGCGACGGAACCACACGACTGCATGGAGGCACCAAACCACGGAATAGCACCCTAGACCGAAGACCATCAAGCCACGGAACACCATACCAGTGTAGAACCTGAGCTTACCGAGCCACGAAGGACAGTAGTACATGAGAACACGATTGCGCAGACGGTGGACGAGCCACGAAATAAACGAGGGGGCTCTTAGGGGGACCACGATTCCACATTGTGGAGTACGATGCCATTGCAAAACACAATAGCACGGGCAACGCAGGTGCACTACGCGAGCACAATACCATAGACAGCATTACCACACCGCGATTGCACGATAGTGTGATACCGCGGTCGATGGAACCTCACCAGGAGAGCACGATACACGGGTGATGGAATAATATGACTGCGTGAATGCGCCAAACCACGAAATAGCACTCTTCGGCCAGAGTACCAGCGATGGGAGGCCAACGGCCACGAAAGAGGCAAATAGTTAAGTACACGAAGCCAAGATCTACTAGGGTGAACGACGCTAACAAAGTACGCGACACCAGGAAGCATCTACATCTGCGGCCACCGCATCTACAACAAACCATGCCACTCCGCCGCGTAGCGGCGGCGAACGGCTAGTCTTAAACATCTACTGCAGCAACCTGTCTGTCCGTCACACTAAATTGTCGTGCCTGTCACGCTTTTCCGGACAAATCATTGGATAAAATAATTTACATATTCCTACTGGCTGCCGAGCGCAGCGAAGGTGGCCCCGATTGGCCTAAAAGCTGCCGAGCGCAGCGAGGCGGCCCAAATCGGCACCCTGCGGGCCTTTGGGCCCGCCTGAGCCAAATCTGCCAACCTACCGTGCGAGTAGTGAAGCGAGCCCGTGGCGAGCGGAACGGAGGCAAAATACAAGGAACGACATTCATTCTTTCCCGCCGCGTAGCGGCGGCACTCGGCTAGTGATGAATCAATAACCGATGGGTGGCACGAACAAGCGATCGTTGAGGCGATTTTTTTCGGACACCTCAATGTTTTACTTCGTACATGTCAAGTACATGCACCGTGGGGATCCACGTCTTAAGTTTGTAGGCATCAGCAAACGCTGGGTGATCGTTGACGACTCCACCGAGAGGCACGTCGAATATAGAAAAGAGACTTTCCCTTTACTGAATCTGTCATTAGGACTTCAGGCTGGCTTTCTAGAGGACATTTTTTTCGAGACTGCAGCGGATCGAGTTCGCACTTGGATAGCCCCACATGAAATGCTTGGGCGCCTGCTGGTGCTGTCAGTGATAGGGGGAGTGGGGACACCGCGCGCGGCCAAAAGATCGGGCTCGCTTTCGAGCATTGCTCGGCGAAGCAAAGTGCTTCATAAAATAAAAAGCCGGAGAGTTAGAAGCTCACCCAACACTGTAAAGCTGCTGCCGTAAAGCGTCGTCGAGAGCCCCTACATAGAATGGTTTTCTATGGCCGCCGGCGTTGGAACGCCCCTCGCCGCGAGGACAAGCCAAATAAAGAGAGCAAAAGGCTGTAAGTGGCGCTACGCTTCTTCGCGATGCACTCATGATCGCCAATAAGCAAAGTGTTGCGTCGTGCCAACACGCGAAGACACACAGACCACAGCATGTCTATCCCACTCAGCAGCAGCTATGCCGACACTTTCCAAGCGAGCAAATGCCGTCTGTCTTTCGCTATGCTGGCCTGATACGAGGCGACAACCTTTGAACAGAGTCGGGGCGGCACGATAAAAATAAGGAGTGAAAGCCTACAAATTAGCGAGGCGACACCTTATTGGTGGTACGGTCAGACGAGGCATCTTCATGCCGGTTCGTTGCCCTAACACACTCGAACTTGTTGTTGCCTTTTGCCTCGCACTCACTCTGCTATTCCGCTGCGTCTAAGAAGAGCGCTACGACATCACAGTCTCGTTATCTGCAGGGTGCAGGCCCGTGACGCTCCTTGCTGTTAGCCTCGATGACACTGCGCTCAACGGTGTTCGACTCGAGCGGCAGTCGCGTTGCGAGTCTCGGCGACACACGACTCAATGTGCAGATCTCCATCGATGAGGAGGCTGAGACTGAGACGCAAGCGCGCCCAGAGCTTGTCAAATGCCCCGAGCTGCTGCTTACAGGGATGGAGCTGGAGACGCGCACGACGCTGCGCATTCTTCACAAGAAGGGCCGACGCTTCGAGTCCCCCTGGGAGCCCTTCTTCGTCGGTGTCTACGCGCACACACTCTTCTACTACGCAAATCTGGGCGATTGGCCGCGTGGTGTTATCCCGCTGGCGGACGCAGAGGTCAAGGCTGTGGACCGTATCTTCCGTCATGGTGATGCGTCCTGCGACGGCGACGACTGCGGCCCGTGCTGGAAAGTCACGTCCAGTAGCGGTCGGGTTCTTCTCTTCCGCGCTCCATCGTACGATGCACGCTTGGAGTGGATAGAGCAACTGCGTCAAGCCACAGGAACATTCAGGAAGGTCAGCATGGACGGTAAGGCTGCGCTGGCATTGGCACGAAGACTATCTAGGTCCTACAGCTCTGCTTCTTCGACATCCGCTTCGTCTACCGTGATTCTGCAGTCACCACGACATCGGAGGAGAAAGCGCATGTCTGAAGACGACTCGGAACAGACGGAGATGCTTCGTGATGCGCTGCGTATGGTGGAGAAACAGAGAAAAGAGATCGAAGAACTTCAGAAGCGTCTGAAGAAGTTTGAGACGAAGGATAAGGAACTACAGAAGGCAGGTGAAAGTGAAAACGAGCAGATTGAAAGCGACGCTGACGAAGAGATCGATCTGGATACGATGCTGGATGGGGACGCTATTGAGATATGTACTGGTAAGGTTTTTCGAGGCTCGGCCATTTCTGATGTGCTTTCAGAAGATGATGACACCTCAAGCACTGAAGGGGATGACAACGACGCCGACGGCGAGAAAGAGAGTGTTGGCGTTAAGCGAGAAGAAGGAAGAGAGAACATACAGAGTCTGAGTCTAGTGGATGAGTCGATGGAGACGCTCTCAAATCACGAGGATGAGCTGGATACTCAAGAGGGTGCGGAGATTGAGACAGAGATCTCGAGCTCTTATGAGGAGGCACCGTCATCTTTAAAGCAAGAGTCTGCGCCTGTCGCAGAATATTCTAAGCAGCAGCCGCTATCAATGCATCCGAAGCAAGACAATACAGTTTCAATAAAATCTCCCAAGCGAGACAAGATGCCAGTGCCAGAACCTGAATCTGAACGTACAGAGTCTACGTCATCTTCATGGAGCTCAAAATCAACTAACTGCTGCGATGCAGTCGAGAAGGATTCGATTCAACAGCAAGCAACGGAATTGGCGGAGATGGCACGAAACATGCACAAGGATGATACTGATTCAGCCTCGACTCGTGAAAGCAGTGAGGACGGTTCTTTTTTCTCCAGTTTCAAAGGGTCAAATAGCGGCACTGGCGTCTTTGATTCCTGTGCGAGCTCTGGAAATGACTTTTTGCAGCAGCAAGCGATGGAACTTGCAGAAATTGCCCGCAATCTGCAGTCTTCATTCCGATTAGATCCCAAACCATCGAAGGTATGCTGTTTATCACCTGTGCTCGTCCGTATTCCATTGTACTGATGCTAATCGCTCTGTCTTGGTATCAGATATCTCTGAAAACATCTTCCAGTTCGTCGTCACTCTTTGAGTCGCAGTCGTCATTGTCTGGTATGTGTTGGCTGAAAGTTTGACAGTCAAAGTGTGTTAGTGCTAATAAGTCTGATGTGTACTGTATGAAGATGTCACCGACTTCGGTCTGAACCAGATCAACTCAAACGAAAGCAATGAAAGCATTTTCTCCATTACACAAGATGATCTGTTCTTCGATGAAGATGAGGAAGGAGAAATCGAGCGTCTTTCCGAGTTTGAGGCGGTATGTCATGTGGCACGATGCAAATTTGTGGTCTCTTGAAAGTTTACTAATAACTATTGTGTACCTACAGTCGGACAGTCAGTTTTTGGAGGCGAGTGGCTTCTTGGACTCGATCCACCAGGTCATGAAGGACTTTATTGTGTCTTCCCAGCCAGATCAGTCACGCCAGCCGGACCAATTAGTCATCAGTGATGAAATTATTGCTGAAATTCGCCAAGGGATCGACGCTGAACCTTCAAAGAGAGTGGATGACCTCGACGAAGCTCACAGGCAACGTGCTTTACGCTCCGACTCGCCTGCTACAGACTCGTCCATGGATACAAGTCCGAGGATACGCAGTCTCTTCTCCCACGCTAGATCAGCACGCGACTTTTTCAATGGAGACATTGAGATGTCCGTACGAGCCCCGAAAGATCTTCCATCACTAGTGGTCGAAGAGACCATGTCTGTTGTCGCCTCGATCCTACAAAGTGCAGGCCGAGAAGATAAAATGCTGTCGCTTGCTCCTTTTCTTCGGGTTTTTGGCAGTCGCAACCGTCTGAGCCACTTGATCCGATGGGCAATCGAGATTGAAGTCGCGTCGGTCATCAACGTAGCGACGCTCTTCCGTTCGGATGATTACGCGAGTCGATTAGTCTCCACGTATAGCAAAGCGATCGGGTCAAAGTTCATCCGTGTGGCTCTATCGGATCCCATCCGCCAGATATTTAAGCTGAAGATTGCCGACATGGAGCTCAACCCGCACAAGGAGGAGTCTCTGCAGGATGAGACTCAAGTGGATACCAACGCTGCCAATTTGATGCGGACGTGTCAAAACATCATCGACTCGATCGTGAAAAATACGCACTGTGTAAGTATTTCGCACGGTGAGAGACTGACATTGTGGCTCTTGCTGACTTGAATTGTTTCTCGATGTTTACAGATACCGTCGTCTTATTTCCACATTTGCTCGCACTTAAACTCGAAAGTCATCAGCCGTTTTGATGGCTCAAAGGAGGGTGTTGAGGCGGAGGACGCATCGACGCTCACTCGGGTACGTGTCTTTCGTCAGGTGGTTAATTGTCTTTGCTCGAGTTTAATTTGTGCCTTTCCGTGCAGTCTGTAATCGGAGGTTTCCTATTCCTTCGTTTCGTGTGTCCTGCCATCACTACCCCGCATTTGTACGGCCTTACGAAGCAGCTTCCGCCACCTGAGACTCGACGAGCTCTTGTGCTAGTCACCAAGCTACTGTTCAAGACTGCAACTGGTGTGAAGTTTGGAGACCGAGAGCCCCAATTCAAGTATGTGCAGTCAGTGACGTGGTTTCATTTTCGCCATTTACTAATTGTTGTTTAATTGTAGGGTTCTTAATCCTTTCATTGAGAAAAATTCGCCAGCAATTCAGCAGCTTTTTGCCAATCTGGCCATGTCACCTAGCCAAGATATTGATGAGTGCTTCGCTTCGGATAGTCGTAAGATCTACTCCAACGTATCCTCATCGCAGTTGGTCGAGGATCTAGAGACTATTCGCTCAATTTCGGAGAAAAACCTGGAAGAGATAAGCAAGAAACTGGAGGATTGCGACTCCGCACTCGAAGTGGCCGAGAATTTCAAGTCGGCCGTGTTGTACACGACTGACTCCTTCCAGAAGAGCTCACTAACGAAAAAATTGAGTGCCAACATGAAATTTCTCAGCGGCTTTGGCAAGAAGCCCCGGTCCAGAAAGCAGTCTGACCAGTGATCAAGGCCAGAGAAAGACTGGTACAAACATCGTGAAGGTGTTACCGTACGAGTTTTGCCGATGCCGAGACGATGTTGACAGCCAAGTGTTCTATACTTTATGTATTACTTCAGCGAAGTACAATGTGTAAGTCCCGTAGCGTATCCACCACCACAGGTGGCACCGATCCAGAATCAAGGCTCTTGTGTAGACAACTGGACAAATGAAAACGCATGATGCCAAATGTTGAACACAATATGATTCTTTATTCCAAGTGCAAGTAGCCGCAACGCATTCGTCTAACAAAGTCTACGTATGTAACTACAACCTACACATCAGGATAAGCTCCGTGAGCAGCAGAACCGTTAGTGGGGCGGTTGACGGGTGCAGCGGAACCATCCTGAGTAGGAGCAAGACTGTAGGGGCTAGCATTCAGCGGGATGGCGGAGAAATCGCTCGTGGAGAAGGCACGACGCGTGCGCGACAACGACGAGTTCATTCCTGCCTCGGTGAGTCTCTGCTCTTCTTGTTGCTGCTTGCGTTGTGCGGCCTTGCGCTCCTCCTCCGACATGATGGCCTGCAGACGAATCGACGAGTCCTGCAGCGCACTGAGTTCCGACTCCGACATATTCCTCAGTACCGCGTTCAGCGTGTTGTCGCTCATAGCGTGCATTAGATCTTCTTTCTTCCCAGGACCAGCACCGCGGATGTCAGTCTCGCTGCCGCTAGCAGTCAGAGCGTTGATGAAACGCTGCTGCTCAAGGATGATGGAGCGCATCTGCTGCACTGACAGATCATCATCGCGTTCATCATTGCTCGAGTTGGCTCGCAGAATATCTTCAATCACCACGCCACGACTCAAAGCATTATTGTACAGTAGCCATGTCTGGATCTTGCCCGGAACGTAGAGCGCCGAGAGCAACAGAATGAGACTCAGCGAAACCAAACCCAGCACGGCGTCATGAACGAAGTAAAGCGTTCCAACAAAGCGCGAGTTGCTACCAAGGATCACAAGCGCCCAACAGCCCATAGCTGCAGCGAGATATCCCATACTCAGCAGCATCTGCCACATACCGTCCGCGTAGATGAAAGCGAGAATCAGACCAGCGCCCAGCACAATCACCAGAAGGAGCTTCAGGAAGCGAACAAGCCCGGTCTCGCCCGAACGCGACGAGGTGAAGAAGACAGCCTCTGCACTAAGATACACCGCGGCCATCGATAAGCAGATAAGCAGCGGAAGCCACGTGGTTTCCGTCAAGATCGAGTGATATTTGTCACTCGTCGAAGAGATAGAGACGGCGATCAACGCGAACAGCACGCCCTTGATCGTAATGCACGCCTTGGACCACGGTCGAAGCGTCGAAAAGTACGCGTTCTCCTCTTTGAACCACGCCTCCCACGATTGATCAGGGTTACCACCGTCACCACGCATCCATTTGAACCATAGACGGAAGTCCTCCATAACGTCAGACCATTCGAACGCCAGTGGGTTGAACCAGAACGGCGACCAGTACCATGACACGAACACAAGCCATAGCGACCATGTCAGCGCGAAGTACTGATTGCCGACCGTGAACTTGTAGTAAACGGAAAGCCCAATGGCAATCTCCACTGCAGCATAGAGGTGGCTGCTAGCGTAGAAACGATAAAGCTCATCAAAAGAAGAGTGCTTTGTCACGAATCCACGGCCGGTCGCACGATACTTGGCGCCACCAGCAAGAATCGTCTGTCCGAAGTAGAACCATTTCGTGCCAATGTGGAAAAGGAAGTACAGCGGGCCTCCAGTCACGAACAGGACAATGATCTCGTTCAACGCCGCCTTAAAGCCACGCTCGACTGAAATCGTCGCCAGCAGTGGCGCAGTAGTGAAGAATGCCACCGATCCAAGCATCAACTGCAGCTTACTTAGCAATACCGGTTCACGACCGCCAACACCCTCAACCGACAGCAGTGCACGCAATAAGTTGCAGTACAGCAGAAAGTACACAGTCCAGATGATGATTGACATCGCCAGGTAGAAGCCCACATGGTTGTAGTAGAACGACAACAACTTGAAAAAGTCGAGACGCTGGCTAATACGGTACACGTCACGCGATAGCGATTGCTCAGCTGCACCCTGCGCTAACTTTGCCTCGAACTTGTAGATCTGCTGCATTCCCACATCACGTCCCTTGCCGCACTTGGTGTACTCCGGGAAAGTCACGGAACCGCCACGCATACAATTGTTGTAGCCAGCAAAGATATCTTCACTGAGGTTGATACCCTTACTGGCCTTGCTAATACCGCCACGCGTTATGAAGAAAAGTTTGTTGAACACATCGGGATGACCGTAGTGCAGACGGCTACGCAGCGGACGCGCCAACGTACGTTGACTTAGCGTCACAAACGACGTCTCCTGCAGCGCCATGTAGTTTGCCAGCGAGCTCACACTACCCGTGAATATGTGCTCCGGGATACCCACGATCGTGTACGGCCGGTCTGCCGTACCCTTGTCAAACTCTTCGAGTAGGTTTCGCATCTTCAAGTTCTCTTCAAGATATCCATCCTGGTTCATATCGATAGCCTGCAGATTTTCACCGCGAGTGAAAACAATGGCTGCGTTCTGGTTCTCAGGTTTGCCCTCGCCCAAGATAGGATTGCCAGGCAGACGCACGCGGTAGATCTCGTGAACTGAGCCGAGTTCCTCGCCGCCCTTGATGAGCACCGAGAAGTATGACTGTTCCTTTTGGTAGTTCACACGGACCTCATCGATGTATGCCACGCGCAAGTTAGGGAATCGGTGCAGCAAAAACTCAATGTCACTCGCCTTCGGGTCGTTGTTCTTCTTCTGACGTCCATAAATTTGGCAGGCCACCACGTACGTGAACTTTGTGTTGATCAACTCCTCAAGTTTCTGTTGGGGAACTTGTTCGATCTCAGCCAGCAAACGAATGGCAGCTTCACCGTACATCATACCCTGCACCGTACGTGACAGTGTCTGGCCACGCAGAGAAGCCCACATACGCAACTCGATCGCAGTCTCCGGGTCTTTCCAGATGTTCTTCTTAGGCTTCACACGCTCCAAGAAGTTCTCCCAGTCTCGCTTGTACAGCGTCTGCAAGAACAACAGCGTGTGCACGTCCAGACCGTCCTGTTTGCTTTCCAAATCCTTTCTGGAGTACAGAACGTCTTCGGCATAGAACGGAGTGATGACGCTCCACGACTTCATTTCCTCGAGCAGCGGAGCAAGCGGCATGTCCATGAACAGCGAATTCACGAAGAACAGCAAGCGGCGACGAGCATCGTACGACTGGGGCTCCGCATCAATCTTCTGCAAGGTCAAAAGTCCGTGCAGATGCGATAACACCACATCGGTGTGGCTCTCAAACGCTGTGAGAGTGATTTGTTCACCCGTATAATTATCGTCCCACATAAAACCACGCTCCTGTGTAAGAATCCACGTCAACCGATCCGAAATTCCCTTGCTTTCAGCGAACACGGGGTCTTGCTCGTGGACGTGGGCCAGAATCTCCTTTCCAAGATTCAGGAACGTACGCACGCGCTCGCGAATCTGCATGATGTGAGAGCTGGAGATAGAATGAGTAAGCTTGCCATTGTTGACAGCTGGTTTGTGCGTCTGCTGCTGCATACGTGCAATACGCGCAACACCAGAGCCACGACTACGACGAGGTGGTTCGAGACCCAACGACGACAGACCTGTCGTACTTGCAGACTTAGTAAGCCCCGACGAAGGACGGTAGGAGCTAGACTGTTGCGGAAACTCGTACGAAGCGTAGTCGGATGGGTCTTTGCGAACAGGGATAACCTTGGCGTTGCTCTTCCATCCTCGGACGTTGGCCTTCAAGAGCGAGATCAAACCCGCCAAAGCGCGGCCACATGGAGCCACCTTTTGCAAGTTCAGCGCACGGAACACACCACGAGCGGCCCACGAGTTGAGCACACATGTGATGTACTTCACATCATTCGCGTGACAGGGACCAAGCACATTAACCAGCACCCAGTTCGCAAGCTCCCATATCTCTTCAAGTGACTCCTCCACCATTGGGTTATCACTGAGAATTTCCAGTAGTTTGTCTTGCAGCACACGCTCCGAGACCTTGCCGTTGTTCGACGAGTAAATATCAAGAATGTGCGACGTAAAGTTCTCGAAGCAACCAGCAAGTTGGAACTGCGGCAGGTAAATTTCGCGCTGGTAGCCGTCAAGACGGTGGAAATGAAGCAGAGATTTCTCCTTGTTTGAGATCAAATCATCCGCGCGCATGCTATCGATGATAGTGTCCCAGGCCACAGAGAACGAGAACCACTTGCGGCGACGAGCAGCTTGGCGCTCCGTAGGCGTCTGTTTGCGACGCGAGAAAGACAGTAACGGAGTCTCGTCGTCATGGGCTGATGTCCGGCGCTGCAACAGGAGGCGGGACGTCGGATCCGCACCACCGGCAACACGATCAAGCACCTCGTGACCTACTGATGTCGATCCATACGACGTGCCATTGCTGTCCGAGAGTTGAAGTCCCGTCTTGGAGCTTCGCGCAATCACCTTTGCGTTAAATGCATCCACAGCACGACTGAACGCAGATCGAACGCGGGTGAAGTTGCGAATCTCACCAATGCGCGACGAAAAGCCAACGAACGTACCCGTGAATGCCATCCAGATCGAGTTCCAAATCGTAATGTCAACGCAGAACACCAAGAAGAACGGCATCCAGTTTAGGAAGATGAGGAACACTGTCGTAATCATGCTCACGTTGTTCTCCACGTGGTCAGCATACAGCAGAAAGCTCGGCACCACAAGCGGGTAGATCTCAAACTCGTAGCCGAAGTATAACTTCCAAGCCAATAGCGACATCCAGAAGAACTGGTAGCCTACGCTCATCGACTCCGGATCCAGCACGTTGTCACCCACGTATAAGCGGTTCATCGGACTCACAATGTCACGGATAAATGCAACAGGAGCAAACGCCGTGCGCCGTGTCCAGTTGGTAAGACCAGGCATCACTTGCATGACGCAGTTAATCAGGCCTGGCACGTGGAATAGCACCGCGGTCACGTAGTACGACTGCCACCAGGCACCACCGTACGCCCACGCATACCAGTATAACATCGACGTGACCACCACAAGAGCCAGATGCAGAAACACACGCATCACGGAACGCGCCATTGAGAATACTTTCCGGTGCTCGTCGTAAACAGCGAAAATGTCGAGTCCATCACGTAAAATGTCCAGCAAGAAGTGAGATATCAAAGTGCTCGAGATAATCTTGCAGGCGTCCTGGAAGTCCATCTCTTGCTCATTCGCGAACGCGAGCATTGCCAAGAAGTGGAACGCGATGACGTGGAAGTTGAAGATACGGTTGAAAGCGCGCAGCGGTAGCAGCCACGTACGCTTCTCAACGAACGTCTTGGCAGACTCGGTGAATCCCTCGGCAATACTTTGACGCTTGTTGAACAAGTTGGAGCCGTTCGAGCCACCGTTGAGTCCACCTCGAGCCTTTTGGGCTCCAAGGCCAGTCAGACCTTGACGTTGCTGCTGCTTCTGTTTGTAGATCATAGCCGGATTGGGTGACGCCAAATCAATGACCTCTTCGTGTTTGTAGTCATACTTCAGACATCTCTTCGTCCAGAAGAACTCGTTGAAGTCGTCGTAGTTGTGACGGTCCTCATGGTCGTACTTTGAAGTCATCTCAGCCTTCAGCAAGCCGTAGACAGGTGTCACCACCGTATCCAAAAAGTATCCAGCCTCGCGCTCTGAGTGACGGACGGACGGGAACTCTTCTTTCATCTTGTGAAACAGGAAACACAGGAACTCAGGCGAGTGACGCAGGTTGCTGGCCTCACCCCAGATAAAGAAGAACAGACACAAGTCCACCGACATCTCGTCCACCATTGTGAGACCACCCTGCGGTGGTCGCTGCTCGCCCCAGTTCAGAGGCTGGATCTTAAGCTTGCAGCACCAGTTGTTGTAGTTGGAAAACACCAAATCGTGCAGCTTGCGGTAAGGATTTCCGCTCTTTCGCGAGTTGTTGGTGAGAAGCACCACAACGTGTTCCGTCTGGTTGCGGAAGTTGTCAAGTTGGAAGCCAAACGAGCGCTGCACGTTCACAGCGATACGGAAGATGGTACTGAACTGCTGCATGTTGTACGGCAGCTTGGATGGCGAGAAAAAATTCACCGTAGTCTTCTCCACGCCCGCATCATCATCAGGTCTCCAAGCCCGCGCGTCAGAACTTGCTGACACCGCGGGGAACTTGGCCTCACGCGGGTTGGTGCGCAGCGTCACGCCACGCATACGGAGGTATCCATACGTAGTGCTCACCGCACTGAGTACGACAAGCAGAATATACATCGCCAGGCAATATTTCGTGCAGAAACCCACGTGGTCATCGTTGTTACCATTGAAAATGAAGCCAGCGAGATTCCACGCATTCTCAGCAATATCGCCTTCACTCACCCACAGCGATACAGAGAGCAGAAACGCCAAACTACCAAGCAAAGAGGTCGACAGAATCACAACGTGCTTCGTGTCGATCTGTGGAGCAGATCCTAGCGCGATTCCCACACCAACCAGTAATGCAGTGATCACGCGCGTAGACAGCAAAGGCACGAATTGGCTAGCTATCACCCCGCCATACAGTCCAAGCATTGCACCAAGCGAAACCGGGTACACCAAGCAACAAAGACCGCCAAGTACCAGCCCGCACAGACACGCAAGCGCAGTCTGAATCCAAGCAAGGTCTACGGGGGCGCTTGAACTAAGAGCTCCATAAAAGGCTGCAGTCAGCCACAACGAGCTGGCGTACGCTGACAACATCTTCGGTTGGGACGTGCCACGGAACGCCATGAAGAGACCCAGCAGCGCATTAACCACAGCGAAAAGATGCAGCAGACCGATGTCCACACGTAGTGAAACATACCACGGGAGACCGTATTCCACTGGGTGGGCGTAGATCCAATCTTTCGTCGGGTAGGCTTCCGGATTGCATCCCACCGAAGTATACCGGTTCGGGTTGCCTTGATAGACGCGTACGTAGTCGATCGTAAAGTTGGAGGGCCATAGCGAGTTACAAATCTGCCCATCGCACGGTGGAGAGAACTTCTCCGAAACAGCCGTACTCAGAATGAGATAACTAGGCTCCACGGGGATCTGGCGAGGGGGGACAGCACCTACCCACTTATTCAGCGCGGATCCAGGGATTTCGAACACGAAGCTGTTGTCCATCCACCATCGAATGTAACCTTCGGGACCAGGAGACCAGTCCAGGCGGAACAAGTGGAACGACTTGAACGCATTGGACTCGAGCTGTGTCAGAGCCGAAATGGAGTCGAGGCCCATCTCACCGTAGTAGTCGCTATTGATTTTCGTGAACTCACCAAACTTGAGACCCTGGTACCATTGTCCAGGAGCAGGGAGCGACTCTGAAGCCGGGCGCATATCATCGTACAGACTGGGACGGATCTGCAGGGACGTGGAGATGAATGCAGGCTCATCACGAGCACGAATCTGCGCTTCAATCACATCGATTTCCGTGGCTCCACGACCCTGAAAGGGGTTCAAGCCGTACATCTCTGGATACGATTCCTTGTCGTGTTTGTTGGTCAGATTGCCACAGGCATTGATCTTCTGCTTGACCTTCTCGGCCTTCTCCACGTAGGGGGCGCAATAGTCGAAGCTCCACGGCCACGTACCGTCCTGGGATCCGAGGAATGGCGCACGGCCGATATTGCCCATGATCCAGATAGCAGGCCACGTGCCGGGGATACCCCACTTGCCGGGCAGAATGGCCCTTACCTCGACGTAGCCGCCGGTGTAACAGAACTTGTTCCATGTCTGCACAGCACCGCTGACGTACTTAGTGCCACGGTAGCGCTGTTTGGGCTTGGAGGTCGTGATGATGAGGTTGCCCTTGTCGATCTGCACAGCCTGGGGCAAAAAGTAGTGCTGCCCCATGTTGGTGGTATCGCGGAGGTTGACTGCCGTCCATTTGGAGTCGAAACCCGACTCGAACGTGCGCTTGGAGCTATTAAACTCGTCCGAGAAGATGAGCTTGTACTCGTTGTTGTAGCTCGAGTTGCCACCGAAGTTGAAGGCACCCTTGGGGACTGATATGTTGTAGAACTTGGGGTCCGTGTCCGGATCGATCCATTGCCGCTGCAAGGCCGTGAGGTTTTGGCGGGCACGCTGCAGCGCGTTCGTGATAGGCAATAACGCCTCACACATCGCTGACAGCAGCAGCGCCGCTAGTAAAAGCTGCGCCAATTGTGCCGGAGCGCGCGCCATGATCGGCGAGCTTCTTCGAGAAAGACTAATGGCAGCGCCGGCCTGCAGCAAAATGCGGAATGAAGCTTACACAGATCTTCCGCATGTCTGGTTTTCACCTAAAGGATGCGCTAAACGGGCCGGGTCAGTGACACTCAGCATACAGAAAATAGGATATTTTTGGCCCGCCCGCGATGGACAATTTCGAAAGGTGATAATCGCCATCCAAACTCCGGTGGACCGGAGCCCAGCTGGACGGGAACCAAGCACCAACTGCGGATACCGCCATGCTTTCTCTTCTTTTGTCCCTCGTGGTGGGGACTATATCACTCGCAAATACATTTGAATTCTCATGCCGCGGTGACTGCGGAGTCAGCCCCAGTGGCGGCGAATGTCACACTCTTTGCTGGCTGCAGCCCCAACGGACTCCATCGGGAGATTTTTAACAAGACTGCTCTGAAGTTGAAAAATTCTGATTTAATGCTGCAGCCGCGATTGGCGCCAGCGACTCATGAGCATCGCCAGAAAAGTGTGCGATATTACGAGCCAAACTGTTTGCGAGGCGCCACCGCAAGCTGTGAACAGTGTTAACCGAACACGGATCGCGTCAAGCAAAGATCGGGCTGCTCGTTGCAGTTGGAATCAAATCACGAGATAAGTAGCCACTGGTCTCCAAAGACATTGCACCAGCCATCTTGCTGTATTAAAAACGCTGCAGGCTCGCCGGAAACGGTATCAACGGTTGGACCCGAAGCAGCCCGCAGACCGACCATTGGTCGGCGACCGAACCTTTTGAGCCAAGTCTTATCAGGTCGCTGTAGCACGAGTACACGGTCGGATGTCTTGCAACGTCGCGGCGACTTGTCATCAAACTTGATGGCATCACCAAGCGCATGTCGCCTGTGATTATCACTGATAATTTATCAGGCTTGCGCATCAACCTTGACAAGCAATGGTGTAGTGCACACAGAATCGAAGCACCGTACCGGTATCCTTCAAGATTCTTGGTGCTCTTTATTGAGGCAGATTACTGTACTCCACTTCAATTTTTTAAGAATTATGTACGGTACATACGTGAATCAAAACGTGGTCCACATCATCTCTCAGGTTGTGAGCTCCGTGCTCCGCCACACAGTTCGCGCATCACTTCGTTCCTGCTCGACATCATGTGGCTCCGCCGGTCTTGTCTGTCTTCTCTGGCGCGCGCGCGCTCGAGCCAACGCTTATTTACCCAACGCAATGCACCCGTGCTGGCACACACCTTTTCCACGGATTACTCTGCTGTCACGGCTGAAAACATCCGCAATGTTGCCATTGTAGCCCACGTTGATCATGGCAAAACGACGCTGGTTGACCAGCTTCTCAAGCACGGTGGTACTCAACTATCCGAAGAGCGCGTCATGGATTCTATCGACCTTGAGCGCGAGCGCGGCATCACGATCATGTCAAAGTGCACGCGCGTCGAATACAACGGCCATGTGCTTAATATCGTAGACACACCCGGCCACGCTGACTTTGGCGGGGAGGTCGAGCGTATTTTGAGTATGGTGGACGGCGTGGTCTTGGTCGTGGATGCTACAGAAGGGCCCATGTCCCAAACCAAGTTCGTGCTGACTAAGGCGCTGCATCGCGGCCTCAAACCTCTAGTTGTTGTCAACAAGGTGGACCGTGACACTAGTCGCCTGGACGGTTCGGTGGAGAACGAGCTCTTCGACATGTTCGTGGCTCTTGATGCCGATGACGATCAGCTGGAATTTCCTGTGCTTTATGCTTCTGCTAAGCAGGGCTGGGCCGTGCACGACCTTGACAACTCGGACGAGTCGCGGGACAGCATGATGCCGCTCCTGGATGAAATCACGCGCTACGTTCCTTCCCCTGAAGCCAATGCTGACAAGCCGTTTGCCATGGCTGTTACCATGATTGGCCACGACCCGTACGTGGGCCGTCTGGCCACTGGTCGCGTTCACGCTGGAACTGTCAAGGTAACATACGTCGCTTTGGCTTGCTTTATATTCCATCATAATGTGATGGTAACACTGATTGTTACTACGCTTTTTTAAAATCAGATTGGCGATTCTATCCAAGTGATGAAACGCGATAGCAAGAAGCTCGAGACCGGCCGTGTTACGAAGATGTTTGTCACACGTGGTGTTGCCAAGTCGGAGATCACGTCGGCCACGGCTGGTACGTTTCTTTTTGAAGGTATACTACTTAAAGTGGGCTCTGTATCTTACGCGCTGCGTTTTGCCATTTCTAACAGGTGATATCATCACCATCGCTGGTGTCAACGCGTACGTGTCCGACACGATTGCCGATGTTGCAGTTACGGAGCCCATTCCGTCTCCGCAGCTGGACCCTCCCACGATTTCCATGACGTTTGGTGTGAACGACGCGCCGACCGCAGGCAAGGAGGGCAAATTTCTCACGTCTTCTCACATCAAACAGCGTCTTGAGCGCGAGTGCGAGGTACGTATTTCTGTTCACGGTTGTTCCTCAGTTCCCGGGGTGAGTTGTTAATTTTTGTTGTTGTCATTGACGTTACCAGAACAACGTTGCCATTTCCATTTCTCCCAGCGCGTCGTCCGAAGCCTTCGACGTCCACGGTCGTGGTGAACTTCAGCTCGCTATTCTGATTGAAGAAATGCGCCGCGAGGGCTTCGAGATGGCCGTTTCAGCTCCCCAGGTACTTTTCCAGACGGACCCGGACACAAACCAAAAGCTGGAACCCATCGAAGAAGTGACGATCGATGTTGACTCCGACTTCTCCGGTACGGTTATTGACAAGCTTTCAACTCGTGGTGGTGAAATCATTGAGTTCAAGGAGATGCACGACAAAGTGCGTCTTCAGTTCAAGATCCCTAGTCGTTGCCTTATGGGATACCGCAGTGAGGTTCGTAAAGTATTGCGTTTATCGTTAGTATCAGAAATACGCGTGATATCTCACTCTTTCACATTTGTAGATCAAGACTGACACGCGCGGAAGTGGTATCTTGAACTCGATTTTTCACGGTTACTCCCCGTTCCAGGGCACGGCAACCCCTCCATCGAAGGGCAAGCTCATCTCCTCGTCAGGAGGCGCATGCACTGTACGAATAAGCTAACCTGCGGGTATTTCTTTACCCATGCTTTTAATGTCCTGACAATCAATCGTACGTGTTCAATGCAGGCGTATGCGCTTAACTCGCTGGAAGACCGCGGCGAGATGTTTGTCAAGCCTGGCGACGAGGTTTACGAGGGCATGATCGTTGGCGAGCACAGCCGCCCCACGGACATTGAGATCAACCCCACCAAAGAGAAGAAGCTCACGAATATGCGCGCTGCCGGCACGGATGAGAACATCAAGCTGTCTCCCATCCGCCAGATGTCGCTTGAAGACGTGGTTACCTACATCGGTGAGGACGAGATGATCGATGTGTCCCCTACTAAGATCCGCATGCGAAAGCGTGAGCTGACCGCCAACGGCCGCAAGCGGATGCAGGGCAAGAAAAAGTAAGCTTTGGTCAGCAGCATGGCTCCCGACCACGCTCGTGGCGGGCTTTTGCCGAACATCTGAGCAATTCGTATTCTTATAGAGGCAACAGTAGAAGACATAGAGCTAGTGTACACGCTTGCAATGAGGACGTATTCTTTCATGTTTGTTCACCAAGTTGAAGTGCTTACGTCACTGAAGCGCAACATTCGTCAAACGCAACATAAAGCACAATGTTGCTTGATTGATCATTAGGTTGCACGATCTAAGGTCGAGGCGAGTGGCGAGTCATTTGATCCACCATGGCGCTGTCTCCGGATGATGAGAGCGCGTACAACATGCTGTCCATGAAGATGCAGCGCGACGTCAACTGTTTGGCTGATACGGACCGCAGCGTGCGCCGCCGTGCTGCCGACAAGCTCAATCGTGCGATACAGAATGAGGCGACGCGTGTGTCTACGGCGGTCCTGCGTACTCTATGCGCCTCCAACCTGCAGCGTCCGCTGCTGCTATGCGCCGAGAGTGACGTTGTCGAAAAGTGTCGTGAGCGAGCACTTACGTCTCTACTGCTCTTGTGCGAGCACGGGGCGCTGGAACCGTCGGACGCGACACTGAAGGAGTTGGTGGCACTGGTGGACGCTAGACTGGGCAAAATGCCATACCCTGAGCCTACGGAGGAGATCCGTCTTTTAATTCTACAATTGCTGTACGCGTTCCTGAAGCAGTTCGCTGCCGTTAAAGACTCACCGACGTCGTTGCGCGACGTAATCACGGAATTGGCAAACGCATTGGGCAAGACGGCGGTGGACCCGTTCCCGGACGCCAAGAAGATGTCGGCGGAGTGCGTCATTCTCATTTCCAAGAACTGGAAAAGCGGCGTGGGAATGCAAATCGGTACAATCGTGCGACCTATGGTGGTTAATCTAAGCCACCAACACAGTCGTGTGCGTGTATGTGCTTTGCAAGCACTGGAGGCTGCGGTTCCTTGTGGTTCAGAAGCTTTGCCAGAGCTCATAAAGGAGGTGCTGCTACCAGCAGTTAATAAGGTCATTTTTGATCATGCGCCGTCTGTGAGAAGGCAACTGGTCATCACACTGGCTGCGTGGCTTGGTCAGATTGAGCAGGTTCAGCAGTTTGAAGCGTCCATTTTCCCGATTTTCCTGGCTGGTGTCGTCGATGAATCTCCTGAAGTACGAGCGCTTTCACTCGCCAAGTTAAATGAGCTTTCAGCCATCTGGGAGACTCGGGGTGAAGACGGAGGTGTCAAATCAGGCGATGTGGAGCTTATGGAGGTGGATGCGGAGGCTGCGAAAATTACGCCGCCTCTTTTCTTCGATACTCGCCCGCCTCTTGGTGCCCGAAAACTTGCTACAAGTATTCGAGCACAGGTGTTGCCGGATCTACTCGAGAAAACTGGAGACTGGACTGTGCATGTGCGCGAGCGTAACACTCAAATTCTTAGTGCTTATCTGGTTTTGCTGGAGCAGAACATGAACCCATTCCTCGATAAGGTTTTTGCAGCACTGGGCAAGATCTGCCGTGACGACGAAGAAGCCGTCTACAGCAGCGTGAAAGCATGCTTGGGCGTTGTTGGGTTTTACGCAGACTCGCACATGATTTTGGCTTCGTTGCTGCCGATGGTAGCTGGAAGATTGGCAGGACAGGACACTGCTCAACATCGCACAAATGGGCTAATTCTGTTGGGTATGAGCATTGAGGGGATGACAACAAAAACGATCGGATCTCACCTGGAGGTAAGAGGGGCTCCGATACAACTCGCACGCTACTTCTACTTCTTCGGGGCTGACTCAATTTTCCTCACTGGGAATTAATGTAGCTTATTACAGAGGCGCTGTGTGATGCTGGTCTGCGCGAATCCGAAGTTGCAGATCTACAAGATCAGTTGGCCGGTGTCATTTCAAGTATTATCAGGACTGCTGGACCACTACTCGCGCGAAAGGACGAGATCTCCTTTCGACTTTTCTGGGTACTAAACCATCTACTGGCCTCGTCTCCGGAAGCATCGGTTGCTCATGAAAGAGTACGTTGGCTTCACAAAGACCGGTGAGCTCTGAATGCGCTAGTGCTGACGTGCTTTTTTCAGGCGACCGAATCCATGGAGGAGCTAGCTTCGAAAGTGGAGCAACCTGTTGAGGTTTCTGATTAATGCTGGTATCATCCTTTTGAGAACTGCGATCTCTCATATGTCCGTTCTGTTTTCATGCTTTCAGGTGTTATACGTACGCTATATGGGCAAACTCCTAGAAAAGATGAGGCCCCCTACGGATGCTAGTGCAAGATGGCAAAAGAATGACCCAAACTGCGTACTATTCGACTCACTTTGCCGGCGTGGAGTAGCGGTATGAAATCCCTTTTGTCTGTCTTTGCTGCCCATGAACTGACTTTTATAACTTATCATGACAACTACGGTGTTTTTTGTTTGTTTTTATTTAGGCTTGTGGAGAAAACTTGGGCAAAATTGTGCCTGTACTTGTGGCCCACTTAGAACCAGATCAGGATGCTGACGTTCGACTCGCTTTTCTTGCGTTGTTGGAGACGATGCTAGGAACGGATGCCATCAGCCAGGTACGTTTTGATAGCAGATGGGTTTCACTAATATAGTTCATGCCGACCTGAACGCGCATGTCAATTCCTCCTGTCCATCAGGCCTTCAAGCCATATAGTGTGACATTGCTCCAGAGGGGTATCATCCCAAACATCGTGTGGCATGGAGGACGCGTTGCTGCCACCATTAGGTAGGTTGGTCCTTCTGTTTTAAGTCCCTTTGCAGGCTTCTGACACGGCGTGGTATTTCCAGAAAAGTGGCTGTAGCGTGCGCGTATACACTTCTTCGTCAGCGCATCGCCGACCAGCAATGCCTGTTTGAGACGGCTCCACAGGTACACCATCTCGAGGTCCTTCATCATCCCATTGGTTGCCGTTTGTGTTAATTAAGTGTGATCGTAGATGCTGCCTGTGCTCAAGTCTTCAATGGACGACTGCGATGCCAAGACTCGTCAACTGGTCTGCCTGGCGCTACAATACCTCTTCGTGGCATTGCCTGGGTGTTTGGGAGGTAAGACATGCATGTGAAAGCTTACTCTGGATACAGCATTTTGACTAGCCGCGATTTGTTGTTGTCTTTGACAGAGGATCCGGTTCATCAGCTTTATGCGGAGATTTTAAAGCGTCTGGACGATAGCAAAGATACTGTGCGCATAGCTGCTTGCGAGACGTTTACCACATTTCTAAAGGCCGCCCCGAAGGAGCATTTTAGAGGAACGATTATTGACTACACGATGGACTGCCTGTTTGTCCACCTAGATGATTCGGAGCCCGACATCCAGGTAAGCAAGCGTGCAAAACAGAGTCTCTTTTGGGATTTTTTTTACTGCTTTCAGATGTAATTAATTCATGCTTGGATGCAGGAGGCTGTCTTCAACGTTCTCAAGGAAACGGTAGTGATTGATGCCCCTCGACTGGCTAAAAAGGCGGAAGAGAATCGGACGCGTCACCAAAGTCCTCGATACTGCGATCAGCTTCAGGCGCTAGCGACTGTGCAGTCGGAATGAGCTAGGTTAGCCCCCAAAATGAGACTGTTTTGTCAAAACAAAGAATGCACAACCTCTCACCTCACAGCGCTTCAAGCCGTCTCGAGTTTCAGATTGTCTAAATTCTTGAAATAGGCAACCAAGTCCTCGATACGTTTCTTGTTATTTTCATCTTCGTTTTGTTGTCGCTCAAGTTTGAGTTGCTTCCTCTTGCGGAACGACGTTTTTGACGTTTTGAAGACGAAGATCGGCGGCGATTCCTGGCTCGTTGTATTCCCTGTTGACTTGTCAACCTTTTGTCTCTTAGACAGCACCTTCTTGCCAAGCCCTGCCCGAGCGCCATCCTTCCGCTTACTCTTACGCCCTGGCTTCACCGCATTCACCTCATTCTCCTGCGTAATAAAACGACGCATGGGCTCGCTTGTCATCATTTACATGTCATACTAGTGAAATAGCTGACCTTATCCTCGTCATAAGAGCGAGCTGCAAAGGTAATAACAAACATGTAGCGTCAGGCGTGCTATATTTTCTCACCGGCTTCGAGCCAGATGAGAAGCGAAGACGAACAGGTGGCCAGAGTGATATCCACTAACCGTCTTCGTCGGGCGTGTCGTTCAGCTGGCAGATCTTCCCCATGGGAGCCTCGCTTCTCTGTCGGCGTGTCTGCATCGCTGAGTGCGGGCTGAATAGCTGAAGTTGAAGTGACGTTCACTCTGCAGTAAGGATCTTAGGTCAGCGACGATTGGTCAATAAAAGATTTGCAATTATTTTTGATTCGCTAGTAAGGACTATTTTAGGCGAACCACAGTCTGCCAGCAGATTCTTTGGCACTTCTCTTCCCTCACGATCAGACAAGAACCATCAGCAATACCGACATGAAGGTCGCCTCCGAAGAGCCCCAAGGCACTATCACCGTGGAGGTTCCACAGCACGCGCTGCAGAAGTTTCGCAATCTGCTCCTCAAGGCGGTGGACATCCGGAATGTACGCGGGATCTCCCAGTTTTTCGGTCTAGGTGCGTTAAGTCGCCTTCCGTATATCATTTACGAGTCCTTCTTGACGCAGTCTTTTGCATGGCCTGCTATTAGGCGAGGAGAAGCCATTCAATGTGCCAGGACGCGACGTTCTGGCCTCACGGTGCCGTAAGAACGCGCTTTTTTTCAGCGCTAACTACGCCATCTCTGCTGCTCTTGTTGGCGTGGTCACCATGTACGTGGCTTTATAGTGTCAGAATACTTGTAGTGAGCAGGAGAGTAGTGTGCAAAACGTTGTGACCATTTCTGTTTGTTGATATTTGTGCAGTCTGCTGAACCCGTTCTTCCTGTTCGTACTGATCTGCCTGGGCGGCTTCTGGCTCTACATGTCCAGCGCGACGGCGAACGAGTCGCCCGAGAATCCGACGAAAATTATGGGACGCACAGTAACACCCGACCAGCGGAAGCTCGGCATGCTCGGTGGTACGTTGCTGATCTAGAAAAGTGTGGTGCTGATGATATTTGAGCTCACGAATATGTTTTGTTTGCTTTAGTGAGCGCTGCTGTCATTGTCGTTTTCGGAGGATCGATTCTTTTCACGATCTGCTCGGCCAGGTATGAGTTTACTATGTAAATGCTCGACAATCTTTGGCTGACTTTTGTACTATGATATCTTTACAGCGGCGCCCTTGCTATTTCACATGCTATCCTTCGAGACTGCCCCACTATCCGCGAGGAAGACGAGCTAGGCTTCTTGTCGAGCGAGGGTGACCAGATCGCAGACACTGTTTAAGCGTCATCAGCTAGGATAACTATGGAGGCCTGCATATATCGGTCTGAATGAAGTTACCAAATGTGACTCTCCCCCTAACACCGATACATGTCAATTCCCCAATAACCCTTGGCAATAATAAGTAAGAAGTACTACGTAGTATCCTGTAGGCTACGGATGCTCTACACTCACACCCCAAGCATCATGGCTTCTCCAAGTCTCCATGTATATCCCACCCTGCCTGTTTGTCTCGGATGGAGTCAGCGACAAGAATACGGTCGATTCCTGGTGCAGCTGGCCTTCGAGCACGGCGTTGACTTCTATGTTAGAACCCCTATTATCGTTGTTGACATTCATGTCATAGCAACAAAATTGACGATCGGATTACCAGATTGGATTTCCTACAGGACTGCCGTCTTCGACCGGGGTGGTGTCCAAGTTTTGAATAAGCGCCGCTCCAATCATGCCTGATAGAGCATTGGTGAGTATTTCCTAGCACAGTAGCAACCAGCGAGGGAAACTTACTGATATATTATTAAATCAGCTCGTGCAGTTCTGCGTCCACACTTCCTGTAATTATCAGGTGATCAGTACAGCTTACCGTACTGTGCTGCACAGTGTGCACGTGTTACGGTACATTTGAAAATTTGGTCGGTCCTAACAAATTATTTCGTATCACAGCTCTCACGAGTCGTGCTATCTTACTCGTCGTGAGTCAAGACGAGTAAGATAGCTCACAAGCCACAGCAATGAGGTATTGCAGCCTTTGACTACTGTATTTCTATCTTAATAGATAGTATTAATACATGTACTGTAGCCGGGAGCAATTTCCATAAATCAGTAGTTACTACTGAGATCGGTTGGTGCGTGTAAAGTACTGATCAGTAGTTGTCCCAAGCGTTAGATGTGTTACGCCTGGGTAGTAGCATAATAGTAATACACAGTGATGCTCAACCATCGAATGCATGAAGTAGAGCTACATGCTCTTACAAAACAACTTTCTCATTTCCATTTTATCCACGCCATGGCCCCTGTACTCCGCAACCTCTCGAAGAAGAAATTGGGCCGACCCAAAAAGCGCCTGCCCCGAACCTGCCCATCCTGCAAGGTCACCTTTAGCTCCGACTAAGCTAAAGAACCATTTAAACCGTCAACGCGGATGCGGTCCCAAGGCCGTAGCTCTTCAAAAGGCAAAAAGAAAAGAAGCGAACCGGTATTACAGAAAGGTAAATTCAATTAAAAAGAATTAGACAAGGTGGGGATGTGGGATTTTGAGTGCGACGGCTCTAGTGATGACGCTTTGGGCGACGAGGCCATGGAAAAGCCTAAGTAGAGGTTGTTTTGGAGACAACTTGTCCACTGCCAAGGGATTGGCTCAGTTAGACTGGACGCAGGTAGTAGATCTTCGCTAGAGTGATATTGAGTGTAGCATGATAGAAGTACTATTACCTATTTGGAAGTGGTAATATTAGAATATCATTTACTACAGGTTGTTCTGTGATTCCCACACGCATGACGTGGTTGTGAGCAAATTAATGCGAGTCACCTTCCAGCTTCCGTCAACTCCGTTGACATTGATAGCAAACGGGCACTCAATTTCGTCATAGGGAGGTGTCTTGTCGAAGAATTGCTGACCATTCAGCTTTTTGCAGACATACTTTGCATTTCCACTATCGTTTGCCTTGCTACTGAAAGCTTTTGACAAACAACTGAAAGCCGGACGATTGAGCAAGTTCTTTGCAGCGTTCTTGAATTGCCTTTTGAGATCCGTGAGTCTCGATCCCGATGTTCTCTCGCCGCTGGTACGCCACACTGTAGTTGCTCTTGCTACAGTCTGTCACTCCAATTGGTACATCTTGTCTCAACAAGCCAAGCGACCTGGCCATATCCAGCTCTGACACGTTCACCACGAAAGGAGCCGACCCGAAAGTGCGAGCTTTTCGTGTTTCGAGAGCGGAGCATTCGGTCAGTGTATTGTGTGCCTCGTGAAACTAACGAGCTGGTGAGAGGAAACAGAGAAATGGGCTTGTAGCAGTGAGAAACGAATGCACGACGACAACAATAGAAAACCAAGTCAACGTCTGTTGAGTGCCGTTGAATTTCCATATTAGATTAAAAAAATGTTGTTAGCATGCGCATCATATGTAGAATACTATACTATTTAATTTGAATATGAAATGAAGTACTATTTCATAAAGATTCGCTGACAATAGCAGTATTTACAAATCAAATCACCCGATCTCAGTAGTAACTACTGACTTATGGAAATTGCTCCTGTACGCTTCCTCTTATCACGTTTTGTTTGCGCTCGCCTTGCTCACGTTCGTTTGTGTTTCGTTTTATTCGACCTATAGGTTCGCATTGAGAAGGCAAGTGCGGGGTACGATTCCGGTATCATTGGTAAAAATAGCTAAGCCTGTCCGATAATACTTTCAGCGAGGATTACGAACGCATTAGGACATCGTTTTAAAGCTGGCGGGCGGTCAGTGCTTGATTCCAGGTCTCCAACCTGGAGAACACTACTTCCTGATTTGCTCTCTTTCGATCAACTCGTGTATGTCGTCGTCGCTGCGTTGGCGTCAAAGTGTTCCAACGAGCCCAGCCAATCAGCCAGCAATAAAGTCACCGCCATCAGCATTCAGCGTGTTCGATTCCGTCAACAACCGCTGCGCCTGGTGCTGCAGGAGCGCTCGCCCGGCTTCCTCTCCGACTTGAGCGTCAAGCTCTTAGCCGCGGTGACGAGTCTCGATGCAACGGCCAGGATGCGCTCACTTGAGGTCCCTCCCTGGTGTGACGGCGGCACGGAGCCACCAATGGAGCGGTGGAATGAGTCTTCTGCAGCGCCGACGGGCCTATCAACGCCTCCGCTGAGGGTGACCAAGTGGAGTTCTGGTGGTGGATGGGGATGGGGCGTTTCAACAGGCTCGAGGTACCCAAATTTAGAATTAGGGCAATATCGTGTACCCAAATGCACTTTGCCCGTGAATGAACAGCTAATTTCTTACACGTCCAACGTGGCGGTGTTATTACTTAAGTACCGGTAAATGAATAAGGACTCGTTATTAAGGCGGCGAAGCTTTCTCGTACAGGTGTTTCGCTGAACGACAACTACTATTAACCTTTTTCTACATGTAGTAGTAGCGATGAAGCTTCAATAGTGCGTCTATCTGATAAACTTTCTGGAATTTTAATTCAACGGTGGCGCTGCGCCTTTTGATTTCCTGCGCCGTCTTCGCTGTTACTTTAGAATGAGGCATACTTCATTATTAAAGACATTGCTATTCTGACAGCGGGATTTTTGTTTTGTTTTTTGTGTAAGCACCATATTGCTCTATTTCTAGCTCCGTTGTTATCCCATTCCAACCAATCTGAACTTGATGCTCTAACCAATAGCGCCCCAGAGAATTACCACGGTGACTACAGTCGCACATGTCATTCGGATACTCCGCTCTCATTGGTCGCATAGGTTACAGTTCCCAAAACCGGTCCAGCGTAACGTCGTCAAAGGGATATAAAAAGGGACCTTTTAAAATTGAATTAAACTGCGCCTTTTGGTGTACGTGGCAGTCTTTGCCCAATCAGCTCGAAGTGAGAATGCAGCTCCATTTCTTTTGCAACAAGCAGATCTACGCGGCTGTCCTGCACGAATTGATACGGAGGCTGTTCCCGTCGCGTACTGCGCGGAGTATGAGTGGCCTGCATGTTCGGCTAGATAGCACAGATTCCAACCGCGAATGGCGTTGCAGCTGGGTTCACTGTCAACTTCAGACCTGGTTCGTGTGTCCTAAAATTACATGTGGCTTTCACTAAAAACAATATTTGCAGAAACGACAGTGTGGCCCACAACTGGACAAGTGCATGTAGTCCTCAAGCGGTACAGTATCGAGACGACGACACCTCGGGTCATCGTTCCGCCCCCACTATCGAGGTCCACTGCATGCATCGTGTCTGGATGCCCGCCAGCGTCGCATTTCGCGGGGGAATTTTCTTGTTGTAGTTTTTGCTCAAACACAAATTAGGTATTGCGGGTAGGGCTAATGCAACTGCTGGCCGCTTTGGCACTTGCCATTCGGCAGCTCATTCCGGAATTTGCCTCATCAGCGGCACATCAAGACTCGCAGCAGCAGCTCCGCACTCCCCACCCCTCTATCATATTTCAAAATCCATGTGGGTATTTGGCTACGGGTCGATCGTCTGGAAGACGGAGTTCCCCGCGGAAGACACGGTATTTGGCTACGTCGAGGGCTGGCATCGCCGCTTTTGGCAGGGCAGCCCGGACCACCGCGGCTCACCCGAGGCCAAGGGCCGCGTCGTCACGCTCATCAGCCGTGAAGAGATGAAGAAGTTCGACGACGAGCACGCGCACCTGGCGGGCGATCACATTACTTGGGGCCGTCTGTACAAGGTGCCCGACGAGGAGGTGCAAGACACGCTCACCAAGCTTGACAACCGTGAGCAAGCGGGCTACGACCGCCAAATGGTTGAGGTGCATTGCGTCGACGGCGTTGTTCGCAAGGCGCTGGTCTACATCGCCACACCATCTAACTCGGACTTCCTCGGCCCGTCCCCCGTGGACGAAATGGCCAAAGAGATCGCTACTCGCAGCGGCTTCAGCGGCCCCAACTTCGAGTACCTCTTTAAGCTCTGCGACTGCATGCGCGCACTACAGGTCCGCGACCCGCACCTCATGTCGCTGGAAAAGGCCACGCGCAAGTACACGTCGGCTATGAGCTGGAGCACCAGCGACACTGGATGTGGTATACAGTAAACTAGAAGGCGCTCGACGACATATTCGCACCGACCGTCGAAGGCACAGCATGACTGTGTCTGTAAATTATTCCAATAGAGGCAAATGCAAATGCAAGCCAATTTCTGTCACCAAACAAATGATCTTCATCCATTGTTCACCTATCGTTGCCGTGGTGGTGAAACGACACAAGAGTGCATGTCGATGCACCAGTGTTGAGAAGTAGAAGTACACACGAACTGTACCACCTTATTATAGCATACCAGTCAGTACAGTAAGCAATGCTCACAAGAGTACATTTACGATTGACACGCAGCTCTTCCTGTGAGTGCAAGGTCGCGTACTCTGTGTGACATGTACTTCAAAGTACATGTACTACGGTAGCTTACTACAGCCTACATAAATTTACTTATAAGCGCTCGAGCCACGAATCGAGGAGCATGTGGAAATGTGGAGTTGTTTTAAGGAAAATCTTTTGCAGCGTGTTCCTCCATCATCATGCCGGTTCTGCTCGAGTAACTGCAAACAAACTGGCGTGTACGGTACGCAAGAGCTGGATGGGCAACGAGTGTTCGTTCCTGCGGGGCAAACAATCGAACTGCAGGCGTTCCACACTGCAGAGGTCAAGTTGCGGGAGAAAACAATCGACCGTGCAAGCAGACAACGTTTGCAGATTACCAAAAGCGCCAAAATTGAGGGAGTTGGAAGGCGATCAGAGAATTAAAGCGGCAGGGTATGAAGCCTCAGCAGTATCCTTGGAAAGGATGCCGCGATAGTTGCAGGCTAATAGAAAAATCGGCAGCAGTACAAATCAGTCGCCAAGAGCAACGATCTTTCGAAAGACAGGTTTCTTTTCGACATTGATATTCTGGCACATGTCCTAAGCGAATGCTTAATCCTCCCAAGCTAACGGCTTAGAGTAGTAAACGGATCAATGTTTATGGACTTACCCTGCTGGTTCTGCTGGCTGCTTTGCAGATTCGCCGGATTCATAAGCTGAGAAATGCTGTAATTCACGTTGCCCATACCTCCACGTGCAACAGGCTGTGGCTGCCCTGTAAAGGAGCCTTGCATTCCTTGTTGCTGCATCGCCATCCCCCCCATAGGTGCTCCCATCGGCATTCCCGTTGGTTGATGAGGCTGCTGATACCCCACGTTGCCCGTCGGTATCATACGAATCGGTTGCTGTTGTTGAGGCTGCTGATACCCCGCGTTGCCCACCGGCATCTGACGAATCAGTCGCTGTTGTTGTGGCTGTGGTTGAGGCTGCTGTAAGCTGCCACTAGCGTTTTGAGTTGCGAATGGGTCCAAATTGATGCTGCCGGCAGGCTTGGTCATGACTGGCGCTGCAACGGAAGCGAACGGATCGACATAGGCCGTTGGCTGGGGAATCGAAGCAGTTGGTGGCGCTTGCTGCTGCTGTACTGGTTGTTGCTGCGACGAGTTCTGGGCTATCGAATCCGCCGCAGTTGATATCTTCGTCTAACGAGTCACAGCAATCAAAACATGAGATCAATCATCACAAACGATGCATGCGTTTTAAGTGACACGGTACTCACACTGACCAGAGGATCGAAGATCAGCGACTGCGCCGAGACACTCACGTTGGGACCAAAGTCGTCTATGAGGTTGATTTCAGGCTGCTTCTTAGACGCCGCTGGAGCCGGAGGTGGTTGCCGGTGAGAGTTCGTAGCGGTCGTGGTCGAAGCAAATGGAGCGCTCTGCGCTTGCAAGGAAGAACGCTGCCCACTATTCTGCTTTGCACCGCTAAAGCCTTGTTGTCGGTTCTGCTGTCCTGAAAAGCTGCGAGTGCGTCCATTACTACCGGTACTGTGCTCCGACGACGTTCGCGAACGAGGTCCCTGGTGGCCGAGGCTCTGCGTGCGGTCTGACGGTGGAGAATTACCCGTGAAAGGGCCTCGATTGCCACTAGAAAACGAGCCACGATAGGGTTGAGACTCATTCTGCGATGGTGGAATAGCTCCATTAGGCCCCCAGCGGTGCGTTCCATAGGCATCTGATTCCCAGCAAAACCCGTCAAACTTCCTGTAAGATACGCAGTCAACAGTTTGATTACACAAGAACTTACTTCCAGTAGGAGCATTCGGTTGCGCATAAGTGGACGTAGTGGTAGCGTGTTTCTTGCGACGATAGACATCCCAGCGACGGAACGGTATTCGGTCAATGACAAAGTCTTACAAACCAAACAAAGCCAATCAACATCCTGATTAGCCACAGATCTTGTCGTCGTAAGGCGTCCTTATACAATCGCACCATATTTCGGGACGTCGACCGACTCCATGTCGTTAATGCGGACTTCCATAACCACGTTAAGTCCGTCTAGGATCATGGAGAAGCTCCAATCTCCTAAAGTCGCCTGTAATGCCCCCACAACGCCACAACCAGCCAGTCTGTTAAATCAATACCAAATCCTCCAACCACTTCAACTTGATCGTTCACTTACAGTCGACGAGAAGTGCATCTGGCGACCGTCGTATTGGACTATCTGCACAAGCAACGCATTTTCACCAAAGGTCCCTGTCCGTTATTCTCTTTTTCGCAGCACCCGGGCGAAATTGTCTACGTCTACCGCACCTTCTTGTAGCTCATAATGGAGTGGATCAGCACCACCTCGTGCGTACGGTCCGACTCGCCCAACGTGAAACGCCACGTCACGCGCTTCTTAGAGGACGCCACCATCTCACCGATATGCTGCTCCTCACGCAAGACGCGCTTGGGCGGGCCGCGCTCCAGCAAGTCCGGCTGCGGATCGTAGATGCGCGCCGCGTTGCCTGCGTACATTGGGAGCTCGTAACGCAAAAAAAATGCGCTCCCGAAGTGACTTTGAACTGCGAGCAAATCCCCGTTTTTTCAGATTCTGATCCCATCCGTAAATCAGGGTTGAAATAATACTAAAATGACTTGAAATAAGAGGTGAATTTAGAAAACAATGGAAACGATCCTAAAACGTTGGTGTAACGAAAATGCAAGGGGATGTTGTGAACAGAAATATGTGACGTGTGACTGTGCGAATTGATCAACTTTAAGGTTCCGTCCTGCTGCTTCGAGCCCGTTTTTTCTAAGACGCCGCATCTAGCAAAAAGTCATGCCGAGACCAAGCTGAGCACGCTTGATATTATCCTGCAGAACAACGCCACACGGTCAGTTTCAACCAAAGCTTACGCAGTGAAAACCTCTAGACTCTCTTACATGATCATGTGCTTTGAGGATCCACGAGTAGTTGGCCTCGAGGCGGCCGATGCGGGTACCCCACACAAGACCCAATCCGATAGATACCCGCGTATCGTCCGCAAGGTTCTTCATCCACTTCTTCTCGTCCAATAAGCGGTCCCAGGTAGTCAGATTGCCAGCGTTAGCAAATAATTGTCCGCGGAGGCCCAACGCCTGAAAAGGAAGGATATCGCAAATCAGATTCAACGTTTCCAAATAGCAGGATGAAGGTTAGACTTACCGCAAGCAGTGGCAGCGGGACCGGGAAGCCTACGCTTGCCGTTCCGTTGTAGCTCACATCGCCGCCAAGCGCATCGCCTTGAGCAACTCCGCCATCAAGAGGGGAAGCTCGAGGACCGATGCCCTTGTGGTTGAAGCCACGTACGTTCATTGGGCCACCCAGGAAGAAGCGATCACTAATACGTGCTGGTCGGTGCTGCTCATTACCGTACGACTTCACCGTTCCCAAGTGGCAGGAAAGACTGAAGTTGAGGATTGGGAAGCCAAAGACATTGGGACCCACTGCAACGTGCTTTTGACCTTCCACTTCCGCCTTAACGAACTTCACATCGCCCACCAATCCGGCAATCTCCGTCCTAGTTATCGACCAAATAAATCCTTGAGATCAACTGGAAACATTCAGGTTAGCACATATCTCAGATACTTACGTGTACTTGAAGAGTCCACCAGCAGTCGGATACACAACGTTGTTCCGGTTGTCGTCCGTGAAAACGTACTTCACACTCGTTTTCGTGGAAGGCATCGCCTCCGCTAGAATACTGGGCGACGCACGGTACGCCGTGGGGACCTTTGCGTCCCGACGGGGAAGCAGATCACGCCAGCCGACGTTCAATGACAGGTCGTGCACGCCTTCATAGTCGCTGATGGAAATGCTGCCGGCACGAATCTTTTCGCTGTATGAGCTCAACCACTCTTGGTTCTAAAAACGTGAAGAAAAAAAGATACAATTGGTTAGTCAGAACGTTAAATGCGTCACTTAAATAATGCCACAGTACGTACGTGCAGCTCATTGGTGCCGATGGCGCTCAAGTACAGCGGCAGACCTAGAAAGCGAGGCTTCTTGAACGTGGCACGCTGCGTGTTACTGCCCGAACGCGCATAGGTTGCACTTAGCGTGATCTTTTCGGCTTCTCCAAGTGCGTTCGATAAAGTTAGCGTGGATTCCTACACCGTCGTATCAATAACCGTAAGTATCTCGTATCAGTTTTTCTTCACTTTCAGCTACATACTCCTGCTTCGTCGCTTCCGTCGGTAGTCGCGCCGACGTGTAGAGACCGCCAACCTTTTTCCTTCACCGTGATAGTGATGTCCGTCTCATCGCGTTCGCCAGAGCTCGCTGGATCCGACATAAACGTTAGTAACCCACTAATTTCTCCCAAATGAACCCCTCACCTTTATCCAGCTTAATGTCGATCGACTCAAAGATGTCGAGAGCCTTCAGCTCTTCAGTGGCTTCCTCCAGGTTGCGCACCAAACGGCCGATACGCTTAGCGCTGTACGCCTCCTACGGATTCCAAACGCCACGCATAGGTCAGATACACACACCACTGGAGATGCAATAGCCAAAACGTCATTCCCACCTGAAGCTCGTTTTCAAACACTTCGGGTCTGTACGCCACAAAGTTCTTGTTAGTACATTAATAAATGCTTCTGTAGCATATAGAGGCGAATAGAATGGAGCGTACTTGGTGCGCTCGTTTCCTTTAAGAAAGACCTTGCCGATGTGTATTTGTGGGCCCCACGGGTGCGGCGGCTCGGCCGTGGGCTCGGGCGCCTCGCTGTTTGTGCTCGCCATCCCAGTCACTCCTTTGGCCGCAAATCTAAAGTCACTAAATGAAAGAGTGACATGTCACTAGTCTTTCGAGCATCTACTGTAGTGCGTAATGACGAGTGTGTGGCGTCGACTGCAGCTCCGAATCGCTGGCACCACACCCGCGCGGCGATTCCAGGTCCGGTATAATTCTTTTCAGCTGATAAAACACGGCTTAGACATCTAGATGCAACAGGAAATGACGCTGATTGTGCTATGAATGCTGAACAGGAGGAGGCTGACGTGGGTGTCGCTGCTGTGTTGAGTTGCTTCCGAAGCTTGAAGCTAGACCCGCAGAATGCCAACAAGTAAGAATCGTCTTGGTAATAGATGCTTCAACGATAGCTGACTACGGAATCAATGGTGATGGCTAACGCTGTAGAGAGCACGAGGAACTGTTTGACCAGGCTGTGGAGATTGTCGGGTCGAAGAAGTTTGAGCAGCAGAAGCAGTATGTGCAAAATGAGGTCGCTAAGCAGGTGCGAATAGGATAAAAATGGTGGGGCGAAGCAGATCCATGCTGAATCAATGCTTTGATCGTGGTGTGCAGGTCCAGATCTGCTTTGAAGCGGTGCTGAAAATGCCGAAAGACTCGGAGAAGAGTGCTCCCAGGATGTCATTGTCTGGATTCGAGCGTACCACTGAAGTGGAGGAAAAGGTGATTTTACGGCCTATTGTCTTTGCAGTTGTAGTGTAGGATTCTAACCGATATATTTGCTGTCGCTCAGCTTGGAATCACTGACAACTTTCAGAAGCTCTTTGGATTTACTTTGAATGTGGAAGAGTCAAGTGTTCCTGGTGCTGATGAAGGAGTAAAGCTCCGTGGATCTGCTCCCATAGGGTCATTGGTGGTAAGTACCTGCTAGATTTGCTGTTGTTGCTGTAGTCCACTTTCTTATCGCTTCGCTTTGCAGGCTCTGTATCCTGGTATCGTCTACTTGCCAGAACACTATAAAAAGGTAATGATTCATTTGTATGGAGAGATGACTTGTATATGGCTTAACTCCCTTGGTAATGTCAGAAACACCATTTGGGCGTGTTGTCGAACAACGCTTACGCCCGTGCTCGCTTTGATAGTGTGATCATTGACGCCAAAAATGAGTGTGCGAATCCGTCCTCATTAAAATATTCTTCGCACTTTTTAGCTGACGAATATTTTGTGCCGAATCAGCGTCGAAACCTCGTAACCCTCTAGCCGTGGCGCACAAGATCAACCATCCTCCGAGTGGGACGCCGCCAAACGTGATTGGCTTTGCTTTTGAGTTCCCACCTGAAGGTTCTACATGTAGTTGAAGTTAGTAGCAGGCTCTTTTTCATGCTAACCATGATTTTGTTGCGTCTTTCCACCCAGAACCGTTTTCGACCAAGGAATATGATGAGCTCATTCCGAACAGTTTTGTGCAAGAGCCATCTCGTCTCTCCATGTTTGGCAAGCGCGCTATCGTGCATGTACGCTCTCAGTCGGCACAGTTGTTCTAGCAGCACTGACCTTGTCATGTTTCGAATCAGGGCCTCGCGTTTATTGCAACGGCTGATATCGCTGATGAAGAAGAGCTGTTTCTTAATTACCGGTGCGTGCAATACCCTTCGTACTAAGATAGCAATGACGTGAGCGCTTTCTCTAAACTTCGTTTTTCACTGCCAGATACAATCCCGACCGGCCACTGCCCGAGTGGTACACACCTGTGGACGTCGATAGTGATCGCGCAATGTGGAAGTGACTCGAGAGTTTGCCAAGATTCGAAGCCTATCGATCATCATACGAAAAAAAAGGAATGCATTGCCGTGCTTTAAATGGAGAAATGGTGACTTTGAGTGGATACAGCCATAAAACCCACTAAACTTGCCTAAGTTTTGGAAGTTTTTTGTTGACTGTCTCATGCCCCAGTCTTTCGGTCTTCATAACTTCACCGGCTGCGCTTATTTAGGAAATTCCGCATTGTTGGACAGAATAATTCCGACGATGACGCCGAAGATTCCCAATGCACTAGCGAAAATCTCCACAATTAAGATCGTCACATAAAGTGCCGCATTCTGAGCATCGGCAAGCACACAGCTACTGCCAGCAATACCGACGGACACTCTGCAGACAAATAAAACAACTCCCACGTTAGAGAAAAAACGTTCCTTTGTTTGGTCATGGACAGCAAGTGCTCGTACCCGCTGGCAAGGTTCGTCAAGCCCACGGCGATGCCCGAGCCGAACACCGCGTACGCAGCAAAGTAAAGCGCCTGCTCGTTGATCGGTTCGTCTCCCTCGTTACGCAGTGCAGGCTGGTTCATCTACCCAAATGTCAACAGTTCACGATAAGCATACCCCAACTGCCACTATGCAATTAGAGTCGCCGCACCTTGCTCTGTAGAATGATCGCAATAATGACACCATAGATTGCAGTGGCTTCACAGAAAATGATGCTCACAAGGTTCTTGGATCGCACGCGTGGGGCCTTGACGGCCGCGCCCAGCAGACTCGAACCCGTGATGAAAATACCCCTGCCGAAGAATAAATAACCACAAGTCAGTCCTAGCTCCAGACATCGAAGTACATCTAGAACGTACCAGGCGGCACCGACGATGGAGAATGTGAGACCGAAAGCTACGCCCATGCTGCCCCACGCATATGGTGAGATGTTGCTCAACACGTCGCCCCAGCCTAATAACCAAATACCAGATTTAGAAAAACGCGTGTTCTTTTTACCGCAATTTATTCGCAATAATAGCGCATCTAGAAGGCGTAATTGAATGTGAGTGGGCTATATGTTTCCTTCTCTTACGCACCTTGATTGAACAATTCATCCGTGGCCGAGCTCATTGTGATATCTGCTTAGAATAGGGCGCTCACGTCCGCTAGAGCTGCGTCTCCTTGACTGCTTAAATTCTGGGGCGTTTCGGTCAAAAAGATCAGGTCGCACTTAAACGAAGACCTTAAGTTCGCACTCGGACCATTTGCCACGACGATGAACAAGGCAGGTAAGCGCGCGCTGTACGTGGGCGGCCTGGACAATCAGGTGACGGAGCAGGGGCTGTACACGGCTTTCGTGCCTTTTGGTCCCATCAAGAGTGTACAGATTCCACTAGACTATCACTCGCGTACGTGTGTGGGCTTCAAAATTATGCATTTAAAAATGCGAACTTGGATTTGACTAAAGAGGTCTTTTTAATTGGTGCTATTGTAGAAAGAGGCAAAGGCTTCGGGTTTGTCGAATTCGAGGAAGAAGCGGATGCTAGAGCAGCTATTGACAATATGGACGGTGCGTGATAATAGCTGCTAATACAAGGAATCTACTGGTGACGCTAAGACTGAGGTGTGAATGCTATTGTGCGTGCTTTACATGTAGAATCGGAGTTGTTTGGGAAAACTTTGCGCGTAACCATTGCCAAGCCAGATCGACCGAAACTCGGCTCCAACAAGCCAGGTTCGTGCAGGAGATAGTTGTGTCACACAACAACTTGCGTGGATGGGTCGGTGAAGTGAGATACGAGGAACTAACCCGGTGGTATATTGGTGTGGGTGAAATCGCAGTGTGGGCGGAAGCGGACGATGCTGAAGATCCAAACGAGAACGGGGATAGTGGCAAGTCACAGACATAATGATGCGACTGAATCAAATCCAATAATGGCGCCTTCAGTGATGTTTCCGTCCCGGGGTATCAAGGTGGATTCTAACGGTTTCTTGGGGTTAGTTAGAGCCACGTTGAATTTTTTAAGCTCACAGTTCTTCGTTCAGTTCTGGGCCATGACAGACAAATAGTCGGTGAAATCTCGCTTCCCAGGCATGTTGCATGTTGTGCACATCGGCGATTCTGCTATTTATAGAGAACACACGAAAATTTAGAGTTAAAGGAAGGATGAGTTGTGTACATGTACCCTTGCATCCACACATCATTATCTTAGCGCGAATCTTCTTATCCGATCGGGGATCGTGACGGATCGCAGACTCGTATGCGCAGAGGTGCGCGAGGTACTCACAGAACACCGCGATCTCACCACGATTTTCATCTTGTACAATATTTTTATGTACTCCAGAGGTCAGACAGCCACCATCGTCTTGCGCTGATCCAAGTTTTGTTTTCTGATTGCGCTGAACAGTGCATTGAAGTGCTCGTGGAGCTACCTGCTTCATGTACTTCAATGATTCCAACGTTGCTGGCAGCAACTTGCTGCACTCGAACCAGAAACAGCTATCATCTCAAGCACGTCGTCTGTCCTGCCTTACGAACGCGATCGACGAGCTGGTAAGCTGCTGCAGTCCCAGCTGCAGATGCAGCACAACGTACGCGCGACAACAATGCAAGAAATCCATCGCTTCGGTTGCGATCCATTTACGAGGTACGGTCGGTTTAAGGGCGTAGCTGTCTGAAACGACTCGGCATGGACGCGTTCGTCCGCCAAGTGGCTCGTCAACTCTTCTCTCTCTCTCTCTCTCTCTCTCTCTCTCTCTCTCTCTCATCTTACATGTACATATCCCTTGTGGTTGCAGTCGCTATTATAATGGACTTTCCATTGCATCATTACGCAAAGTTCCGCTGGCATTGTGAGGCAGCCGTAACGTCTTCGTGTCCTGGGAAAAAATGAAACGCTGACGTCACTGACACCGGATACGAGCCACAAAATCGGTAACATGAACCGGCTTCTGCCGACCGAAGTCTTACAAAAGTCAAGTCTATTCTGACTCTCTGAAGAAACATCAAAAGGGTGGGACCAAAATACCGATGAAGACCCCAGATGATTGGCTAGAAATCTCGGAATCTCCTCGCGTCTTACTCGAAGAGCTCCATGGCATTGACTGTCTTAGCCGTCCTATCGTCGAAATGGAGCCGCGCGCATCTTGTGCCATTCATCATCCAGCTTTCTCCTGAGCACTATCCAAGCCACACAACGTCTCTGAACATCACGATGAACCCCACGTCGCGCTACGCTTACTCGCGCAACGGCGAGCAAGGCCGTGTTGACGAAAAGTGTCTCGTACGCGTGCAGATCCCCACAGTTGACTCGACCGATGGCGGCAAGGTGCGCTACCACGTACGTGTCACGAATATCCGCTCCGGCCAGGTCTGGGAATCTCCGCGCCGCTTCTCCGAGTTCCTCCAGCTACGCAACGACCTGATCGACTTCTTTGCGAAAACCGACAAGAAGTGTCCGGGATGCCGCAATTACGAAAAGGTGCTCAATCTCTTCGAATTCCCGCGCAAGCACGTCTTCACGAGCGTCACGCCCGTCGTTATTAACTACCGCAAAAAGGCCCTGCGCAGCTTTGTTGCCCTTCTCGCCTCTCACACTTTCACCACAACTCCCAAGTGCCCCACGTGCAGTGGCTTCCCCTTCGCGAGTGTTCGTGACTGGCTCACGACTGGTGTTGGGACAGAAGCCAACGTTGCAACCGATGCTGCTACTAGATCGCCGACGAACGATGCGATTCGCGACACGTTGGACGTCAAGGAATTCACCACTTACCACCCAGTGTCGAATGCGATGCCCGTTGACCAAGAAGGTCGCTTTGTTGGCAGTGCCACTCCGAAGTACTCACCTCCGGTCACCAGTCCAACGAAGCAAATGGACAGCAGACTTCGTAGCCCGCCGCGTCCTCAACCAAAGAAGCTCTCACCCAAGGAAGACCCGAAGTCTCAGCTGCGCTACAGCGATGGAGCTTCATCGACCAGTTCCGTCACCGATCCTCCGTCTCCGCCTTCAGTCGATGAGTTCGTCATGCCCACCCCGGCACCTGTCGGAAAGGACGAGGACTATGAGAACGATATTGAAGGAGAGGACGATGCCGACTTCAACTCATTTGTGGCGTCTTCTACCACGTCTTCAACTACTTCGGAAGGCAGGAAGGATCAACCTGCGCGCGAGCCCCCAGCCAGCGATGACTCGCCGGCTGCACGAAAGGAGACGACGGAGAAAAAGCACTTCAAGTTCACTCGCAGCTCCATTGGGAGCTACAGCGAACGGTCCTCTGTTCAGCCTCGTGAGAGCAGCATGATCAACATCGACGACGACGATGAAGACGAAGGCTTGAACATGGATTTTATGAACTCGGTGTATGTAGCGCCTGCTGCCTCCAAATAACTAAAAACGACATGAAAAATGCGAGTCATGCCCTGTTTGCTACGGTGTCTAGCACGAGGTGCATCAATCGGCTACTGTTCCTTCAACTACAGTGTACAATTACAAGCACGTATAATAAAAAATAATGCTCCAATACAACGTTTAGACTTGCTCTCCACACAAAAGCAAACAAACGACGTACTTTGTACACGTAGATCGATTGAAGCAGCATTGAGTTTAACGTACATGTTGAGTCCACAACCGTAGATGCCGGTCCTTGCAAATGTTGAAGTTTTGATACGAGATCTGAGCTTGAGTTACTAAGGCGCTCGGATAACGACTCAAGTCCTGCATTGCAAATTTGATTACCACACGAAAGATTGGTTTTTACTAATGAACAGAGCGCCTGCAAGATTAACTGGGAACTGAAACTGAATGTCAATTTTTTTAAATATGCAACGAAGCTGGCTATATACACTGCCGCTGCGACCTTAGACTTTTAACCACGCTACGTGAAGAGCTGCGTGGCGCACTGCGAGCTACGATAGCCGATAACCCTCTCTCTCTCTCTCTCTGATCAATGGTAGACTTAAAAGTCAGCGTCGAGGGTAAACACCTGCTCCTCAGCAGCAACACCGACGCCAGCCTTGGAGTACTCGCCCACGCGTTTCTCGAAGAAGTTCGTCTTTCCCTGAAGAGAAATCATGTCCATCCAGTCGAACGGGTTCTTAGCGTGGTAGATCTTGGACACACCGAGCGAGTACAGCAGACGATCAGCCACGAACTCAATGTACTGGCACATGAGGCCCGAGTTCATGCCAATCAGCTCCACCGGAAGCGAGTCACGTACGAACTCGTGTTCAATCGTCACAGCATCGCGCACAATTTCGTGCACTCGGCTCTCCGGGAGCTTAGTGACCAGCTTGGAGTACAAGAGGCACGCGAAGTCCGTGTGCATGCCCTCGTCACGACTGATGAGCTCGTTCGAGAAGCTGAGACCAGGCATGAGACCACGCTTCTTCAACCAAAAAATGGAGCAGAAAGAGCCCGAGAAGAAGATGCCTTCTACTGCAGCAAAAGCCAGGAGACGCTCCGGGTACGAGGACACACGAGGGTCGCACCACTTGATCGCCCAGTGAGCTTTCTTGGTGACACAAGGGATGGTCTCAATTGCACGCAGCAGATGGTCCTTCTCGATGGCGTCCTTGATGTACGTGTCAATGAGCAGAGAGTAAACCTCCGAGTGAATGTTCTCGATGGCGATCTGGAAGCCGTAAAAGCAACGAGCTTCAGGCACCTGCACTTCATTACTGAAATTCATTGCCAGGTTCTCGTTCACAATTCCATCGCTGGCAGCGAAGAAGGCAAGCACATGTTTGATGAAGTGACGCTCGTTGTCCGTAAGCTTGCTCCAGTCCTTGAGGTCGTGCACCAGATCGAGCTCCTCGGCAGTCCAGAAGGAGGCCTCTGCCTTCTTATACATCTGCCACACTTCGTGCTCCTGAATGGGGAAGAGAACGAAGCGGTTGGGGTTCTCGACAAGGAACGGCTCGATCGGGATCTCTCCGTTCATCTCCTTACGCTTGAACTCCGACATCTCGAGGTTCGCCTGCTCTACCTTCTCGTCCTTGACGTTGACTCCCTTAGCGAATCCCTCCACGAACTCGGGGCTTAGCTCCTGCTCCGGCTGTTCCGAGGTCTTGTTGTGCTCTGAAGAGGCTGCGACCATTTTAACTGGACTGGTAGTGGGTGTAGAGCTGGAGGAGTCGCTTATTGGGTCGAGCGCCAATTCCGAAATGATAAGCTCAAGAGCTCGCGGGCTCTGCGGATAGAGCGCGCCAAGCAGACGATTCCTCCGGTGAGACTCCCGCGCTTTTTTGCCTCGCTACCAGCCGATTATCCGCAGGGTTTCGGGACATCTTCGCTCATCATCTTCAGCGTCCGCTTTAGACCAATCAAAGCTCTGAAAAACTCTTGCAGCCAATTAAATCGCGACAAAGAGATCGGATTCGACAGGTGTTTTTTGGCGCCAACTTAATCACAAAAGTCGTTGTTGCCTTTTTGAAATTGATTTTCCTTGATGCGAATTTTGGGGTTCCATTACGCGTCAAAAACAGCAAGATACTGCAGGCTGCAGGCCGCAAGGTACTGCAGTGCAGCACCCTAAAGGATTCCACGACAGTAGTATCACCCACTCCCTTTAAGAAGATTCAATCGAATCCCAGCCTTTATGAAGGAAAACAAGAAGCATCAGGCCCCAAGTTCACGAAGATACAGTACTAACATTGGCCTAATCCTCGTCCTCGGAGGAAGAGCCAAAGAGCTCGTTCTTCTCTGCTTCGCGGCTTTCCGGTGCTGTATCATCCTCAGCAGGCTTGTCTGCTTGGTCTTTGTCATTATCTGTTTCACTTGGCTTGGATTCCTCCTGCTCGTCGTCACTCGAGTCCGAGCCAAAGAGACCTGTCGGGTCGTCCTTCTCGTCTTCCGAGCCGGAATCCACACGCGCGCGCTTGTTGCGCTTCTCCACCAGCTTCTTCATAGTCGAGTTCCGGTTCTTCATGTCCTCAATCGACATACTATTGTCGCCGTCCTCATCCACCTCGTCCTCTCCGTCATCAATGAAGCCGCCGTCTTCGTCTTCTGCTTTCTTGCGCTTCTTGCCTCCTTTTTTCTTGACCACCTTCTTCTCCTCCTCCTCTCGCTCACGCACACTCCAGCCTTCGTGCAGCTTCTTCAGTCGCTCGTCCTGTTTGAGTCGAATATCTTCGTGGCGTCTACGCGTGTCTTCCTCCTTCACACGTACCTCCTCCTGCTCACGAGCCACACGCTCCTCGTACTCACGCAACAGCTTGCGTTGAGCTTCGATCTCCAACCGACGTTTTTCCTCCTTCTGTCGCTCGAACTCCAAGTGATAACTCGCCTTCGTCAGCGTATCACCACAGAACTTTTCGTGATCGGACACCTTCTCCTTGTCAAATGGTAAGCTGTTGTGGTGCTTCTTCTTCTCGCTATTGCTAGAGCTGGCACTTGCCTCGGACTGTTGGAGCAGGAAGCGGAAAATACGCTGCGCTCGCTTCAGATCCAGAATCGCACGCTGTACGTCTGCCATTGTACGAAGTTGGGGCACTGCACTGCCACTGCCTGACCGGGTGACAGTAGTTTCTTGGCCTAGCGTCATCACAGCATAGTCTTCCTGGGCAAGACCTGTGTTGTACCATAGACGCAGGTCGTTCGGGTACATGTGCAAGGCACGGGAGAGCGTGGCAATGCAGCTCGGGAAGTCCTTCGACTCGTAGTAAGCCTTAGCCAGATACAATAGTACTTCGAGGTCTTGTCCTTGGTAGCACTTGGTCAGACACACCGTGTAGAGCTGGATCGCCTCCTGGTAACGCTCCTCAGCGACGAAAATGTGTGCGAGATTGATCCACGCATCAGGCATGTCCGGACTCGCTTCACGCACTTGGGAGAAAATCTGCTTGGCCAGCTCAAAGTTGCCCTTCTCAGCGATCATAATACCCAACCCATTAGCAGCGTAGATATTGTGTGGATGGGACGCCAGAGTCTTCTTGTAGTACACTTCGCTCAGCGACATGTTCTTGGTGTAGCGATTCTTTTCGCCAAGGTTGCTCATGAAGATGTTGCCCATAGACAAGAATGCGTACGGATCATTCTTGAGACCAGGCATTCCCATCACCTTTTCGTATTTCTTCTGAGCAAACACCCACTCGCGTTTCTTTAGGTAAATATTGCCCTGAAGCAAGCAGGCTTCGGCACACGTCGGGTCCACCTCCAGAACCTTGTCGAACGTCTTGATCGCCTCAGCCTCCTGACCACGATCGCGCAGCATACAACCCAAACGCAGCAAACAGTCCGTGTATCTAGGGAAAACCTCCAGGATCACATCGTAAAGCTTTTTAGCACGATCACGGTTACCCATTTCCTCGTACACTCGACCCATATTGTACAGAATGGTGATATTTGCTTCTGTAGGCTTTGGGGTTGAGGCTTCTTCAGCCAGAGCATCAGCTTCCTCTGACTTGCTTTCCTCATTAGCACTGCTATCATCGCCCAACTGTGTCAGTGCCTTCTTAAAGCATGTAATGGCGTCACTAGTCTTGCCGACACGTTGCTGAAGAACTCCTAAGTTGACGTAAACTTCCATAGGCACTCGTTCCGAAGCATTGTTCATGACCTTCTCCGCCGCAATGTACGAAGAGATGGCAATAATCTGGTCCTTCCGTTCCGGAGATCCATGCAGCAACTCAGCCGTGCCAATCAAAGCCTCCACGTTGCCTGGCTCTAACTCCACAACGCGTCGAAGCAATACTACAGCCTCATCTTTTTTGCCCAGTTTTCCATAGACGTCACCGAGGAGCGATAAAATCTCCACGTTCTCCGGGTACGCCTTGTTAGCCTTCTCCAAATACGATGCAGCCTTTGTAAACTCCTTGCGCTCGTAATACATCTGCGCGAGGCCAAACCACGGCAACACGAACTTGGGCCAAAGACGACCAGCATTGAAGTAGTAGCTGTAAGCGTCCTTGTATTTGCCCTGCGCGTGGCAGCCACGACCCATGAGATAGCAACTCTCCGAGCGGATTTCTGGGATTTTAGTGCTGTGGAAGGCATTGCCAGCAAGTGTGAACATCTTGTCGTAGTCCTTCCGTGCAATGTTCGTGGCTGTCGCGGACTCATCACGATACGGTCCATCAAGCTTCAGTCCAGACGACGATACGGCATCTTCATCACGGCTAATGTAGGCAACGTATTTGTCTCCAATGCAGATAATCTGACCAGGAGAGACCTCACTCGAAATATCCTTGGAGGTGGCCACAACAGCAGATCCACGCACCACACTAACGGTGCAGGGCAACGGGATCCACTGGGAGAAATAGTGATTGGCCAGATGGTTCAGCACCGTGGGGTTCGTCTTGTCAATAGCGTGCGCGTGGTGGATCATGATCATAAAGCGCGAGCTTTCGTCGCGTATGCTGACGGCGCGTTCCTCTCGACTTTGGCTGGCAAGTTGCCACAGTGCACTCGCAATCACTGCGTCCACATTGGTTTCATCCAAAGATGCTGTGTATTTCATGACCGCGCGGGCTTTTTCTACTGCTCCCAAGTGGTAGCAGCAGTAGGCGAAGCACATGCGCATGTTGGCAGCCTGAGGACTGCGCGGGTGCAGCTTGATGGCTTCTAGATAGAGCTTCTTGGCATCTTTGTATTGTTTCTTTCGATACAGCAGCAGCGCCTTGCCCAGGATCGCGGGGAGGTTGGTCTTGTTGGAGATGAGCACACTTTTGATAAAGCGATCAGCGCGATCGTCCTCGTTCTTGGCCATAAACATAAGAGCTTTACCCACAAGTGTCATGGGATGTTGATGATCTAAGCGATCAGCGCGCTGGAAGAAGCCCACGGCGCGTTGGGAGATTGCTTCGCGCTTTTTCTCATCTTCCTCATTCCACATGGCGTTCACGGCGTGGCTTGCTAGCGCGATGAAGAACTTGATGCGGCACATGCGCGACGCATTGTCCTTGTAGATCTCCTCGATACCTGGCTCTGAGGCTACAGCCAGGATCTCCTGAAACTGGGCCACATGGCCCTGGTTATAGTACTCCACAGCGAATTGTAACCACACGTCGAGCGGCGCCACCTCGGCGCGCAAGATGTCAATGATATCGTTCACGTCCTCCGGTAGCTCATCTACAAACACTTCGACGGCCTGCTCCGAGTTCTTGACGGGGATTAGCAGCGCGCGCTGGTTACTCGGCTCTTCCTCGGCGTCCGACATGGTGGCTCTCGACCAATTCAAAGAGTCCCCCTTGTTGGCCGATAAGTTCAGCCGTCCGATCGGATATCGGATGGGATTCTTGTACTTAGTAAGTAGAACCTAACCCTTAACTACTTCAGCATGCGTATCAACTGTGGTGGTCCGACTTCGCGCTTTGGTAACGAGAACAAGGATGCTTGTGCGCCTCGCGGGCTGGGGCGACGGAGACGTCCTGGCGCTGCTGACACTCTTCCGCAAGCATCTGATGTACTACGTCTATGCGTCTGATAGCCAATTCGCTGAGGTTATGCGCGCAGAGCTACCAGGTACTAGTAACTTTCAGTGATACCGTCGACAATGGGGCTGGTCATGCTGTGGTTCGACTTGATAACCGATAGATAAGGCGGCGTCCGAAATTCTGGAGATGGTGCGCGCATTGATGGAGCAGTTCGGGCTCACACTCAGTACCAAGAACTTCCGGACGGACGGTAGGGTGGACAACCTTACCTGCTGCAATAGCAATTTCGAAGACTCATGGAATGTTGCTTACAACTTTTCGATTGTAGTTATCTTGATGAACGGGCACAAGGTTTTCGTCTACGAGCATATCTATGAGTCGATCCGTCAGCTTTCCGAAAACAGGGCTGGGGGTGTTTGGCTGCCGGACGAGCTCAGTCGCTTCCTCCGAAAGGCCAAGCAGTACCATGACCGGTTTACTGACAACCAAGAGAAGTATTTCAAGCGAATCCAAGTGTGGGGTAAGTCTACCTGCTTTAGTTTGCATTAAATGTATGATGATGCTAGACTCGTTGCTGAACTGTACAGGCAAATCGATTGCGGAAACAAAGAGCAAGTTTTATGCGCTTCGAGAATTATTTATCAAGGAGAAACACCGCATACGCCGTAAGTGGCACCCCTACGTTTGATTTGGATTGCTAAACTGAACTTGTTGTCTTCTATCTAAAGAGCGGAAAGGAGTAGGAGCTAAGCGCTTCGAGCTCTTGAAAGATATTTTTGCTGATGTGCCCGCCGCCAGTCGAGCAGAAACAGTAACCGTATTGCCCAGTAAGGCGCCCAAGTTATGGTCATCTGCAGATATGGAGACCCTCGTCGATTTCGTCGTTCAAATCACCACTCAGATTCAAAAGACCGGAAGCTCAGACCTCGTGGATCGTGTTGCCGTAACGCTGCGTACGTGAATTATATATATCACCAGGTTATCATTTTTGCTGTCGCTGATGCAGTATTACACTTACAGACCGAACAGATGGATCATGCGTCAATAAGCTCGCAGACATGCGAGAAAAGTTCTTGAAGAAGTCGACGACGGTCCGCGCAGCGAGTACGAGTCCGGATGAGCTGCGGTGGTTTATGATGAAGCTTGACATGAATATGTTGGTATTCGTAGACTTGCCATGCACGATTTTTGATCCAAACTCAGAAGCGTACAAGGTTTTCAGCGCAGGTAAGTCCACTGGCGAAATCTGAAGCAGTTTGTGCATGTACAGTAGTTATTTCTTTGTTTGTTATTAACCTGACACGTCTCGTGCTTTGGATTAGACTGGACTGATCAACACGACCCTTACGCCCTTGGATATCTAGCACTTAAGTCACGGAGTAAGTATAATGATTATACTGATTTTTAGTGACCGTGCGCTGACAATTCTTGCTTTCCAGGCCTCCGACTGACCTCCGAGCGCAATAAAAAGCGACGGACCAAGAGTATTTGGTCGCCGCGACCTAAACTCCGGTCGTCAACGATTGCAGCTCGTGGTACGCCGAGTGCAAATACAAACGCCAAGCACCCGCCAGCGTCAAGTGCTACTGTGACTGCAACAGCCAAGCCCGTGGTTGAAAGACGATCTGGAAACAACAAGGCGTATCCAGTCCTATTTCCTCGAAAAAAAACAGCGAGTGTATTACCTGCAAACGATTATGCGTCGTTTGTTAGGGACATAGCAGAACAGTGCCGGTGGACGGAGAAAGTGGTGCACAATGTCCTTCGGTGCATGCAGCACTCAATGGATTTGTATCGTTCGAACAGATTGGTTGATTTTTTCCAAAAGATCGCAAGTTTGACTCCAGGTACAGAGATCCTCGGATCAAAATCGAAGTCTTGAGCTAATCATCATTTTTTCTTTCCAGATGTCACGTTCCAAGACCTTTTCGCGAATGCACAGCACATTTTAGTCCAGTTCAAGCAGCGTACGTCACTTGAATGGCAGCCTTCTTGCGGCACGAGCTGATGTTAACGTTTTCTTGTGTGTTTGTCGTTGGTATGTGCAGGGTTTGGCTCACTAGATGGCTTAGAGGGTCTTGAATTGACGGCTCCGGGAATTAATATGCCTGTAACAACCCCCGATGAAGAAACAAAAGAGCAAGACTGCGTGCCAGCTAATGAAGAAGTGAATTATGTCTCGACCGCTATGAATACGGAGGGCAATGCGGCTGAAGAGAAAGTCAATACGGCACACAACTCGGAAGAACTTATTGCGAATGGAGATAGTGGTGGGCATGATTTAATGTACGTGATAGAAGCTCCAGTCCAGCCTGCATCCCAGACAATCATTGGAGATGCTGGGGTTTGTGATGGTGCTGGTGAAGACAAATGCGACGACCCGCCATCTCCTCGTCCCCAGTCACCAGCTCAGACACCTCAAACAGGGAACGAGGATGCTGCTGTTTTTGATGGAGACGAGAATGAGCATGAGCCCGATTCCCCGGTTCAGACACCCCAAACAGGCAACGAAGATGCTGCTGACGAGCACAGCTCGAGTATTACCGAAAAACAATCCAGTCCAGGTGCGTTGAGTTGTACTGCTGTATGCTATATTCTTCCATCGACTCAAAATACGTCCTCAACTTGCATGATGGAACCAGAAGATACGTGGGACGATGGAGCTGACGGCGATGCTGACTTGTATGATGACGGAATCGACAACCAGTCGGTCGGCTCGTCAGATAACACATGTGCGTGCTGCTATGTGGTCATAGTACTCAAATGTTGAAGCTCATGATTCGCATTTCTTGTTTGTCTTATAACGTTATGCAGGGTCTGGGTCGAGTAGCTTTTCGGATGCAAAGGATAGCCACCACCACTCAAAGGACAATTCGCCTGTGAACGACCAGCTTCCCCAGCCACCTGCTTTCAGAAACTCGAAGAAACCATCCAAGCGTGGCAAAGATGAGCAGTACAGGAAGAGCTATAACTTGGCCAAGAAGCGTCGTCTGAACGAGAAAGCGTTGCCAAACGATGAAGAGAGAGATGATGAAGGTTATGACGAAGGAGACGACGACGATGACAGTGAAGATGCTGGCGATGAACCACTGCGCGATGTGGACAGTCTTAGCTCGGATGAAGAGATCGAGGAATTCCCTCATCCGCTACAGAGTATACTTGACTCTTTGGATTCGCATATGGTAGAGCTACAAGAGAAGCGGCGTTTCCTCATCCAGCAAAAGGAAGATCGCGAGTGGCGTCAACACCAGTATGCCAACCGCCGATACGACGTTCAAACGAGCGTGTTTTCCTCGCGGTGGTAAATGGGGGAGGGCAAGGATCGTCTTGGTGTGAAACGTGTTGCTGCTTGTTGGACGTCGATGCTGTTTACGAGGAGTTTATTAATCTCGCGTCATTCCGTGTAGTCAACAAACTACTTTTTGAAGCTTTGAGGGAATTTTGGCAATCGATGGGCGAATTCGTCAAGCTGCCAAGGTACATATTTGGTTTCAGTCAATGTATTTCTATTGCTCTACACTTCATCGTCGTAGACTTGGTGCTGTGTTGCCCACTCATTACTCTTGAGATGACCCACGCAGCGTCGAATGGACTTTATTAGCGTGGAGCTGTCACCCACATACTCGCCTTTCCCCATAAAATCATTATTCAGCAGACACAACTCTTCGATGTGTTTGCTGTTCGAGTTGCGCGGACTCGATGTATCTGTACGGCGGCGCTTCCGATTCTTGCGAACAATTTCTTGTCCGTCGATACGATCGTTTCTTGAATTATCGGAGTCTATCGTGGTGTCGCTTGTGGAGCTTCCAAGTATCCCAGCTATCGTCGCTAACCCACTCAATGTGAGTAGATTTCCACTCAAATCCACCAGTGTGAATGACTTCGTCTGCCCTCGCTTTACCAGTGCTCGGAGTATTGCGGTCGCGCCGTCATTTCGCAACCGATTGGCTCCCATCGAGAGGGAAGTGAGCGTTGTGTTTCTCTCCAATGCAGTCAACAATCGAGCAGACACGCCTGCTAGTCCCAGTCCAACTCCATTCGCCTGCAGATGTGTGACACATTCGTTGGCAAACAGAAAGTCTGCAAGCACATCGCCAAAGCCCACATCGAGGAAATTTTGAGCGATATTTAAATGATTGACGGTCTTGTTTTGGCTCAGAGCTAACAGCAGATTGGTGGCACCTTCGAGGCCGAAATTGCAGCCACGAACGTCTAGATGCGTCAAAACCGTGGTTGGTTCGGTGTCTGGAGAAGCCAGCATTGGCGTTAATGCGTGGATACCCGGGTCGCCGATCTGCACGTTGTTCGCCAGTTCAAGTCGCTGCAGATTCAATACACCATCCATACTAGCGCTACAGATCGCCCTCACCGTCGCGGATGACACATCATTGTCATTGAGACGAAGATGTCGTAATGCCAATGACTTGCGCAGTTTGGAAAGCCCTATGAATGCGTCGTCCTCTAACTCGTTATGCTCCAAGAAGAGACACTGTAGCATCGGGGCACGAAATGCTGCGTCGACGAGCAGCTTCGTGTCGAAATCCGTGATGGTATTGCTCAATCTCAACTGGGTGAGGTGCGTCATATCAGTCACAAGACCCACCAATTGACGAAAACCTTCAGAGCGAATCTTCACGGACACCAACTCCAGCGTCGTGATTCTACTGGTCTCCAGCTGCTCGTCTAACGTCGGGCTTGGCTTCACTAGAGTGTTGCGGACCTGAGCAATTTGGTTATCACTTAACTTGCCATGAAAGAAGCCCAATTCCTCTAGATACGGATGTTCCTGGATCAATGTTCCCATAGTCTTCCAGCAGGTATTTTGCTGCTCTGGATGATGAACCTCCAGTCTCCGAAGTTGTTGAAGCGCCAGGACCAATTTCAAATTATCTTGACAGACTTCACGGCCGTGCACTTTAAGAACCTCCACAACGTCCACGAAAAGTTTTTGATATTCTGTTAGTACATCCACCGCAGGCTTCAACGGCGTACGCAGCTTGAGTAATGATCGGAATTGATGCTCCCAAAATACGTGTCGAGCGTTGCGCCTGCGTCCCTGAGCAGCAGCCGTGTTCTCGATCGGAATCGGGCCGTAGCCTAGTCTTACTGCATTCATACGGTGCTCCCATACACGTTGAGTCTCTAGGTCAAACAGAAACTTATCGCCAACCAGGGGGTCGTATCCGTCGCGTGGTTCCGGTCGTTCGTTTTGCGCAGCCGTCTCCCACTCCATCTCCATCTCACGCAGCCGAAAATTGGACAACTCACGGAACAACTGGCGGCGGATAGTGCTAGGCAGCAACTCCACATACTCAAGAAGCTCCTGAACGGGTGTGTAGAGCGCCACGGCCGCCACCGCCAACTCCACCAGCGACCTGGTCCTTTGACACATTTTTGAGCTTTGAAATTGACGATTTGCTTATTTCAGTAGTACATGTACTGAGGTCAGATGGCTACACTATCAAGCTCGGATTGCATTACGTGCTTGCTCCCATAATTGCTTGAGTTTGTCTATCCCCGCCTCACCCTCTGCTAGCACTTCTCGCACCTTTTGAGCGAGTCGAATGTTCTCCAGCTCCGTGTGCGAATTGGCTTGCAAGGAGCGTTCAAACTGCTCCGACTTCTTAGCAGCGCATTCGATCACTTCGTCCGGCAGTTTGGCCAACATGGCCACGTTGATACCATAGCTCTTGGGACACATACCGTCCTCCAGCTTGTACAGGAAGGTCACCTTGCGTTCGTTCTCAGGGTCGACGATACATCCCATGTGACCCAGCGATACTCTGTCGTCTTCCACGTACTCTTCAACGAGCGAGTGGTAATGAGTTGCGAACATGGTTCGGCACTGGATGTCGCTCAGCAAATGCTCCACAACTGAATATGCGATGGCCGTGCCGTCGAATGTCGACGTTCCTCGTCCCAATTCGTCCAAAATGACAAGCGAGTGGCTAGTCGCGTGGTTCAGGATCGTCGCTGTCTCTGCCAACTCCACGAAGAGCGTACTTTGACCCGCAAGGATGCGGTCGGACGCGCCAATTCGAGTGAAAATGCGATCCACGGGGCTAAGACGGCACTTTGCAGCAGGAACGAAGCTGCCGATCTGAGCCATGAGTGTCAAGACGCACGTTTGACGCAGCAAAGTCGACTTTCCACCCATGTTTGGTCCACTGAGGAGAACCATTTGGCCCTTGCCTTGAATACCCAGTTGTGCATCGTTCGGGATGAAATCGCCACTGCCGTATGTTGCTGCAACGCAAGGGTGTACGCCCTCTTCGATGTCAATAAAAGGCTTTCCATCATTCGCAGCGCTTGCTGCCACCACTTCGGGCTTTGTGTACCCTTCGCTCTGACTGCTGAGTAAGCCGAGACTGACTAAGCAGTCCAACACCGCCAGACATTGCACCGCCTTCATCCAATACTTGTAGTCTTCGTCAAACTTGTGGAAAATGCGGCGTGTCTGATCCTTGAGTGCTTCTTCTTTCTGCTCCTCCGCGGTAGCCAATCGCTTCAATAACGCACGAATTGTCGGCGTGTGAAAGCGCTTGTATCCTTTCTTGCGAGACTTGAGCTCGTACTCTTTCGGCTGCTTCGACAATGCGCTCTCGGGAACTTCCAATTGATAGCGATCCTCCTTCTTCTTGCCCCAGTATGAAATCTGTCGACAGCGTAGTGCACTGCGCTGCTCACTCAAATAATCCGCCAGCTCAGCTTCAACCTCAGCGATTTCAGCACAAGCAGCATCAAATTCGGGGTCTATACCGGCTTGAGGAACGATCACACCGCTCTTTTTGGCCGAAGCTTGGTCGAAACTGCGCTTAAAGAACTCCAACTTCTCTGTAAGATCGGGGAAATGTCCCCGATTAACGTCCGGCTGAACTCCATCCTCGATCGCGTATCTCTTCAAGAGCGACTGCAAAATCGGCGAGTTAGACTGCGATAAACGAGGACCCAGCTCGAGCGTAAGGTTCATTGCCTCGTCAAATCCGTTGAGCACAGCCAAAAAGTCCTTGATCTTGCGAACGTTGTATATCTGTGACTCGTACATAATTGCACGGCTGTCCGGGTGTTCCTTCGAGCGATACGCAGATCCCAGCGCGTGGATTCGCGACAGCAGACGCTCCAAGTCCGGTAATTTACGGAGAAACTCGCGGATCTCCATCATCAAATCACCACTGGTACCCAGTTCCTCAACGGCGTCGAGACGCTCTTGAATATCGCCAATCTTGCATAAAGGCTTGAGCACCCACTCCTGGAACATGCGGCGACCAAAGCTTGTCACAGTCTTGTCCATGATATCGATAAGAGCGCCCGACCGCGATCCATTGAAGCTGTTGCATAATACTTCTAGGTTCTGGATCGTCTGGGAATCCAACACGACATACTGCTGGTTCAGCTCCGCCTTAGCAGCAGACATAGCTTCCCGGTTTGCACGTGCTTCTCGAGCCTCTTCGTCCGAAGGCTTGTACCTCTTAAAATTGCAGAGAGAAAGCAATTCGTGGTCGATGAGACAGCGTCGCAGGTGCCAGATGCAGCCTCCCAGAGCGCTGATTGCGAGTTGTCCCTCGGACTTGACGACTTTATCCATTTCCAGGAAATACAGTACTGCACCTGGCCATCCATGCTCCTTGAAATACCCCGCGCGTTCGATTTCATCGATGGTTTTCGAGGCATCCCAGAACTCTTTACCCACTCGCAGTGACGAGCGAATCGCACCAGGTGCTGCGTGCTTTAGCACCATCTTCGTATCGTCAGAGATGTTGAAGCGCTCGGTCACGATCTCCACGACGTGAAATTGGGCGAACATCGTCTTTAAACGGTCTCGCTGCTCCGTGTCGTCAAACTCGGAGAGCTGAAAGGCACCAGTAGAGCAGTCCACCATACACACACCAAAGCGTACAGACTTCTGCGTAGCGTCAAAAGCTTCTTTCAGTGCAAGAAGGTACTTGGACACTTGGTCTTGAGACGAGATAGGAGCATCCAGGAAACTCACAGTGTTCGTACCGATGGACAGTAGAGAGCACACCTCACGACGAACCACTTTGGCCTTCTTCGCTAACGAACTGTTCCTGACCTTCAGCATGTCTGGAGTTTCGGTTTGTTCCACACGAGCCACTCTGTAGCCCTTGGCAACCAGCTGGGACGACATTTTCGAGTACGCGATCTCTGGGAAGCCTGAGTGTGCCTTATCTCCCTTCATGTAGATGAGGTTCAGCTCCTTGAAGCCAATGTCAGCGTCCATGTGGAACAATTCGTAAAACTTGCCCACCTTGAAAAACAGCACAGTGTCCATGTTTCGAGACTTGACTTCCCACCACTGCACCATGGCTGGAGTTTCCTTCTTCACAAACTCCGGAGGAATCTTCAGAGTGCGTGGATCGTAGTCAGGAGAGTCTGGTGTGTTGCCATTAATATCACGCCGTTCTTCGTGCAGCCACGGCAGCGAATCATGAATGTGGTTGCCAGCTCCAGCCACAGAACTGGGCAAGGCGGGGCCATCAGCTAGTGGTGCAGACTTTTTGGTGCTTGACGTAGGCGTCGAGTTTCCCCACTTCTTCTTCGCTGCTGGTGGAGGAGACAGAAAGGATTTTGATGCTACTTTTTTCGTCTTGGTCGCTGCAGGAGCACTCTTTCGCCGCTTCTTCGGTGGCTTGGATTCTTCTTCGGACTCTTCATCCACCAGATCATCAATGTCGTCATCTGAAAGTTCTTCCTCGGCGCCACTAAACTCCGACTCCTCCCCGTCACCTCGCTCCTCGGGCGAATCTTGCTCCCATTCCTCTACAACGTTTCGAGTGGTTGCCTTGCTCTTACGACGAGAAGCTGGTGCTGCAGGCTCGTCGTCGGAGTCGTCGTCGTCTTCAATGACAATTTTACCGGCTCGTTTCTTCGGCTTTTCCTCTTTCGTCGTTTTACTCGTCTTTATGGGTTCGTCCTCCTCGGAGCTCGTGCCTAGGAAATCCTCGTACGCCTTGCGTTTCGATCCCACGCCTGACGCTTTGTCTACGTCCTCCATCTCCACATGTGCGGCCTCTTTCTCCTTCGCCGCGGGATTGCGCTTGAGCTTGGGCGAGAACTCGATCTTTTTGCGGGTGGAGCCCAGCTTAGTCTCCGATTTGGTACCTGCTTTCTTCTTGGAGCTACCGTTGCTGCTGGTCGGAGCAGCAGCCGCATTCTTCTTCTTGGATGACCCTCCTTCTGATGACGGAGGACTGAAGAAATTCAGCAGAGAGCTCTGCGTCTTCTGCTTCATCTTGACTTTGCCGCGCGGTTTGCAAGCCACTCCCGCCAAAAGTAGGCCCCAGAATTGATAAACTCAAATTGGGTGCTCAATAAACAAAATGGGTGTTATTATGGGTATTTTGAGCCGAATTTGGTGTTACCTGAAGTATCTTTTGACACGAAAGCTCTGCACCTTGTTGACATGTGAGTCCATGGCGTTTTCTGCAACTTCATGGTCGTATGTGCAACCATGCTTCAGGTCAACAACTCCGTTGCCTTGGAGCATATCAGGATACGATTGGTTTAAAGATGAACAAGTTTCCGAGTCTATTTCTGAATGATAAGCATCGAGTGCTCAAGCTTTTCGAGGAACAACGGGTTGCGAGTTGTATTTGGCAAGATGCAATTCAGTACACTAAAGTCCTCAATAAGCAGCTACTACGTGTTGTGCCATGCTTGGTGTTGGAGCAATCTGGCAGCGCTTTCCGTCCCTGTGCCCATCAAGACAGAAGACTACACACATCGGTACTGACACAGACACTTGCGAAGAAGATAGTACCGTTAGTGACGATGACACAGCAACTACAGGGAGTGAGTGGCTCTATATAGAAGAACCGGTGGGGTTCTTCATGCCGAAAATACAAAAGCGGAAGCAACATCTACACCTCGATCAAGCACAACACATCCTGCACTACGGTAGATTCAAGCACGTGATGCGTCTCCATAACATCAGTCTTGTCACTTCCGTGGAGGAGACCGATGCTTGTGGTGCATCCAAGTGGTGGATGACCATTCAAGACCCAAGTACGCTGCAAGTTTGGGTAATTCACTTCCCATCGCGACATCGACTGCAAGCATGGACCGACCTGCTATCTTCAGTTTTTATTGCTACAAACAGCCGCGCTATTGTCAGTGACTTAACCATCGTCGGAGCACATCAAACGACTCCGATTACCTAGCTGCTTGCAAACCACAGCTCACCCCTGTTAATTTCCACGCCACGCTTCATACCTGGCGTCCCTACATCTGTTCTCACATCCGTAGCTGCCGAACCTGCACCCTGCACCTGTACGCACTAAAAAAAAACAACCACAACGACACGCGTGGATACACCATTGAAGACAAACTGGAAAACCCGCTTGCTCTTGGCAACAGACACTGCATCAGTAGAACCCATTTCTCGGCAAGGCTGTATTAAAAAGTTTTAGCAAACTTTTCGCCACCCCGTTGCGTCTACAGTCGCTCGTTCCCGACTGACCGTTCGTGTTTCCAGGCAAGAGATATCCCATGTGTCGAAATCAACTTAGTTAGCTGGAACACCGCCTCCCGACTTCAGGCGCAGCTGGGCCTGACGCTTGCGGGAAACCTTGACGGGCTTGGCCTCCTCCACGGCCTTGGCAACGTTAGCGCGCTTCTCCGTCAGGATCAGCTCGATGTGGGCCGGGTTGGACATGTAGGGACCAATGCGGCCGTGAGCACGGTATGTGCGACGGCGCTGCTTAATGGCGGCGTTGGCCTGAGCGTGCGAGATGTACAGCAGGTCAGTGTCCAGGCCCTTGACCTCGGCGTTGGCCTCAGCGTTCTTCACCAGGTCAAGGATGATCTTGGTGGCCTTCTGGGGCCACTTGCACTTGTCGCCAGCGGCACCGCGGAGCTTGCCCTGAGCGTGACGGCCGCAGCCGCCCGTAAACTTAGTGAAGGGCACAGCCTGCTTGTACTCAAGCACGGCCTGCAGGAAGCTCTTAGCCTTGTTCAGGGGCATGCCCTTGATGGCGTGGCTGACCTCACGGCAGTGCTTAAAGTGCACGCGAAGGTGCGAGCCGCGAGCCTTAGCGGCACGCTGAGCATCTTCAGGTTCCTGGCTGTAGGACGGCATGATTCTTGCTTCACGTTCGGGTTCTGGAAACTGGTGAGCGTCGGCCCCAAGACCAAACAGTCCACGCGCCCCCACCACCAACCACCCAGCCTACTAAAATTCGACAAATTTTAGCCAATCAGGATGAATATGTTGTATACATATTTTGTAAATGTATACACGCAGTCAAATACACACCATGCCGGGAAAAAATATTCTACAGTATTAGCTGCAGCTAGCTACAGGATTACAGCACTGTTAAAATGACGCCTCCGATGCGTCGTCGGACTCACTGGGCGCGTCTTCGATGTCGCCGTCGCTTTCTTCTTCTTCGGCGTTATCTTCTTCACCACTGATGCGGTCTTCCTTGTACGAAATGCGCTGCCCAGACCCACGACGCGATCGACCGCCTGTGATGATCAAGCTGGTGTCGATGCCCTCCAGCTCCTTATCCTTATCGTGTTTTCTCTTCGCTGCGCTGATGTCGCGGCTCGTTGGATACGAGCCGCTAAAACTAACACCAGCATCCTGCAGCCGTTCGCGCAGAATATCTTCTGCTTCATCTGTCGACTCCGCACTCTTCAGGAGCTTGTATACTTGGGGGCTAAACCGGAAAGACAACGTTAATGCCATATAACGCGCATTACACATCCCAAATCAGCTGCAGAGTACGCACTTAAGAACGCCAGCCGCGCGACCCAATTCCTTCAACGAAGCCAGTCCTGGCGGGTCCACTTGCTTAAAAGTCTTCACCTTCTTCACCGGTGGCGCAGATTCCTTGATCTTTCGCTTCTTGGAGCTGGTCTTATCAGGCTGTCTCACATACAAAAGATGTACATCAGTTCACTACACTCCAAAAGGATCTGGCAAAATGAAAGTCATACCGTTGCTCGCTTCTTCCTCACTGGAGCAACCTCGACCTCATCATCGCTCCCAGTTCCGTCACTGTCTTCTGGTCTAGACTCATTTACATCACTTCCATCGGCTTCATCCGCATCTCCTTCTTCATCGCTTGCATCCACTACTGCGTTAAGCTTGTGAGTGGAGCGCTTCCTGCTGGGTCGAAAATCACCACTTTCCTCTTCTTCTTCTTCGTCTTCTTTTTGGGAATGGGCTTCAGCATTGTCGCTCTCATTTTCTGAATTATCCCCACCTGGACATAGCTCAAGCATATCCGGCAGAAGCGCCTTGATGCGTGGCCTCCATTGCGCTTTGATGTCCACGAACTCCATGTCGAAGCGAATCGCTAGCTTCTGCATCACCACCTTCAGCGTCGCCGTGTCCGCATTCATCTGTGGGAGCATATCTCGCAGCGCTTTCACAATAGATTCCTCGGTCACCAGCGACTCCACGAACATTGGTGGCGCTTCTTCACCCAACGCTTCCATCATTATCTCAACTTTTTATCCCACTGGTTGTCAAACTGTTCGCGCCAAAAACAACACCTGTCCTAGTCGCTATCTAATTTGAGGGGTAAGTTGAAGTTAACATTGCTGCAAGTTGCACACATTTTTTTTTTCATTCTCTCCTGCCACTTTCCTCCTCACTCTAGTCTTGCCATGCATCAGCGTGTTAACTTTCTAGTCTTCTTTGCTCTCGTTATCAGAGTCGGACGTTCCTTCGTACTCTTCTTTCGCCGTGTCATGAGCACCCTTGGTTACCACGCCAACGAGTACTCGAACCAACAGAAGTCCCCACCAAATGTGCAGGCAATACAGCGTCGTGAGCAGCACGTTGAAGAGCAGCCACGACGGCGGTCCTGGGTGTGGGAACAGTTGCGTAAAGTCGTGAGCATCTGCCATGGTCATGCTGGCCTCACGGTTCTCCACCATGGTCGTGTAAAGCAGCTTGGCAGGGTACTGGTAGATGCGGTAGTAAAACCACAGCACGATCGTGATGACGAACAGGATCTCGCTCGTGAACAGACCCGGGACGCCTTCCATCTTGAGGTAGTTAGCCATCTTCAGCATGTCGAGCGGGATATCAGTCATGTCGTGAAGAAGCAGCACGACCACACCCACTGGCAAAAAGCCAACCGCATACGACCATGTGACAAGCGCGATTGTGACGACGTGGTGGGTCATCATAACCAAATAATCCTTGCGGATCTCCTCCAAGAACTTGCATGAGAACGCAGTGTAAATCCAAATGGCCTGTTTAACATTGGTACAGTGTTAGCCCACGTACGGCACCCTGTCACTTAAAAGTTATACCAGTTGGGTGATGTAAAGCAGCTTTGTGCTAAATTTCTGCGTCGGGAACACGCCCGTATCCGTTCCCTGATTCCACACTGCATTAAGATCAGTCATTCAGATGTTTAATCTTCTCCTCATCCACTACTGCAGGGTTCTTACGGGTCGTCGTGTCCTGCCACCACGTCTCATCGCGCAGTACGTACAGTTCGAAGATCGTCATGGACACGTGAATGACAAGCTGCCAAGACTGATCGCACCACTTCTTCATGGTTACCGCCTTCTTGAGAGGGTCTCCAAGATGCTGCAGGAACGTGCGCGAGAACCACCCTCCTCCGATGGCAAAAGAGGTCTTTGTCAGCTTGACCGCCAGCGCCACCACGAAGAGCATGGCAAAGAGGATGTACAGCATTTGCTTGTCATCCCACAGCGTGTGGGTGATGACACCGAGCTCGCACACGAGCAGGCTCACCAGCAAGGTGTCCAAGATCGGGTTGGGCTTTGGAATCGAGCGCGCCATGTTTGAGATGTGCTGCTGCCCGGTTCTTCTTTTGTGCCGCAACGACTAGGTCATCAAAGGCGATGTAAGCTAATGCTACAGACTGAATAGGCGTATAACTTATTCAGTTTTATACAATAAGCCATACTTTCTGTGTTATTGTGACCGAATTTCATTGTGGACTGGAAGTGCACATAAACAAATCGGGTGCAGTAGCGGTATGCATAGCAAATCCAAAAGTGCCAACTTATAACTGATCCCGCTAAATTTGACCACCAGGCCAACCATTGCTTCTGGACTTCAGGCTGGAGTCAGGCCTTCATCAGTGAATTCATGTATCACGTGCGGCTTTTAGCGTAACTTCCACTAGCAAGGCATAAATCTGCTTCGGCTCACTCGGACCAACTACACATCCCATTTTAAACGCCTTCCGAGTCGGTAACCGACCTACAAGGAACCACAACGTACGCGTATCGTAATCTGCGGAACGCCTCTATTATAATGTGGGCGTCATCCTGTGACGGCGCCAAGGCTGGTTGCTATACTAAAATACGACGCGATATCCCTGTAAGAAAAGTGTACATGTGGACATAAGAGGAAATTGAAGATTGTCAGCAGCTACGATCAATCCACAGCCAAGATTGTCATGAGCATCAGGTTTCAAGAAGTTGAAGATCCTTCTCACCAAGGTTATCCAACACACTCAAACATGAGCGGCGATTCACCTCTCGGAAATGTTCGTTCAGCTCCACGCGGAGCTTCTCGGTCTTTGCATTCGCCGCGAGGCTCTTGCTGAGGCTGTCGAACACAACTAAGATCAAGAACTGGTTGAGCACGCACATGTTGTACTGTCGGCGCAGCTCGTCCAACGACAGACGCACAGTTTCCGTCTCTGTCGTCAACGCATTGTGGTAGATTTCCAGGCATTGTGCTTCTTGTGCTCGGCGATGGTTTGCTTGGACGCTGACAACAAAAAAGAAGGCGAGGTCTCGCAGGGGGTTACCCTTTCCACACGTCGCCCAATCTAGAAGCCACGTAGCCTCGTTTTCTGTACCACCAGTAGGTAGAAGCATATTTGCAATGTGGAAATCACCGTGAATCAAACAAGACGGGCCGCTGTCCACCATGTCGTGCACCAGTTTGAGCTGATCGGGCTTTCGGCTCAGACGTTGACACAAAGCTGTCAATGTCGTCTTTTTGCTACTTTCCAACGCAACATCATCCAAAAAATCCTTCCAACAATCTGGAAACCTTAAGCGCTTCTCTTCACCGGTTAGTTGACTACCAATCCCTGCTGGGGTGGCGAGGCCGTCGCAGTCGTGGTTCCAGAAGCGAGCGTGCATCTGCGCGAGCTTTGTCACCAGCATCGGGATGTGGTCCGGTGGACTTCCATCCACACACGTGAAGGTCTTAATCGACTCCACGCACTCCAATACGATGAGCACATTGGATGTGAAGATCGCAGTCGGGATAGCGAACGGGAACCCCATAGCTGCAGCCGAATTCTTAAAGGCCGCATCGCCTGCCTTGGTTGTAAACTCGTTGTAAAATTTGGACTCCACCGAGAACATGGACTCAAACGGGAATTCCGGTCTCAGGAATTTTCCCACGAAGCGCTTTTCCACCTTCTTGCAATCGCTACCGGTAGTTGACTCGAACTCTATTCTGATGATTACCACTTCCGCTATGACTCCGAGGTTCATGGGCTCCCACTGGAAGTCAACCACACGATGTGACGGGTGCGAAGCCTGCAGAATCTGCTGCAGAAACTCCGTTGTCAAATCACTAGGCCGCGCCGGGATCAAGGTGCTCGCCATGGTCTCCGCTACGAGAACTTTTCGGAGAAGTGATTGTGCGTCAGCTTATAGGAGTAATTTGATTGGCTGATCGCAATCTTCTTGTGCTTTACAGTGTGCAATGGAGGTACATGTAGTAGCTGAAAAAGTGGCGCAGACAGGATAAATCCAAGCCTACGGATGCGGCTGGGATCGACGCACTGAAAGATGTTCCCGATCAATTGTCTTTGGAAGACTTATGCAGTGCACCCGTGGCTCTCGGCTCTGTTGTCCACGCTGTAACTGGACCTGCTGCCGTTTTGAAGCTCAGTGGATCAAACGACTGTCGTTGCAGAGTCCCCCGAGTTCGCAGTCACCAGTTTTGTTGATCCGTCAAAAGCTACGACAGTATTCGTGCTGTCATCCGAACGCGAGTACTGAAGCAATACGTAGTACTTTGGATTGGGCATACCGATCCAGTTATCCCTAAATTGGATTGAACGAGACCCCGAGCACCACTATCGAGTGCTTGTCAGTACACGAATGCAGACACGCCCATTTGATTAATATCGAGTGCGTCACTTTCGCTATATTCGGAGTCCCAGGTTTTTTTTTGACTGAGTCACAAGCGTCTTCAACGGTGCTCGATCATCTCCGCGGTACGGGCTCTGACCGTCGTAGCCGTGGGTGTTCACCTTGCCAATGGCAGCCATAGCGTCAGTGCTCGATGACATGGAGGTGAGCGTGGACAGCGCCAGCGACGGTGAGTTCTCGTCGGATGACGAGATGCCCACATCTTGCAGACCAAGAGTGTCCAGATGCGAGCGCAGCTTTACTAGGACATCCATTTGCGTGTCTACCTCGAAATGGCAGCCTTCTTGGCCCCCAGGGAACTCCCACCACGTGCTCATCGGCTCGTTAAAAGCTTCAACATATGTGAAGCTGATCCCCCAGCTCGCTCTGGCGTGGCTAACCACGGTGGGCTATATACAAGGCAAACTGGTCATGGTTCCAGTCATCTAAATTGTCCTTGCCGCCTTCATCCCCGCCAGCGGTGGTGTGGTTGTTTGTCATCCACCACGGAGGCGAGTTTGAGTTTGAGAATGCTTCTACAATAGTGACATCGCGTTTAGTAGCAAGACCAACCATTGCACTTTGCTTCGCATCAGCTTCCAGCTCCAGTTTGTGCTCATCGGGTCCTTGCTCATCCAGTCCGACCAATACGTCTCCATACTGTTGAATGCCGACATGCTGTCCGACGTTTTCATGACAACTTCGGTGCCGCTGTCATCGACCACGTTGTTAGCAGAGCCACCGATGTTGTACCGCGCAATGGTAAGTGGACGTCGAGCCGTTCAACGCGACAGCGTCCTTTGCCGTGAAGAGTAAAACGGCGATGTCTTCCCGCTCGCCGAAGACATGTGCCCATCAGCAGAGCGATGTTCCTCAGCCATCCCAGGAGCTGATTAGAGCCGTGGGCAGCATCAGCCTTGACGGTGCAGTCTGCGTTGGTCTGCAAAGGTTGAGAAATCAAGACAGCGTAGTTAAGCACTAAAGTTACGAGTACTCGAATGGGAAGCATCGTCTTGGTGAGACTTTGGTGTGGGCGAAATTGAAAGCGGCAACCGGAAAGGAGTGTTTTGATCACTTCAGATTCATCTTAAGTCAGAATGATGCAAGTGCACCAAGTTGAAGAGGAAACTGTACCTGTGCTGTTCGTGAGCCAGAGCTCATTGTACAAGTTCCTTACGAACAGGTTAGTGGTCGATGGTGGATTTGAGATTCTCAATTCGTGCCAACTTGGCAGTAAAGGCTGCACAATGAATCATTATTGTACGAGCAACAACGTGTTGTTCGTACATGTACAGTATTATGCAAATGACTTGATCACGCTCCTGTTGCTTGAACTTTGAACGCTGGAAAACGTGGGTGAAATCTGGCTTCAACTTCAAGGTCGGATCGGTATGATATCGTTTGATCACGGCGCGTGAACGTTCATGCACAAGACTAGTGTCTTGAAGACAGTACCGGTAAGCAGTTGAAGCAGGTGATTATGTTTTGAAACGCAGGTGCTGGCAAGAAACAGCCTTTCACTCTCGTACAATGTTAAGATTCAAAGAGCATCACAAGGCAACTCCCTCAATCTCGAATGTCGTCACTGACGCAGCCGGAATCGAAGCACTGAACGTCGAACGAGAGAGCTCCACCTTTGATGTTTTGTAAAGCGCCCCCTTACCGCTGGTCTCCGTCGTCCAAGCTGACGCAGGTCCTCCCACTGACTTGAAGCTTGCCAAGTCATACGTGACTTTCGAAACCGCATTGCCAGCATTCACTGTGGCAAGCACTAGTAGTTTGGTCTTTGCGTCATAAGCCATGACGGTATTTAAATCATCTGTCGACAGGATGGTCATGCCGGGTCGAATATGACGCGAATACTGGGCCAGAGCATAGTACTTTGGGTTGGGCGTATCAATGGTCATGTTGCCGGGAGCCGAGTTGATGAGGCCCCAGCCGCCACCGTCAAATGGCTGCCAGTACACGAACGCGGATACGCCCATCTCATTGATGTTATTGGCAACTCCCTGTGCCAAGCTGAGTCCCGTCGCATCCTTTTCGCCGTACTCGGAGTCCCAGAATTTCTTCTTCACCTTCTTCACCAGCTCCTTCAACGGAGCTCGGTCCGATGCACGGTTGCCGTAGCCGTGGGTGTTGATTTTCCCGATAGTGGCCATCACATCGGCATCCTTGGACATATCAGTGAGTGTGGCGAGGGTCTGCGTGTTGGAGTTTTCATCGGACGAAGAAATAGCTACATCTTGCAGCCCAAAGTGGTCCAACTTTGTTCGTAACTTCACTAAGACATCCTTTTGCGTGGCTACATCAAAGTGACAGCCTTCCTGACCTCCCGGGTATTGCCACCACGAGCTCATGGGCTCATTGAACGGTTCGACGTAAGTAAAGTTGATACCCCAGCTCTCCTTTGCGTGTTTGACCACGGTAGCCATGTACAACGCGAATTGGCCTCGATTCCAGGTTTGTAAATTATCCTTTGTTCCGCTTTCCCCGCCAGCGGTGGCGTGGTTACTGTTCATCCACCAGGGAGGCGAGTTGGAAAACGCCTCAGTGAGGGTGGCGTCACGCTGTGTAGCCAACTCCAGCATCTTGCGCTGCTTTACGTCGACATCCCAATCCCAGCTCTTGCTACTTGTTTCATTACTTGACCAGTCCAGCCAAAACGATTCGATAAACTTGAACGCTGGCATATTCGGTGAGTTCTTCATGGCAATTTCAGTGCCGCCGTCGTCAATGACGTTCCTGCTGGAGCCACCGACATTGTAGCGGGCGATATTGAAACCAAGAGCCGGAAGACCAGATGACCTGCCCTTCAGTGTGACGGTGTCTTTCTGCGTGAAGAGGAGGTCGGCAATGTCCTCACGATCTCCAAAAGCGTTAGCCCACCAGCAAAGCGAAGTGCCCCAACCTTCCCAAGTGTCGACCAGTGTCGTGGATGCATCGGCCTTAACCGTGTAGTCCTTCGCGGTGACTTGCAAGGGGAGTGAAAGCACGAAGACATACGCCAAAGCGACAGCTCCGAGTGATTGAACGGTTAGCATTATTCACAGCCTTTAGTTGTCGGACCCAAAAGCGGAAGTGGGGGAACGAAATAGAGACGTCGGCAGCGCTGAGCCAGGCTCACAATTGTGCCGTGTTACAAACACTGTTCTCCACCAACATATGAAGATGTGAGATGGAGATGTGGGATCAGCTTGCGATGAGGTGGTCTCTGTACGTTATCAGTGGCTCCAACTTACATGTGCAGTGTTTCGATTGGCATGATAAACGAGAGTCGAGGTGAGTTAAGTGCGTAAATACTACTACTGTAGTATCGGATAGTATCCTGTACGATAATGCGCCACTGCTGGTGATTGAATAATGGCCTTCGTCGTGGGTTCTTAACGCATAGCCAGATGATTCTAAGCTCGATGTGCAAAGCCAGCAGATCAATTTAATCCTGGATCATGAAGGCACCAGGGTCACCTCGATCGAGTTCGCAATCAAGCATCTCATTTAAGCAACTCCTTCAACCTCGAATGTCATCACCGACGCAGCCGGGATCGACACACTGAACGACGTGCCAGACAGCTTCACCGTCGACGCCTTGTAGAGCGCTCCCTTACCGCTCGTCTCCGTCGTCCAAGCAGACACAGGTCCAGCAACTGTCTTAAAACTTGCCAAGTCGTATGTGACTTTCGAGGCCGCATCCCCCGTATTCACTGTAGCAAGTACCAACAACTTGGACTTGGCATCATGGGCCATTACGGTATTCACGTCGTCCGTCGAGAGGATAGCCATGCCCGGCCGAATGTGGCGTGAGTATTGAGCCAGCGCGTAGTATTTGGTGTTGGGCGCGCTTATGGTCATATTGCCTGGACTTGACTGAATAAGACCCCAGCCACCACCGTCAAGAACTTGCCAATACACGAACGCCGACACGCCCATCTGATTAATATCTAAGGCGATCGATTCGGCCATCCCAAGCCCCGTTCCATCCTTTTCGCCGTATTCCGAGTCCCACAGAGTCTTTTTTGACTTCGTTACGAGCGACTTCAAAGGCTCACGATCCTTTCCACGGTATGGACTGAGTCCTTCGTAACCGTGCGTGTTCACCTTACCAAAAGTTGTCATCACATCGGGGTTTCCAGACATACTTGTGAGTGTCGACAAGGCTATCGAAGGCGTATTTTCGTCGGACGTTGCAATGATCACATCTTTTAGTCCAAATTTATCCAGATATCCTCGAAGTTGTAGTAAGAGGCTATTCTGCGTCTTCACCTCGAAGTGACAACCCTCTTGTTTGCCCGGGAACGTCCACCACGTACTCATCGGCTCGTTGAAAGGCTCAACATACGTGAAGTTGACACCCCAGCTATCCCTAGCCTGCTTCACGACCATGGCCAAATACAACGCAAACGCGTCGTGATTCCACGATTGCAAGTTATCCTTCTTGCCATCATCCCCACCAGCAGTAGCATGATTGTGCGTCATCCACCATGGAGGAGCGTTCGAAAACGCTTCCGTAATGTCAACGCCGCGTTTAATGGCCAGATCAAGCATTGTGCGCTGTTTTAGGTCGGCGTCCCAGTCCCAACTCTTGCTGGTCGAGTCGTTGCTGACCCAGTTCAGCCAAAACGACTCGATAAACTTGAATGGCGGCATATTCTCCGACTGTTTCATAGCGATTTCGGTGCCCCCATCGTCAATGACGTTCTTGCTTGAGCCTCCAACATTGTAGCGCGCGATGTTCAGGCCTAAAGCTGGAAGCGCTGTTGCTGCCCCTTCAAGCTTCACACTGTCCTTACGCGTGAAGAACACATCAGCGATGTCTTCACGGTCTCCGAACGCATTGGCCCACCAACAGAGCGAAGTGCCCCATCCTTCCCATTTGTCTAGTAGGGTAGTCGAGGCATCAGCCTTAACCGTGTGGTCAGCAGCAACCAGAGGAGACTGCGTTACCAGGAGAGCACACGCCAAGGTCGACGCTGTCAGTGACCGAATGGTTAGCATCCTGTCGAGCTTGAACCAGCACACGGTGAAAGCAAAAGTGAGCGGTTGAGAGACGCACCTTTAATCAGCGCACCATCTTAGTTCGAATCTTCGTCCTGTTGAACAGAGTCACGGACCGCGGTAGCTTCCAGCGAGCTGTTGGGACTCATTTGTGGGCCAACGTCGAGACCGATTCTCAAAAAGGCACTTGTATCCTTCACTGTAAACGCTGCTAACATGTGAGCTTTTGCAATACTGGCACGGGAACTACGAACGGATAACATGCATGACAGTAATCGTTTGTCGAGCTTGGATACGGTACTCTACCTTACTCCATGATTTCGTGTTTTTAATGCGTTAGCTTTGTTGCAGTACAAGAAGCAAAGAAGTACGCGCAAGACACAAGTGGATCATGTATTCTTTTATTCCGCTTGGTGCTCAGATTCCAGTCGCTGACCATAACACGGAAGAGTTGCCTCCAGCACTCGCTAGTAGGTGACGTTTTGGATTCCACTGCAAGTCCAGCACGGGACCATTGTGACCTTGAGGGAAAGAATGCACGTACTGACCAGCTGCGCTCTTATAGAAAAACACTCGACCATCTTCCGCCCCGGTGACCACATAGGCACCATCAGCTGAATAGCAACAACCAAGTTGAGGGTCGCCACGCTGACTCAGCGTCAATCCGTGTTCCTTGAAAAGATGCAGAAGCTTGCCCTCAAACGCATCCAGGTGAAGAAACACTCCGCGATTCGTCGTAACAAGCAACTGGTTTCCATCGGGACTGAACTTGAGGTCAAGAGCATGAAGCTTCTTCGTGCTCAAACTCGGAGCCTGTATGTGTGCGAGGAACGGCTCCACTCCTGCCATAATTGACGCGTCGTACAGCGAGAATTTGGCAAATGGTCCTTCCTGATAGTTTCGCGCGTCATACATGCGAATTAGGTGGTCACCAGTGTACACACCGAACACCACGCCCTCCTGGTCATACGCAGCGCAAACGTGCGAGACTGGCGAGTGGTCGGTTCGAATGATAGCCTAGTTGTAGGAAATGGCTTTGGTTAGCTCAGCTTAGTGCACTATCCTTCAGTTACCCATGCCGCACCGTTGTATCTGAATTGCGGATATCCCAGAGTCGAATCGTACCGTCCATTCCAGCGGAGAGGAATTGGTCTGCAGTGGGGTGCATCATCAGCGACGTGACCCTGCCATCATTCGACTTCACGTGAGCACTACCAAGCACCTTATAGTACAACTACGGTACGTATTGAATCGAGTTACCTATCGGTGTGGCCAGTGTAGTAGCGAAGAAACTTGTTGTCGAAGAACGAATGATACCGAATGCGGTCTATGCGAACAGATAAGAGCCATGGTAACTACCTTCAATATACCAATAAGCAAGCAGTGCCGACCAAGAAACGTACGATCATTCGCAGTGTTAGCCGATGAGAAGATCACACAGTCCAGGTGATGGGTAAACCTCACAATGCCTACGCCGTATCGCTTCGTCAAGATCGTCTTGGCAACACTGCCGAGAGCAATCGTCACCTGTTACCCTTCGATCAGCGCAGATATCATCGGTAGCAGTACATCAACGTACGTTCCACTCAAGCAGTTAATCATGGACATAACACCATCTCTGCGACTCGTGACGCACCGCTCGCCGTTGCGGTGGAAGTCCAGCGACGTGATCTGAACGTTCGGATCTTCATCCTCCTGCAGACAGTTGACGGCCGGTTGCTTCAGTAAAACAGACATATATATACAACTAGTATTTTCAGCTATGGGAAAAGCTTTCACCGACCTGCGGGGCAAAGTTGCGAGCGACGCTGAAGGAGCGCAACACGGCATCGGTCAGCTCCACTCCTCCGTCTGCCATTATTGCAAATTTGACAAAATAAAACTCCATCATGATAAATCTAATACAAAAAGCAATTTAAAAAACGCTTTTTTTTAACTCATACTGATATCCGCTCGGCTTAATAATACGGAGATTCGAAAGTAAACATGTTTGTCCTTTCCTTTTCAAATTACTATTCTAACGAGAAAAAATACGAACGTAAAACAAATTTTAACCGTTCGTGAACTTCGAAGAGTATCATTTTACAATTTGTTTTAACGCGTTAAAACGGAGTAAAAAAAAGTTACAACCATGCGGCACCCCCCACAATCCGAGATCGTCGCCGTCCACGTCACCTATTTGGAAGCATAATGTCGGGCGGGCACCTGTCCAAGGAGTTCTTCGAGCTGGTCAAGTCGATCGGTGAGAGCAAGTCGAAGCAGGAGGAGGATCGTATCATCATCCATGAGGTGGCGATGCTCAAGCGGAAGCTGAGCGAGGTCACGGCCACCTCCAGCACGTCCAGCAGCCTCGTAAACAAACGCAAGCGCGAGTTCCTCATCCGCCTCATGTATGTTGAGATGCTGGGCCACGATGCGTCCTTCGGCTACATCAAGGCCGTGGAGATGACCGCCAGCACTAACCTTATGCAGAAGCGAGTGGGCTACCTTACGTGCAGCCTTTGTCTATCGCCGACGCACGAGTTCCGCTTTATGATCATCAACCAGCTGCAGCGAGACTTGCAAAGCTCCAACCACCTCGAAGTTTGCGCTGCCTTAATGGCAGTTTGTAAGCTCGTGACCGTCGAAATGGTGCCAGCCGTGCAGCCCATGATCCTCGATCTGCTGCGTCACGACGCCGAGCTGGTCCGCAAGAAGGCGGTGATGGCTATCCACCGCTTCCACCAGCTCAACCCGGACTCGGTCAGTGAAACGGGAGACGCACTGCGTCGCACTCTATGTGACCGCGACCCCAGCGTCATGGGCGCCACGCTGTGTATCCTACACGACCTGGCGGAAGCCACCCCCACGGACTATAAGGACCTTGTGCCTAGCTTTGTCAGCATTCTGAAGCAGATCACAGAACACCGTTTACCACGTGAGTTCGACTACCATCGCATCCCAGCGCCGTGGATCCAAATCCGTCTATTAAAGATCCTGGCACTGCTGGGTCAGGCTGACCAGCAGACCAGCGAAGGGATGTACGAAGTGCTACACGATGTGATGCGTCGTGCTGACACTGGTATCAATGTGGGCTACGCTATTATCTACGAGTGCGTGCAAACTGTAACGACGATCTATCCGAACAGCACGTTGCTCGATGCTGCGGCTGCTAGCATTTCCCGCTTCATCTCGAGCGACAACCACAACTTGAAATACTTGGGTGTCACGGGGCTTGCTGCTATTGTGAAGGACCACCCACGTTATGCTGCAGCGCATCAGATGGCTGTCATTGACTGTCTGGAAGATCCAGATGAGACGCTGAAGCGCAAGACACTGGATCTGCTGTACCGCATGACGAATCCCGTGAATGTCGAGTTCATTTCGGACAAACTCACTCAGTTCCTGCGTGAAGCTTCAGATGTTTTCCTCCGTACAGAACTGGTGTCGCGTATCACGCAGTGCGCTGAACGCTATGCTCCCAGCAACGCCTGGTACATCCAGACTATGACGAATGTGTTTGAGCTCGGCGGTGACCTGGTTCGCCCCGAAGTGGCCCACAACTTGCTGCGCCTGATTGCTGAGGGAAGCGGTGAAGACGAAGACCAGGATATGGAGCTGCGCCGTGACGCGGTGGATACGTATCTGGAACTGCTTGAGCGCCCCGTGCTGCCGGATATTCTGGTCTGCACTATGGCCTGGGTCCTTGGTGAGTACGGCTACTTGTCGGACGCCATGGAGCTGGAAGAAATCTGCGAGCGCCTTGTGGAGCTTGTCGACCGTCCGTTCGACCAGGAAGACACGACGCGTGGCTACGTGCTCTCGGCTGTGACGAAGATCACAGCTCAGATGGGCCACACTATCGATGTGGCAGATGCCATGATGGACAAGTACAAGAACAGCCGCAGTACGGATCTGCAACAGCGCTGCTTCGAGTATCTTGCGCTCACCAAGAACTTCTCCCTCATGAACGAGGTGTTCCCTGAGGATGCTAGTTGCGAGGATATTGAGGTCGATCCCAATCTCTCGTTCCTAACGAGTTTTGTTGAGAAGGCTGCAGCACAAGGTGCACCGCTATATGACCCACCTGAGGACTCGGACGATGAGGATGAAGGCTACGGCCACCGTCGCAACGGCGGTGATTCGAACCGCCTGAACTTTGAAGCCTACAAGAAGCCTGAGATTCCGTACCCAACCAAGCTTCCTCTTGCGGACCAGCAAGGTGCCTTTGGAGCTAACAAGTGGGGTGGCAACGGTGCCCAGAGTGGTATGTCCGGATTGGGCAACTCTGGCGGACCCGATCCTGCTGGAGGTTTTGGCGCTGGAAAGCGTGGAGTGGTCAAGAATGTGTGGGGTCCTACGGGCCTCAACACGCCTGATAATGCGCCACCCGGACAATTCGGATCTGGTGCCCCTGGAGGCTACCCGTCCGACCCTTACAACCAGGGCAACCAAGGCAACATGGGCGGCCAGGGTGCCTACTGTGGACAGGGAGGCTACGGTGCTCAACCTCCCGCCTACGGTGGCCAGGCATCTTACGGCGCTCAGCCTCCGCAGCAGCCGCCTCAGCCGGACTACGGTGCTCCTAGCAACTACGATAATGGTGAGCCTTCGAGCGAGGATGAAGCCAACGGCAATGTCGACGAGCGGCAGATTCTGGCTTCTGCCATATTTGGTGGTATTCCTGGCGCTCCGGCGCCGATGCCTGGTGCTCGCCGTGTTGGCGCCAGCACTCGTGCAACTCTTAACTCAAGTCGTCGTACTGGTCGCTCGACTTCGCGGCGTTCATCGAACCGCAGTGAACAGCCGCCACAGCAGCAACAGCAACCACCCCAAGCTCAAGTCCCTGTCGAGCAAGTGGCGCCCCCGCAACAGCAGTCGAAGGTGGAGATGGACTTGCTCGACATTTCATTTGATACCCCGGCCGCTCCGCAGAACGGAGGGATGTTCCAACAGCCCCCACCACAACAGCCCATGATGAACGCGGACCCGTTTGGAATGGGTTCTCCGCTGGCACCGGCGGCTGCTCCTGAAGCTAGTTCTCCTGCCCCCTCCGCGTCGTTGGACCCCTTCGACATGTCAGGTCTCGGCTCGAGCATGAACGGTGAGTGTACAGGATTTTCGTGATGCTTTGCGGCAAGAATTGCTAATGGTTTGCTATGGTTTTTGTTTGCATGTATAGCCGCTGTTGAGCTTGGCAAGAGCCCTGTCAATGGTTTGGATATGTTGAGCGGCAGCAGCAGCACCGGCATCTTCCAGTATAACGGACGGCAGTTAGAGCCATGGCAGATCACTACGCAGGACTTTGGAGGTCGATGGGGTGCCTGCCCGTGCGAGAAGAAGACCAAGGTGAACCCGAGCGGTATTCGAACGCTTGAGGACTTCATGGGCCGCATGCACCAGTTCAACGTGCATACCGTCGAAGCCATTCCGACCAGTACGTGCGCTATCTATTGATGCTCAGCCAATCGAGGCTCTAATAACGTCATGTCTTCTATCTGCTTACTCCAGCCAACGAAGCGATTGCGGCTTGTCGCCTGGTGAATTCGGAACACGTTGGACTGATTCATGTGAAAATCCGTAGCGGTGGCTTCGTAGATCTGACGGTTCGCACCGCCGACATGGACTTCTCCGACCAGCTTTTGGAGGCCACAGCTCAGCGACTGAAGTAGGGACTGCCAAATAACTCGGCGTAAATGCAAAATGTTGTCATGCGACGGTGCAGTATTTGGACATGGCATGTCATTAGTATGCAATGCTTAGACGCTGATACTGTGTGATGGGATAATATCCCATGAAGACTTGCTGCTCCGTTACGTTAACTATATTATAGCTAACGTAACGGAGCAGCAAGTCTACTGTACACTTGCCACTGGCAAGTTGCCAGCCACGCCGGACAAAAGAAACCCAGGTGCATGCATCAAGCGAAGCACAAGTAACACACTTTATGACATGCATTGTATTAGTATAATTTTTTATTAAAATACAAAAGCGTAATGGAACATGTATTTTAATAAACAATAATTGTTTTGTCTGAAGTAGGAATTAATTGCTTAAGTAGCAACTAGCCAGTTCAAAAGTGGGATCAAAATCTGCAATGGACTCCTTGGACATCAACATTGCGCCGCCTTTCCCTCCACTAACCTATTTACAAAAACCGGGGCAGTACTAGCAGACCCTTCGGTAAAATATATCCATCAACCAGAGCAGCATCGGTGCTGCCTGCCATTACATGTACCCGCTGTCCCCGCAGAATTTAAATTTTTCTGCTGCTCCATTTACCGGTCTCAGGTGCCAACGTTGGGCGTGTGCTGAGCGTAACATCCTACAGGCCATTTCAAAGACGCTTGGGACCGCGATGCAGCCTACTACCGACAGCAAGAAGCCCCGTGAGCGCGCCGTCAGCTCAGACAATGCCAATCCCACCATCGTGCTCAATCTGCCGGGTTTCCGCCTTGCCGTGCTGACTAGCGCCTATGACTCGCTGCTACGTTTTGATGTCACCCTCAGCTCGGCTGCATCGCTGCTGCTCGGCACATACGTCGCCTGTGTGCTTGCCTGGAACATCCTCTCGGTCGTTCTTACCTCGCTGGCACATACTGCAGCGTTCGCGCTCATCAGCTTCTACACGTTTATCGGCCTCGCCATGCTGTCCATGGATACAGTTACCACGTCTACCACAGCTTCCATTCGAAACTACTACGACGGCACCCGAGAGCTAAAGAAGCAGACAACCACCTCCGCTTCGACTTCAAAGCTTCCGTTGCTCTCGGTTATCTCTTCCGTTGGAAGTTCCAAGTCCACCCAGGCAGACGAAGCAACTGCTTTCAAGAGAAAGGAGCTCCAGGCCCCGGCTGCTCGTCGTCGTGTGCTGGCGCACCTCAATAGAAATCGCCTTTTGGTCAATGTGGTTCCGGGAGACATACGCCGCCGTGTGGATATGAATCTAGGCGAAGCGAGCATTCGCGTCGGCAAAGCATTCGTGCAGGCGGTGCCTGACAAGCGCAAACCCCGTGATATTTACCTTGTACGTGTGGACTGCGGCGCCCAGTCGGCTACTCAGGAAAAACACATGAACCCCGTAATTATGTGGGACATAACTGCAACCTTTGGCGAGTTCAAGCAACTCGAGCGTGACCTTAAGAAGGAACTCAAGGCGAATAAGCAGTCGCGTGACGTCAAGGTGCCGCACATCTCGAGCGGCGCTGTGCTCTTCGTGCAGCCCGAGCTCACGGACCACGTGCTCAATGCGCGCCGAGTACGTCTGCAGACGTTTATCGACGCTGTGCGCTCCGACCCAGTGCTCTCCTCCACGGGATGCTTGCGCAAATTTTGTCAAGCGTACTAATGTGCTATCCCGTTGCTCTCTCTGACCGAAGGAGGGTTTTGCAACGGGAGAGAAGATCGTGCTGCTTCGAATGGAGAACGAATCCATCCGCGGTGGACACGAAAATGAAGATACCAAAGCTTCAATTGTATGTATGAGTGGGTATTCAAGACAGGCGCCATCGGGCCACCGTAGTGGGAGGTGACGACGTTTCTCGACGATCGAATGCGGCGTTTTCTTATGCAAATTATAAACACGATCGCGCGTAGCCACTCTGACGGGAGTACGCTACGCACGAACTAAAGGCGAGCAACACAGCAACCGTGTGACGCTTGAGCCGACCGGAGGCCAATAGTACAGAGATCGACTACATGACAATCTTTGCGAACGCAGGGAGAAAAAAATGTAAATAATGTAAAGTTGCTGGTGTTGTAACGTGGCGAACATGGCACCCTTCTGTCCGAGAAAAGCTTTTCCTTGAAGCTGGAGCCCTCAATCGGCTAAAGTGCTGCCGCCAAGATGTGCTTGTATGTACATTGAACAGTACAGTACTGTACTCTATTGGCGACTGCAACGATAGCGTGAACGAGCTATTAATAGTTGAGTCGCACGGCAAAAGCTGCTGTCCATCTTGATGCTAGCGTAATCAATGACAAATAAGCCTGGCTTTGCACCGCTCCAAGACCTCTGTTGACGTATTTGTCATTGGTTGAAAATTTCGCATTTCGTAAACTTTGCGTCAGGTATTCGAGCGTTTCCGGCTCGGAGGTCTTGCGTGGCTGTTCATGCACCGGCACCTCCGGGTTCATGCGCCATTGAGCACCTCGGTACAATTTCGCTTGATTCGCGGCTCCCAGGCTGCCGAGATGCGCGTCACCGGTATTGAGCGACTCGCCCAGCGAGCGAACGCGATGCGACGTCGGAACTTCCTGTCGATAGTCGCAGCCTTGCTCTTTTGCACAATCAATTCAGTAGCCGCAACAGATACAGAAGCCGAGCAGCAACTGCAGCTACGACGGGCAATAGAGGACGATGATAAGCGAGAAACTGTTAGCGTACGGGGCCTCATGCCCATTGTGGACGGCATCTACCCCAACACTACCGGGGACTACGATTACCATTGTGAGGGCGACTGCATGCGATTACATGTATTGCAAGTGGATACGATGCACTGATGTGTGGAGTGTGTTTTTGCTCGATAGATGGGAGCTATAGCGGCTACAATGGATATGAGGACAGGTCGGATGGCAGCAGCAGCAGTGTAAAGACCGCGGTTATCGGCGTCAGTATTGGCGTCGGGCTGGTGTTAATCACGATCTGCTTAACATGGAAAGCCTGCGTTGAGTGTTGCACGAGCTCCAGTCGACGTTCACGCCACCGAGCATTTATTGAGCGCCCGTACGTCTTTTTGGAATTATGTGGGATTACGTGTCGCTACGTATCATTTAACCGTTGGACGCACGCGTTTCCGGTGCTGTGGATACTGCAGAAATGCAGGCTGGAAATGCGACGTTTGCCTTCACCGAAACGAGTTTTCCCAGGCTGGATGTGTATTATGTGGCACTACAGCTGAAGGTCTGGATTGGCAAAGAAAACTGTGATTTTTAAATCACTTAAAAGTGCGTTTCTCACGTTGTTCATCTTCACTTGTGAACTTACTTGTGATGTAGAATCGAAGATGATTCGAAGTCGACAAGAAGTTGTAAACACGTCGACAGTAACCGCCCCACAAGTGGGAGACAGTACACGCTCAGCTTCCAACTACCTACTCATGTCTCCTCCTCGCGTCGCCTGGATTCGAAGCCTAAACGCAGTTTACAGTGGAGATTTAACTGACCGCCAGTTAGTTGCACGTGAGCGTCACCAATGGAAACGCTGCATTGGAGGGCAAAGTGTACGCTGGGTAAGGTAGCTTTTTAACTCTGGTGAGTGTTCATGTGCCTACTAACTGTAGCATTTTCCATCTATAGGTTAATATCCCCTTTGAAGCTGTTCAGGAGAACGAAGCTTTAAGCAGCGTCATTATAAGAGAGCGGGACTTCCAGGATTGGAGGAGGCGGAACCCTCCAAAAGTGGCCGGGTCATCTCGGGTGTCTGTGTCTTCCGTCCTTTTCTCGGACTCAAGCGGACAACAAGCGTCGTGGCTTACCCCTGGAACGGCGTTCGTGCGCGATGACTCACGTCCCGAAAGCCGAACTATACGCTGGCGTTTAGCCGAAGAGTGTTCGACATCATCTCGCCAGTATTCCAAAACTATCCTGGTAAAGTGGTCCATGCTGAGTCCACATCCTTGATTTTGTTTCAACATTAATCGTGTTATGTTTCTTGCCACACATGCAGCGAGCATCGACTCTAGCCTTCTCTGAAAAAGCACAATGGTTTTATCAGTATTCACTTAAGCTGTGCTCATCGATTGTCGAAGGATACCATACAATACGTAGGTTACGTGCTCGTGTATTTGCAGCTGGAGTGTGGCTAATACTGCTACTTTTCACTGTACAGGAATCCACCGTGACAGGGTTTTGAAGCAGTCTATGAATCTCATCATGTCGGCACCAAGTGGAACCCTCCATCGTCGCCTTCGAGTCGATTTTGTGGACGAGGCTGGCGTCGATGGAGGTGGAATACTGCGGGAGTGGCTGCATTTGGTTTGCAGCCAGCTTTTCGCCGAAGCACCGGGGTTGTTTACGTTGACAAGCTCATCGGCACACCAAGGGTATTGGATTAACCGAACCTCCACGGGAAAGTGTACGAAGCAGCTAGAGGTATGTCTGGTACTGCTTCACGACAGTTTATTGTCTAACGTACTTGATACAGATGTACGTCTTCTTTGGGAAACTACTTGGCAAAGCGCTGCTTGAAGGCCTTCTCCTGAATGTGCGGCTTTCCATCCCGCTGCTGAAGCACATTCTTGGTGGACCACTGAAGCTGTCTGACCTGTATCTCCTCGACGAAACGGTATACTCCAGTATGATGTGGATTCTTGAAAACGACAACACCAATGCCTTGGGTTTAAATTTCACGGTTGAAGGTATAGAACTTATTCCGAGCGGTGCCGATGTCACACTGCATGATGGAAACAAACAACTCTACGTCGCAAAGGTGGCACAATATTATCTGTTTGATAGTGTTCGAGCGGAGATATCGAGCATCATGGAGGGTTTTCGTAGTGTCGTCAACGATACAGTTCTTCATGTATTCGACTTCAAAGAGCTCGATTTGCTGCTGTCGGGGTTACCGCAGATCGATGTCGACGACTGGAGGCAACACACAGACGTTCGGTTTTACGAGCAAAGCACTCACGAGTTTGAATTAGTTGGGTGGTTCTGGGAGGTCCTGGAGTCTTTTTCTCAAGATCAACGCGGTCATCTACTGCAATATGTTACAGGTTCCAGCGGCGTCCCCGTCGAAGGCTTTAAGGTAGTATCTTCGATCTGGATGACGCTTTTCATGATGCTCCTAACTCTGGTATTTGCTCTGTTATTCTCAGGGCCTTACTGGTATGGATGGCGAGATTCAGCTTTTCACAATTCAACTGGGGAAAGATGTTTCAACTGTGTACACAGTACTACCCCACGCAAGCACATGCTTAAACAGGTGAGCTAATCTATTCAAACTAACCATTACTGTCAGCTCTTCACTGACTGCCTTCGTTCTTGCAGATTGGATTTACCACTTTATCCTTCTAAAGTTGAGCTTGAGCGAATTTTGACAATGGTATGTGCCTGCTTTCTCGCGGCTTAATGGCGCTAACAAGAACATTTATCGTGCTTTTTGGAATTGCTGCAGGTGGTAGAGATGGACGTTACAGGATTTAGTAGTCGGTAGTGATAAAAAGTTGTTGATCATTAATAATCGCCATCGTCACTTGTGGCTTCGTCTATCATTTCCGTGGTTTCAACCTCCCCGCTGGTCTCGTCTTCAGGCAAAAACTCCTTTAGCACGCCCAAAGAAGCTTCGTTCTCTTTCCGGGATGCAATAAGTAGCGGCGTTGTACCGCTTGCGTCGGGTTTACGCGGATCAGCGCCGTGGCGAAGCAGTATCCGAATTGTAGACAAGCGACTTGCTGTAGAAACTTCTTCTCGACGCATTTGTACCGCCCAATGCAGTGGTGTAAATCCAAGCCGATCGATTACATTTGCATATGCTCCGTGCTCCAAAAGAGCTTGAGCTGCCCTATCAATTGCTTGCTGCCCACAAACATGCAGTGCAGTCGTGCCATCCCCAGAACACGCATCTGGATCCATCCCTCGCGCTAGAAGCAGCTTTACTCCAAAAATGTCATTGTTTCTTGCCGCTTCACGCAGTTCATCTCCATCTAAACCAGTCACATCAACGTGCATGTAGCAATAAGTAACACATTCGCTTTTCAGCTCAACCAACACGGAAAAATGACGTACCGTGTTGAGGTTCACGAAAGAACCGTGCAAGCGCGAAGCTAGCGCATACTACTGCAGCTACAGACACCTCAATTGGCAGTCTTACATACGAGTGAACATTTGTAGTAGATCTCTCTGCAGCTGGTGCACCGATGGTAAATATTCTTGCCGCCATCTCTGCACGATCTTGGAACATCATGCCTTCAACGTATCTCGGTTGGTAATATCTTTGTCCCAACTCCGGAGTGGGTCGAAAGAAACTCTTAACAATGCTAGTAGCCATACTTTCAATGATCGGGTCCCTGAACACTAGCACCGCGTCGACTAGTGCAATGACAAACGCGTAGAGCGGGATACCGACCAGCCGACTCCACTTACCATGATGCAGCGTAAGAGGCAATGGCAGCACGTGCTTCCAGAGCTGTGTGGAAGTCGCTGGGCTCCATAAACGGCTGTGACGATAGTCCTGATACAGCGCCGCAGTGGCTGCGACGACCAGGGAGATGTGAAAGAGCGGTAGGAAGAAGGCATGCGGGAAGTTCTTAGGGTACCGCAATATGGCGTCCTGTAGCGCGCCCACCACATATTGCAGCACCAACACGCGCGCGAAGCTGTAGAAGATGCTTAGCAGCAGAACTGTAGTTCCCACCTTGAGCGGATGCTGCGCCACCAAGATCAGGAGTTGCCTCATGGACACAGACAGACTAAGCTCAAGATTAGAGCCGCCACTTGAAGCCAAAGGCAAACGCCGTTTCAAAATAAGTAGATCCAAAAATAGAATTTTTTTTGTGTGCTGCACAAAATCGATGTAAACAACATCATATTAAGTTTTAGGGGGAGACAACACCAAAATCACTCGAGGCGATGGCGGAGGTGAAGACGCCGACGGAAACCAACGGCGCTGCGGCGGCCAAAACCAGCAGCAGCAATGGCCGCACTCGCGACCCAGAGCATGACGAGACGCGGAAAAGGCGCGCTCCCCCCGGAGCTAACGCGACGCCCGAAGAACGCGCACGCTACGAACTGGAGCGCAAGAAAGTGGCCAAGTACAAGGAGGATAAGCTCAAGGCGCGTCGCGATCACACGCGCATGATCTTGGAGAGCCACGCTCAGGCCAAACGCCGCGCATTATTGGGGAAACAATCAGAGTTCTTGGCCACCCTCGAGTTTCGCAACACGCTACCAGATATCCCGTTCGACACCAAGTTCGTCAAGTACCCGCACGAACCGGAAAGGTGCGGCTACAAGGCACAACCATACAGGAGAGATAAGACGATAGAGAAACTGACAATGTTTGTGTGTGGATTTTAGACTCATCAAGTACAAACCTAACACGCTGGAAATGGACTACACGTACGAGATCCACGAGGAGCCCAATCTTGGCCTGACCATCGACCTCATCGATCCGACCAAGTATGAAGGTAATTGTATGGTCTTGTGTGGCTCTGATTAGTTAGTTGCATGCTAATGAGGCTGCTTGCTTTTAATTCTACAGCCCCCTTGGAGCCCGAGCCGCTGGAGGTTGGCGACGAGCAGACATTGATGATGAAGGAGGACCATGCCGGCAACAAGGGCCGGTCCAAGGCCCGTCCAACGGTTTCTTGGCTGCGACGTACAGAATATATGGGCAACGATCTGTACGACTCGGTGCACAAGTTCAAGAGCGAGGCAGAAATTCAAAGCGCACTGCGCGAGGGCACGGAGAACGCGCTGGCCGAGGTGGTGTCAGTGACGCTGGAGGATCGTGCCGAGGCGTCCTTCCACGACATCAACGACTCCAAATTGTTGGTGCACCCACACAACAAGAGGAAAAAAATTATCAAGGTGTGGGATGTCTTCCCGGATCAGATTTTGTCGGCCAACAAGTATGCAATTCTGGTACGATACGATTTTGTCATGGTAATTCTTGAGTGTAGCGTATTAACGCTGGTGTTCGATCTGCAGTCGTACGATATGTTACCGTCGGAAGATGTCAAGAGCAAGGGAATTACCAGTCGCGAAGAACGTGCTTTGTTGTGTGGTGTAAACAAGAAGATCCAAGCCGGCAACGAGCTTATTCAGGGATCTATTCTGTTGCCCAACGCCTCCACAGAAGAAGAGGTATGCTTTTATTGTGAAGACAACACTAGCTACACATCTACTGACCAGTTTTTACTTTTATTTCCACAGGAAAGCAACGACCGCGAGAAATTTTCATACCTCCGAGAATATCTTATGTCTGTGGATTCGCTTGACAGCGTACGTTGGCAACAGGTCTGCTTTAGTAGGTATACGGTGCACTTACGTTTGTACCTATTTGTCCGTGAATGGTGGATGTTCTCCCGTTACAGCGCGAGTCCCAGCACATTGTCTTCATGCTGGACCCGGAGTCCAACCAGTTCACGTACAGTGATGTTCTGAACCGTATTCAACTCAGAAAAACGAAGGTATGTGAAGCTGAGCCGATGATTTTGTAACCCTGGTTTTATCTTCAATATCGATTTTGCCAATGCAGATGAGTGGAGAAGAGAAACGTCGTCATGGAGCTGTCGTTCACCGTCGGGATTACTCGGAAGGCGAAATTGACAGCCGCACTCAGATTCTTTTCGATTGCGGAGGGGTTTACGATGAGCAACTTGATGACGAGGAGAGTGTGCGGGAGCTCAAGCGCCGACGGGCAGGAGAGAAGCACACATCGTCTTTTTCTGATGACGAGGAAACGAAAGCTAGCACCCCTCCGCCGGAGAGTTCTCCGGAGAAAGCAGGCAGTCCTGCTGGAAAAGATGGTGGGAGCGATAGCCCGGTCCCGCAGAACGACGGAAGCGCTAGCCCGGTCATCAGTGACAGTGACAGTGATTAGCTTGTTTCGCTATGACTAATTTATCAGGACAGATAGGAAGTGTACATGTATCACGAGTCGAGGCCATCAATGCACTTATATCAGCTGATAACGCGAACTTTTGTTTTTAACGATATTGATCCATGATAGTATTCATAGTACCAGTAAATGTTCCTTTAAAAGTACCTAGTCATCATCTACTCATCTGTTGTTCATGATAAAACACGTACTTCGAAGTACGAAGTAACTTATTGCCCCTTGCGCTGTTTTTTGCATACTGCAACGGCACCAATGATACCGGAATCGTACCCCGCACTTGCCTTCTCAATGCGAACCTATAGGTCGAATAAAACGAAACACAAACGAACGTGAGCAAGGCGAGCGCAAACAAAACGTGATAAGAGGAAGCGTACAGGGTTGGGAAATTTGGTCCACGTGTGCTTCGTGTAAGCTCGCCGAATCTTGTCGATGTAAGCCTCTCCGGCTTCAGCAATGCCTCCTGACAGCACGATAATCTTCCAATCGAAGTAATTAGCTCTTGGCTTAATAACCCGCAAACTACTGTGTACGCTACAGTAACAACTTTACCTCAGGATCCAACATTCGGCAAAAGGTTACGCATGCAAAACCCAAGTAATCGGCAGCCTAAAACGATCAAAACATGTTAGACACATGAAGATCACTATAGTAATTTGTCACGCACTTCTTCGACCAGATGCTTGCACAATTCGTCACCTTCAGCGGCATGCTTAAAAACGAATTCAGCATTGATGTCTGCTTCCGAATACTTAGCCAGACTCGAGTCTCTGCCTGTACATTCATGCACACAGTAACGAACTCTCCTAAGATCGTTATTGTTCAGATAGCAAGAAATCTGAAGGCAACGAACCAGCACGCAGATGTTCCTGAACTTGCGACATCAGTGCACCTGCCGAGCTGTAAGCTTCAAGACAGCCTCTTTGCGAGCAGCCGCACGGTCTTCCATTGCGTTCAACAATCTGCACACAAATGAGGGCATTACATATCACTACCAATGTCATTGGTACAGCGCCAGAGAAAAGTTCCGTACCATGTGACCCCCTTCAATAGCATTGCTTCCACCTCGCACAAGCTCGCCGTTTGCAACGACACCGAAGCCTACACCGGTGCCAAGAGCTACAAATAAATGCGTTTACTTACTCCAAAAGCGATTAAAGACGCTCTTCGATGAGAAAGAATCATACTCAACATAATAAAGTCCTTGATGTCACCCTTGGCCGTGCCCACCCATTGCTCTGCTAAGATAGCGGCGTCAGCGTCGTTGCACACCGTGACCTTGCGTAGCACAACACGCTGAAGGTCAGTGCCACGCCATTCCAGACCCATTTGTTCAATATCCTTCATACCGGTCTGCCCAGAGTGTTCGTAAACAACTGCTGAAGTGGCACATCTAACCAGGATGGAAAGTTGGCAGCTGCGTGGATAACTCCGCCAGCTTCCAGGACACCGGGACAGCCCACACCGACGGCTTCCAGGTCTCCCAATCCCAACCGAGTCTGTAAACATCATATTCGACAAGTGGGAATCTCCGATATCCAAGTACACCATACATGTAGTTAAAGGCGTACCGTCTCGAGCACATTGTGCATCACGGAGATGGCCAGATCCACGACGTCCTGCGGCTCATGCTTCTCTGGGTGATAGTTCTTCTGCTCTCGCGCGACCACAGCGCCCTCAGAATTTACAACGCCCACTTTGACGCCCGTTGCGCCAATGTCCACACCCGCGAACATCATCGTCGCTGTCATTGCCGTCTCCGGATCAAAAAGCTAATAAAGCCGCTGTTCTCACCTCACCGCCGCTTGAGGTCTGATGCGTTTTTTGCTCTGAACTTGCTTGCGTGGTGAAGCGCAGTATTATTTATAATAGAACTTATAAAAGCAATATTAGTATCTGTGAAAAACATCCTTTTTTTCCTCAGTAAATAATCTTAGTAGTTTTTAATACTACTAATTTAAAAACACAATTATTTTAAAAGCTGTGAGAGAAATTTTTTTTTAAAATTCACATATTGAAAGTATTAGGTTTCTTTTAGGAAAAATAATGTTTTAAATAAAAAATATATTTTAAGCCAAATATTTAAAAAGCGCTTTGTTTCAAGCTCAAGCATTTTCCGATTGGCAGAAAATTTACGCAATGAAATGTTGCAAGAGGCCGTGTCATATAGTTGAAATAGGTAGGATGGCGTTCCTTCCGGACGACGAGATGGCGGCGTTTAAGGCGGCGCTGTTGTTTGTGGACGAGTTTGCAGACGGGAGAGGCGCCGCACCCGCCCCCGCGCAGCCATTGGAGGTGCTGAATAAACAGGAAATGGAGTGGGCGCTAAGCTTGCCTTCGTCTTCCAAGGACTCACCCAGCTCGTCGTCGTCAGTGGCGTCTCCACAGCCCAACAGCGAGAACCACCACACCACAACTGATGAGGACGGTTCACCTCGTTGCGTGGGGAGCGAGAAGCCCAAACGCACTCGAGCGCCGCGACGCCAGACCGTCAAGAAGCTGCTGCGCAAGAGTTGGGTAACTGGCGACTCCAATCGGGCCAGGAACGAACGCCGCATTGAGGTGGCTTATCTTAAGGAGAAGGTTGCTCAGCTTGAGGCAGAACTGGAGAGTTTGCAGCATCACCGAGCCTCCACGAAGCTGATCAAGCAGGACGAACACGATGATTCAACTTCGGGACACGAAGGCGCAATGTCGGTTGCTGATCAGTCAGTCTGGAAACCAGTAGCTCAACAGCAACGCAAACGCAGAGAGAAAGCGGAGATTGAAAATGCGCGCTTGAAACTGGTGCTGGAGAGTCAACTTAAGGCTGCCAAAAGCATGCAAATGCTGCTACTGAAGCGAGCAAAGAACCAGGTACGGGGAGTGGAAGCATTTTGTCTTATGTGACGTTGAGTTGTATTTTCGTTGTGATCTGACGTGATATTGTGCCGGTTTGGCGCAGTTAATGGAGTGTGCACGGACTGTAACACCTGATACCACCGATTTCGCGGCTGGCCGTATGGTAAACTATCATTCGGATCTCGGCGACTTTGAGGATATGCTGGTTATTCTTGAAGGAGCTTATCGCGAGATGGATGCTGTATTCTGCACAAATGGTCTGGACTCGATGGAGGTCACATACAAAGATACTCAAATCCGCGAGGGAGACGATGGTATTTATCTGGACGTATTCTCAAACAAAGTGCTTCCTTTCGATCTGGACACCACTGCTAAGGCAGTGTGGGACCATTTCAAAGGTGCTGACAAGCACCGAGGCAAGGTGTACGAAAAGACTGCAAAGGTACGATGCATACTGTTGTATATTGTCCCGTTTCAATTTCATTGCTGCTTACGAATCTGCTGCTTGTGATGCAGATTTTGGATGAATCCGATACGATTGTCGAGAATTTTGCGAAAGAAATGTACGTCGGCTCGACGCACGCCATGTTCCGTGTGAAGCAAGTTTTGCGTCGCTACGTGGAGAAGGATCGTGTGGTGGTGGTGTTCATCTCGATCAAGACGCCTTTGGAAGTGGTGGATGAGCCTTTTGCAGGCCTCACGCACCGTCACCAATGTTATGCTGTGGCTAAGCGCTCATCGGTGTCCCCATCACAAGCTGCTGGTCCGCGGTGTCTACTGCAGATGTGTTCGCTGGTGTCGCTTGAGCATGGACAAGAACAGCCGGAGAACGACTCTCCAGTCATGGGAGCCATGACCAAGTTTATGATGGGTGCTGCTGCTAACAGCATCACGGCCAGCCAGGAGCTCATCGAAAACGCGCTCATGGACCAGGCAGTTAAAAACCCGGTCGGTTAACCACCAGCGTATACATGTAGCTCCTGTACGGCAACCAACTATCAAGAGACGCATGCCAACCACTTGACTGCCCTGCACGCAAGCGGCCCTATGAAGCCGATCCCCTTTCTACATGTACAATTCAGCGCACCATGCAAATAGCCTCAAACACACCAATTCGCACTAACAAGCGTAGTGCTACATGTATACATGTCCATGTATTGAGGTGTTTGCTCTAATCGAATAGATCCGCTCAAAATTTGGTCCAGTTTGTTTTTTGCGAGCAATTGCTTCAAGATGATGTGGATCGACACTAACGTACCGTCCTCGCTGCTGCAGACCGCACGGCTCGAGCAAAGACACTGGGCTAATACGCTGCTCGTATTTTTCGTCGCCGTATTCCTGTGCAGCTCGTATCTCTTTTGTTTCCTGTACCGCCGCTGCTGCCTCTGCAAGCGACGACACAATGAGATGGCTCTCGTTCCAAGTGCTACAGTAATGGTCAGCGATATGGAGGAGCCGCTGCTGGGAGACTCAGTCTACGACGGCCAGGTGCCGACTTTTGAGTATGTTCCTCTTGCCCACGAGTATCAACCATCAGCACCTCCGTTGGGCTGAGAGAATGGTCACCGGAGATTGACCTAAAGTTGCAAGAGTCAATTTCTCGTGCTGGCGAACTGCTGCAGGCGACTGGCGACACAAAGCCTTCAATATTTGAAATAAATTATGTATGTGACGAGCGATAATGGACTTGTGGAACGTAAGTGTTGTAATAAACTTGTTGCCGACTTCCGAGGTAGTTTTTCTTCACTTCGACGCAGCTGTAGAACCGGCGTCAGCATTTACTGGAGTAACAGCAGAGTCGCTCACAGGGGATACATGTACATCGTCTTCTTTTGTCTCTTCTTCTTCCGATCCTAAGATCTTCTTTAGCTCAGCAGGATTCGTCTCAGTTTCCTGCTGCTGCAGTGGCGGCAACGAGTTAATGGTTTCCTGGATCTCTTTCTGGTGCATTGAGAGGAGCTAAAGCGAGAGCGGTAAGTAAATGAATGAACGAACGATTAAGTGTACTACTGAATAATGCAAGCCCACCTCGTGCAAGAGCTGATAGAGCAAATCAACTTCAAGTCCCATGGCAATTGTGACCCCCTTCGCATGTTTCGATAAATCCAGCTCCACATACACGACTTGAATGCCAAACGAGGTAGTTTGGACAATATTCACGACATCTTCGAATGGAACCACAGTTATGTGTGCGAACACGGGCACCATTGTCCGGTAAATTAAGTTTCTGCCAATATCAAAAATTAGGCCCCATTCTTGCTCCCGAAATGCAAGTAAACTGCCTTACCCATACGTCACGTGAAGTGTGACAGGAATCCCATTGACCATGCAAGATGTCTCGTATAGGAGCACGTTGGATCTACAAACAGTCAAAGCCGACCCATACCCACCATTACTCATCAGTCTTCACTACAAAGTTTAACGCCAGCAACATACCTGTCATCTGCCGGGGATTGGTTCAGGCTTGACACTTGGGCACCATCCCTGTCAGATTTACAACGTCAGCTATAGTTTGTATGAAACACACTTCTTTCCGGTGCTTAGAGTAATAGGCCACACGTACGCTTCCATGATTGCCCGGATTGCCCGCGTTCGCAAACTTTGCACAGCCTCCACCCTTGCAGTCACCTGCTGTTGCTTCTCTTCAATCTTTGCTCGTAGTCTCACCTCGCAATCCTCTTTACATATCCGCCAAAGATTCTGCACCAGCTCTGAAACCACTTCTCCGTAAATCTTGCTCGGCTCACTTGAAGCAGAATGGTTAGGAGAAGGAGAAGTATCACGAGGGTCTGACTCCTTCGGACAAGCGACCTTCTCCTCAATCAGTGTCGACACGTCCTCTGTTACTGAAAGTGATTCGACCTTGGCAGTTACTATGCTTGTCTCTTCTTTCAAGTCTTTAGCTTCTGGTGCGTCTGTCAACTTGATGTCGTATTTCTTGAGGGACGGCTCGAGTAGTCCGATCAGCATAGCACAAGCAAACTCTTGGTCGTAGGCATACGATTCCAAAGGAATACACAAGTCTCTCATGTTTGCCTTCATTTCACTGACAAGGAGTAACAGCAGCTGCATCAGTACAGATACGCCACCATGTTTGCCAGGAGTACACTGCACCTGCTGAACGCCCTCTTCAGGTCTGCAACGTATCCTTCATCCAGCTCTGCGTTCTCCACTACAGTTACCCCGAGTTATTCCATACAAATACAGTCAGTAAAGCCATGAAAGATTGCCAAAGATTTCAGCTTCAACGATACCTGAGTCCATCGAGTTTTCAGAGGAGGCCATGTACAAATGGCTTAAGGAAAGACATTGGCTAAGAAGTGTCGCCTGCAATGCCCCAAGCAGCTGATCCAGCGCATACTTGTGAGGCTGATTGTGGTCTTGAGCCGTCCACAGCGTATTTTTTCCAGTTGATACCATGCCACCAAGAAGCTTGTTCTCGTCTGACACCAACGTGCAGACATCCACCACCCGCAGCTTGGATGGCGACACACCAATGTGCGCGTAAACATTGAGGAATGTGGTGGAGTTGGCCATGCCGTGAGCCATTGATTCCTGGGTCACTTTTTTGCGGAACAGCACCGAATTGGGGTGCTCCTCGGTGACCAAGAGACCTTTGCCGATGCAGACCGTGGCGATTAGCTCTTTAATTACTTCCCACGAGCGGTCAGGCCGAATCTGCACCTCTAAGATCGTCCACTGACTCGGGTCATTCTCCACAGGCAAGCGCGCCATCCACTTGTCCTCGGACGTCACGGCAGCGCGGACCTTGTCTGCGTCCAGGAAATTGAAGTCCGAGTGGTCCTTCACGGCGCTCTTATTCTCTTGCTCCATAGGGTCAGCGTCCCGGGTCGTCTTGCTCATGCCGAACTCGTCCTCCTCGTTCATTGTGGTGCCTTGTCTTCTAGCGAGCAAAGAACCGTTGATGCTTTCGTTCCGAAAACAGCTCCGAAAATAAAAAAGAGATTTTTTGAGAATTTAGTCCTTCTACTTGACTCTGTGACTTTTTTTAAATAGTAATATTACCCGGTGGGAAGCAATGGCAAGAATCGAAGAAGTTGCAGCGCTCGAGCGCTGGAAGGCGCAGCGCCTCGCTCAGAAGCTCGATGCAGACGTACGCTACACGAGCAATCATGAAGGATATAACGTGGATGCTGTAATGATGCTTTTCGATAGATTCAGCAGCTTAAGGTCGCGCTGAGCGAGCTGGACACAGTGCAGCCGAAGAAGGTGTTTTTTTTTCAAATTCACATGAGAAAGCGTTGCGAGTCGCAGTGCGAATTAGTGCACTTTATAACATATATTGTGGATCCATTATGAATGACAGACCACATATACTAAGAAGGCCAACGTGTTCTTTCTTGAAAAACGTGATGTCATCGTCCAGACCAAGAAACGTAAGCTGTGCGGAATGTCCGAGTTTCATTACTACCGTAGTTTTATTATTACCGACGGTGTCGTAAAAATGCAGGCGAGCTGAGGGATAACGAAAAGAAGCGGCACGATGTCGGACTCGAGCTTCGTGAGAGTAGTACTACGACGTAGAACGCAGTAGCTCCATAGCTCTAAATGCCGCAAACTTTTGCAACGTTTCAGAAGTTACGTAGGCTTCCAATGCCTCTCTATTGGCAGTACTGTGTCTTTTAACTAAATGATCTCGCTCTCCATGTCTAACGTCATGAAACTATTGACTCTTGTTTCATTAGCTTCAAGGAACATTTTATGGATCCTGCAGGGAGCCCGTGCATTAGTAAAACGTGTCTGGTCTAGGTCTACGCAAATTATGCAGCACTACTCGAGTGTCGTCATCTATGTAGTAAGCAGTGTGTCGCTGGTGGAGGAGGCACGGTGGCGCAATCGTCTGTTCACGGGCGAGCTCGCTAGAGACTTGTGTATGGCTGAGAGAAACTTGGCATCGACGTACTTAGTCACAAGCTCGTGGACTTCTTGCGCTAGCAGCTCCCGTTCCGTTCGAAGCACCGCCACCTTATCGGCGTGAGCTGTGATGTTGAAGAGGAAATACACGTTCTCGGCGATGGAGCGGCTCTCTTCCAGTACGCGGATGTGCGAGTACAGCAGCAGCGGCAAACCAACAGCCAGCACATACGCATACGATGATCCGAGGAAATACCAAGTTGCAAGGATCAGTACGAGCCAATGTACAGGCACCAACACACTACACGCAAAACCACAAGTTTGTCGCGTTAGTGGCACATTCGTACCGAACAGAAACAAGAGCAGATCAGAAACTTACGCAGCAGCGAAGATCTTGAACATCGACTTGGATTCCACGAATCCTGCGAGGCTGTTCATCTTCGTTCCTGTGGGTGTAGACGCCAGTCAGATCAATCTCAGCCACAGCTTGGAGCCTCCTACAAGCCCGACTTACCAATAAAATAGTAGGGTAAATTCAACAAAAGCCCGGGCGTGGCCAGTGGCAGCAGCACAAGCAGGTACAGAATCCGCTCCAAAAACAGTTGCAAAAGCGATTTCTCTTTGGGCATCGGCAAATTCACCTCTTGGTCTTTCAACCGCAGCTTTTCCAATTGCTCTTTGTATCGAAGAACTTTTTCACGGATCGTAGCGATTCGCTCCTTTTGCTCGTCGTCTTGGGGCTCCTTCTCCAGCATATTGATAATGTACTGTGTCAAACGGACTTCTTTGTTGGTGTCAATGGGGCCAGGAGTGTTTAGATAGAGGCGTCGCATCATTCGCGCAGCGTGGATAGTGCTGAAGTCAGATGCATTCAAAGTCACATCGTGCATGCGCTCCTCTAGCTCCAGGGTCAGACGCTTCACCTCGCCATGTTCGTCCTGTTGGAAAGCTTCAGTTTGCACCATGTCGGGCGTGATCACCATCGGTGGACCGAATTCCAGCGTCATCTGGCTCCTGAAGTGGTCTTTGTTGAAGTAGTTGAGACCTAGCGGGATGATCGGGATAGGTTGGTCATAATGCTTAGCGAAACCCGTCGCGACACGCACAACACCCGTACGCAGTGACAGCATCTTTGGAGCCGTGTACGATGTTCCTTCAGGGAAAAGCACCATGACGTTGCCCCCAGCAAGTACATGCCACGTATGCTCGAACATTTTGCGGTTGGCCGCCTCCAGTTGCTCGGGAGTCTTATCTGAGTCCACGTCGGCGAGACTGTCCTCTTTGCGCCGCGGACGATAGACCGGCACGGCGCCGAATTTCTTGAGGAAGAAGGCGGCGACAGGGTTGCTGAACAGCGAACCCTTGGCCCATACGTACGGATTGCGACCGTGACTTACGGCCTCGGTCATGACGAGAATGGCGTCCACAAGCATGTTGGGGTGGTTCGGGCACAGGATCACAGGCCCCTCACGCGGGAAGTTGTTGAGTCCGTAAACCACGATTTTGCGGAAGTAAGTGTGTAGCAATAGTCGCAGGAAGCGCGCCACCATCTTGTAGCCCTGTGTAGCAAGGACCACGACGGCCAGCGCAAGCCATAGTAGCGTAGACAGCATAGTGATCTTCGGCAACGATCAGAGTTGATGGCGGATCTAGGGCGAAAGCTGCAAGTGTCTGCGTGGACGCGCCGCTGAGAAATGATACACTCTCGGCTGCGGAAAAGCTGATGACGCTCACCAGTGAAATGGGTTAACGTACTTCCTTTTTAACAGCATGTCGATTCGGTTGTATGACGTATTTGAGTGCATACTTCAGACCTGTCAAATACTGTATGCTATTAATACTCACTTTTAAAAATGCTTTTCTTAACTAACGGACGCGCCCTATTAGAGTCCGGACTATATTTAATAGTGCCGCCCGAAAGTGACAGAGAGGACTTTAAACGGGTAAGAACTTTATTCCTTGCTGAAATGATTCGTGTACCAGGTTAATATCGTCTAACGCATCATCTAACTCTGAAAGATTTAACAGATCGACGTCTTCGTCCATATGCGGTTCCTTCGACCACTTTTCACGAAATTTTGCGCCTTACACATCGTGCTTGGATATAAACCACGACGAGGGGTCTCTCGAGAAGCCTGCTATTTTAACGCTCCGCAATTGTTGCCTCATCCGTGTATCGCCACGCGCGGAGGCCCCAATCGCAAACGGTGTCAACACTTGGCATACGTGGGTTGTATTCGACTCGGCCTGACTCTTTCCAAGCGTTAATTTTCATGTACAGTAGGTCCTTGAAACGACATCTTTAATCCACTTGATCACCTCTTGCTTACGCCCAATGCTAACTGTCTACCTTTGATGAGGCATTATTGGAAATGACGGGAAAGTGTTTCTCTCTGTAGAATGGATGGTCAGCAAGTTTGATTTGGTAGTTTTTATAAGGACTCTATTCAGGAGGGCTTGTATTTAATAGTGCAGGCATGAGCACCCCACAGGATACTATTCGGTAGGGGGCTTTTATTCGGGCGCATCCGTTATCATTACCGTTGGAGGTGCTCTTTATTTTACTTCCTCTGGTCGGAAATGATCACGCGAAACTGACAAAATGACCAATCGCTTCAGCTCTATTTATCCAATACGGCATCTGATTGGACCAAACGGAAGCCCTGCATCTCCTCTTTTTAAAGCCACCGGTTGTGCGCAGAACGGACTTCTATAGCCTCTGCAATTTCAGTTTTAGCTTTCAAGGTTTCAAGCCTCGCCTGGAGTGCGACCCGCCACGCCTGCGCTACGCTGTTTCTTCCTCTATAAACATGCCGAAGTCCAACCTTATCGACAACGAGCGCAAAAGCCGTCATTGACGAGCTTCTAAAGATCAGCAACAACAGAGAACTACCCCGTGAAGCGTTTGATGTTCTTATGAGCCGACTTCCGGACACCGTGAAGTTAATTGGAGCTGTACAGCTCTGCAATGACGGCTGGTGTCGTAGGGGTGAGTGACTTAACCGGCTTAAGAAGAACAGCGGCAGAAAGCGGAAGAATCGAGACGAAGTACGTGACAAACTGAAGAGCATTCCTATCGGGGATAGAGCAGTTGAAAGACGTGTCAGTAGTATGATAGGTTTTTTCAAATTTCTATCGAGGATTGAACAGTTGAACGACCTATCATACTAACTTCGCGTGATCATTTCCGACCAGAGGAAGTAATAATAAAGGCTTAAATTATATTTAATAATAATGTTTTAAAAGTAAAAATATCGACAAAGTGTCACGCCTACTGGGATACCGGTACCAGTACCGGTACAAGAAAACGACAATGCATTGTCGTTTCGTTGATTCAACACGTGCGGGCGGCTTTCGCGCTATGGTTTGTAAGTTACCAAGCAGTCCGAGTTGCATGCAAACAAGGCCCTGCCGTTGGTAACCTTGTCGTGAAGCAATCCATGTTGATTTCGTGACAGGGCGGGAAACTCAACTAATGGCCGCGGTTACCGAGAGGCAACGCCAAACATCCAATTGGCGAGGCAGCACACAGCTTCAAATATCAAGTGCTGTTAAGTGATCAGCTTCCAAAATGTTCCAAAAACTCGACGAAATCGGGTTTTGCAATAACCGAAGCCCTGCATTGCCCACTCACGGAGTTTGATTCGAGATTCCGAATTCGGATTCCAAGTGGACAGTCGCGCTTTCAACACCACGAGCCGAAATTTGTTGCTGTCTGTCCAGGACACACAGAGACTGAACACTACGCTCGGAGGGTGGACCGATGTGCCGGCAACCTTGGGCAGTGCATTGCGATGGTCGCTTTCAATTAGCGTAACGGACTCCTTGAAAGTTTATAGTAGAAACCGTTTGATTGGAGCTGACAGCTTGAATAGCTCCAGGTACATCGCTACCGGTATTGACCACGTTCTATTTTGCGAGGTGATCCATTCCCTATGCTGCCGGATCGTGCTCACTGACGTGGGCATGCGTGGTGGTGGGCCGCCACTGGCGGCTTACAGTAAGTCTTCTGCCGAGCTCGGCTTCCAAGGTAACCGGTACATGACTTTACGTTAGGCTCCAGTAGAGCCATAGCCACCAGCTACAGCTTTTAAAGTGGCGACACATCCAATGCGCTGGTTTCTAAAAGCGTCGGTGGTTCTTCGCAGTTTTTCACTAAACTGAGCTTGTTGAATTAATTTGCACCGCTGAATACGATTGAGTTTCAGTGAAGACCGAGTGCGTGTCCTGCGTTGCAGAGGTTGCTGCGCCACTCGCCTGTCTGATGTCAGGGCTGAACTAACGCCGTGTGTGCGCGACACCCGCGGCAACTTTGTCAGGAGCCCAAGCCCCCCTGTCGAAATACCACACAAAACCCAGGTGGTTGCACACTTCGACGGGTGCGTAACTCTGTCGTGGCGACGTAAACGGGGCCGATCACAATTTCGATCGGCACCATCCAGTAAGAGCTCGACGCCACACTATCCAGACTGGATTCCAGCGTCCGCACGAGCTGACGCAGTCGGTATTTCCAACCAGCCACCTCACGTCACTCTCCGGAGACGACGTACACAAAGCCCGCCCCTGCTTGTAGAATTCGCCAGCTCTGCACGTCGTATAGGATACCCCTGCGCCCGTCCAAACCAGGAAGCGACCGACAGAACGAGACGAATAAATCGCACCGGACCATTTAACGTAGCGTAGCGCAGGACAACTACAGGCGATCATGAATATGTTCCAGAGCGGAGTGCAGGTGTTCATCCCTGCAGCACTAAACCGGCCCACACACACGCTTTACAGCATCTGTATGCTGGTGCAGCCCACTAATCAGGAATGGACAGTCAACCGCCGCTACTCGCAATTCCTACAGCTGCGCAAGGACATCCAACACAGACTCGCCACGCGCGGCGTCTCGTGTGCTAACTGTGCTAGCTTCAACCGCGCCATCAGCAAGTTTCGTTTCCCGAGTAAGTCGCTACTCCGCACCAACACGGTGGTGCGCCATCGTGTCTCGGCCCTACAGGAGTTCCTCAAGCTGCTGGTGGGGCGTGTGTACAACGATCTACCTAAGTGCGGCATCTGTGGCGAGGAGATTAAGGACATGATGCGGCCATTTCTTATTCGAGGAGCGCAACCCCTGAACGGCTCCATCACATCGAAGATCAACAAGTCGCTCTCACTCGACTCGTACGCAGTTGTGGACCAACCCGTGGTGCCCGTGCCCGAACCGGCCCCGCCCATTTCGCCCTCGCTGATGAGCAGGGAACTCTTCAGTGCCAGCAAGTCGTCCAGCAAACCCATTTTCACAATCAGTCAGATTTCAGGTAGTAAATCCATTTTCTCGCGTAGCAAGGCGATGATGAGTACTACGTCGGACGACGCTTCCACACAGCCAAACGAGTCGGAGGACCCCATTATGGACTACATGTACTCGGAGAGCGATGAGGACGGCTACGGCAAGAAATACGACGACCAACGTTGCTACGATGAGGCTGTTCCTCTCGAGGAAGCTATGAAGCAGGTGGTGGTGCCCCGAGGCGTTAGTCTTACGTGCGAAGAAGTGGTTGTCCGGCTTACCTCAATGTGGGCTGCTTATGATCTGGATGAAGCACTTTCATCCTTACCGCCCGAGCGGCTTTCACAGCAGGCCAACTTCTCCGTCGACGATAAGGAATACGCGTTTTAAAGTGTATTGTTGGGGAGCCAATTTTGCTTTTCCACCTCAAGGGGTGACTGCTAGCCGGCCAACAGAGCCGCATCGCTTAATGGGCAGAGCATTGTGCAAAACTAAGTATGAAGCAGTCCGTATAATACCAATCCGATCAGCACGCGCGGGTGCGTGGAGACATCGATGCCACTTCAAATTGTAGAGATTTCTTGAGCAATCACGTCATTAGGTGTCATTCCCCTGCTTACGCTTTGATACTGGCCAACATCACGGCTTCTATAACTTGTCGGGGTCGGCAATACCAGTGGCAACCACGGAGACGCGTAGCTTGCCGCCCAGCGAGTCGTCGAAGGTCGAACCGAAGATGATGTTGGCGTGTGGATCATCAAGTTCCCGCGTCACACGCTCAGCAGCCTCATCAACTTCAAATAGCGTCAGGTCGGAGCCTCCCGTGATATTAACGATCATGCCCTTGGCGTCCTGCGAATCAGTGAAGAAAGGTTAACACATCGATCCTGTTTTTTCAAAACTACCATTTACACAAGCAAGCGTCGAGATTCAGTGCATACCTTAATCGAAATATCACCCAGAAGAGGGTTCGCCAATGCATCTTCAGCAGCACGCAGAGCCCTACAAACCGACACAAATGCAAGCAACCATCAGACCATCGCGTAAGCTATTCGTCGACAGCAGCAAGACGCACCGATTCTCTCCATCGGCCTCTCCACTTCCCATCATAGCGTTTCCCATATTTTGCATGACCTGCAGTTACGAGATCAGTAAATACAAAAAAATATACCTTCAAGAGAAACTGATTAAGCTGCGTACCGATTGAACATCCGCAAAGTCAAGGTTAATGAGCCCAGGCATCACCATCAAATCCGAAATGTTCTTGACACCGTCCAGAAGCACATTGTCCGCCATTCTGGGAGAAGATAAAGTGAGGGTGGTAATCGTAGTGAATCGACCTGCTCGAGCCACGCACCTGAATGCGTCCATCAACGAGGTGCGCTCATTTGACATGTTGAACAAGTTTTGGTTCGGGATCACAAGCATCGTATCGACGCTATCCTTCAGTTCAGCGAGGCCTTGTGCCGCAAGCTTTGCACGGTTGTTTCCCTCAAACCGGAACGGCTATGATGTCAATAGAATCGAGGGTTAATAGATCACAGCATTAAGCTAACAATGTTACGTGAGTGAATGAATACCTTAGTAACGACAGCTACGGTGAGGATACCAGCATCTAAGGCAGCCTGAGCAATGACGGGTGCTGCACCTGTACCTGTTCCGCCACCCATACCCGCAGTAACAAACATCTATATAGGGGCAGAAAAGCAGAAGTTAATAATCATATCGTTGTCATCACCAAGTCATTCGCTCAAATCGGAACGTCTTGAGAAACGCAATGTCACCGAGACAAACCATGTTTGCACCCTGAACGCGCTCCAAAATCTCATCAATCGCGGCCTCTGCCGCCTCTCGGCTAATCAATAGTTAAGGTCAGTATGTAAGAAAAAAAAATACCGCTTTTACGCAGTCACTCACCCAACTTCGGGGTTAGCGCCACAGCCCAGTCCTCCAGTCAATTCAGGAGCCATCTGAACGCGGTTCTCCGTCAGCGTCGTGCGTAAGTGCTGAGCATCCGTGTTGCAAACAAGAAACTCCACACCCTGCAGGCCGCGCGCGATCATGTTGTTCACTGCCAGTTCACCACGACCCGTCGGTAGAGTCGATCAGCATCAATTCATCCCACCAGCCAAATAACTCTTCACTATTAGCAAACAAACCCGCATTTCCTCCAGCTCCTCCGACGCCAACCACCACAATCTTCGGTGCAAAGCCCGACAGGTCTGTCACAGGATGGTCCTGTGTGAGCCAAAGTGGCTGTGTGGAGCTCATGGCTGGCGGCACGAGCTTCTTCTCTACTACTGGCGTCGAAACGGCGCTCACATCTGTTGGTGAATCGGGCTCTGCCTCCAGCCCCACTTTCACACCGCCATCCTCGTCTTTTCGAGCCTTTTTAAAGCCCTATAAGTCAGTAGAACCTGTCAGACGCAGCATTCTCAATACATTTCCCAGAAACTTGTGTTTTTACCATGCGTAACGCGGCAGCTGCAGCATCAGTGGCTTCAGTAGAGAAGGCGAGGTGTTGAGTGGCGGACTGGGAGGTCTGGCGGGCACGTAGCAGCGCCATCGCCGCAGCTTTCATGCGGGATATCGCCATCACGAACTGGATCAGAGTTTGTGGCACGAGCCGATATCCTAGGTATTTGCATATTCATTATTAGAGGTCTTTTCATTTTAGTGTTTACCGGTATTAATTTATTTTAATTTAATACTTGAAGTATTTTATATTTTTCAAGCCCTTTGATCCTGGTGGCGTAATTCCTCCACGTTAGCCTTGATGTAAAGCATCACTTCTGCCTCAGTTAAGTCTAGCTGGACGCCGTAGTTACGTCCCACGAACGTGCTGAAAGCGTCAACGTCCGAGCACAAAAGGCGTCCTGTGTCGGTCCAGATGACCACGTCACTAATCACCAATTTCGAAGAGGTAGGCAAGTTGAAGCTACATCGAAACGTTAACAGCAATACAGGAAGTGCACTAAACTAACTTATGCTTACTTACCCATAACGACGCATCAGCTCGGCCGCATCGTTTGGCCAGCGATCGGCTTTCGATGGCAGCTTGGTAACTTGGCAATCGGGCAACGTCGTCGCTAGAATGTCTGCACAGCACCGTAAGCGAGAATGACTAATCCAATTTTCTCTACATCCAGCAAAAGTCATAACCGTACCGAGTAAGCGATCACAGACAGCATACTCTTCGCTGTTGACTCGCCCAGCCAACGTGTAGTGCACCATTGTGCTCGAAGTCACCGAAAGAGAAGTGTCGGCACTCAGAATAGCTGATCATCGGTTGTTAAACGAGCAATTTCAACGGGTTTAGCCAGCTGAGTGTAAGCCCACATAGCAACAAGATTTTTGCACCGTTTATTTTTTCTTTCTCCACCTTGATTTAATACATGTTTCGCTCAATAACTCTACTGTTGCGCATTGGCATTCTCTCGTCGCTTCTTCGCTTCTGCGCCAACACGTTTGAACTTCTTGCTCTCCGTCTTGTTCAGACCGCGATACTTTTGTTTATCCCAGCGGGACATCTGCAAGGAATCCCGGCACCCAGCACCACCTTCCCAGTGCTGAGAGGTCGATCTTTTCGATGCTACGTCGTTTCCGCAGGGACACAATTTAGTCGAACTCGATTGCTCCTTCGAGCACAAGCCGCAAATCATCCGACTGGCGAATTTCCCAAGGTTCGCTTCAGGGCAGTCACTCGAGTCGTGGCAAACATCGCACGGGAAGGCTTTACCACAGCACTGAAACCTAAACCAGCGTAGCGAGTGTTTGTAGTGGTCGCACGCTCCGTTGCGAGGCAGCGGCTGTCCCAGTACGAACGTCTCCACGATCTGTTTGGCTCCTTTCTTGCTGCTTTTGGCAACCTTTGACGCAGTACCGTCGGGCGAATGACTACGTTTAGTGCTTGCCCCCTCCAGTTGACCAGCCACGAAGCGCTTTGCCATCACAGCAAGTTTGACGTGACAGGAAAAGCATGATTGCTCTGCTCGTTGTCTTGGCGTAATCCTCTCCAGTAATGCTTCGCACCCACACTCCAAGCAAGTGGCTAACATATCCGTGGGGAGCACGTCGACAATTGAGCAGTTCTCAGTGTCAACGTAAGCTAGAATATTGCTTTGCGAATGGGCAAACACCGGCCTCATCACCACGTGGTGAAGCACACTGCATCGAGGGCACCACTTCTGAATTTCTGACGAGTCCAAACTCAGGATAGCGTCGAATTTAAGCGGACAGTTTTCGCACTGGACCTGGCAAACCAATCGATGAGCCACCAGCGTGCCAACTTCGTGCAGGAACAGATCATCGAGGCAGATTTGAGTGCCCTTGACTTCAGGTTCTGTCTGGATAGTAACACGCTTTTCAAGGGGAGTGATTTTTGAGTTTCGAGCGTCATGTTCGCTTCTGTTTGTTTCTACTGGTTCCTCCTCGTCCTTCTCCTCGTTAGCAGCAGCCGTAGGATCCACACCACGCCGCATAAGCTCACACAGCATTTTGAAGCGGTCAATGCATTCGTTCAGGGACCTCCCCTCGACCTCGCTTGCTATGTTTGTCCATCGTTCCTTTATGTCCATCGAAGCTGGATACTTTTTCAAAGCCAGGTCAAGTGCTCGCTGTTGCACTTCTGACCACTCTGAGCTGTCTTCAGCTTGACTGATACAAATCTCACTGTTGGATGGCGCTGACGTGATTTTCACCTCGGCATCAATGACTGGAGCTTTAGTTGGAGAGCCCAGCTGCACAACAGCAGCACGTGGCAGGGCATCTGATCGTTGCTTTGCACCATTGCTATTTGTTCCCGTGTTCTTGAGCTCGTGCGAAAACTTACATTTATCTCCGTCGCGACACTTGCTCTGGGCGAAGAACTTGCACTTACGTGTCCGCGTTTTCTTCTTCTTCGGTTGTGCTGCCACCACAGGTGGGCGTGTCGGGTCAGCTTCTCGAACAGCCGATACTGAATCAGCACCGGGAGCGTCAGAGCCATCTCTTTCACTTACAACCTCCTTCTTTGCGTGCGAGAACTTGCACTTCTCTCCATCTCTGCAGTTGCCTCTAACGAAAAATCGGCAGGGTCGTTGGCCACGCCTTCTCTTTGATTTCTTATCTGCAACAACTGGGACTTCTCCAGCCAAATCCTCCTCGCCCTGTGCGCGGCTCACTTCTTCTGCTTCCTTCTCTGCTTCAAGGCCTTTCTCAAACGGTGCAATGACTCTCCAGAAATTATTGTCGATCCAGGTCAGTAGGTTCCTCAGCGCGAAGCCTCCACACAGCTGCTGAGCTCTGGCATTCACCGCAACGTTCAGCGCTTCAACCTGCTCGTCCGACAGTCGACTGTTCCACTGCGTGAAGTCCACATAGGCAGCCTCCACCGGGTAATTTCCCGGTAGCGTCACCTCCAGCTCGACTTGGCCCGTCAGCCGAGTCGGCAGCTCCGGATCCAACAAACTTAGGAAAAGACGCACATGCTTGTCTTGCGTCGCAGGGTCCTCACAGCTCAGCTGCAAGTTATAGCGGCGCTCCAGTGCCATCCACTCCTTCTTGGCGGCGTCCGTCTCGCTCGCCAGCGCCTCCTGCCAGCTCAGGTCCGCCATGATGCTGCTGTACCGGTACGAAAATGTCAACTTCTTTGCTGGAAGGCAAGTCCGAGAATGAGAATCTTTACCAAAATATTTATTGGGTTCTAGTGATTTTTCACTGTTCCGGAAGAAAAGTTCCCCGAAACTTCGGTCAGGTTCACTATTTTTTTTAACTGCGTACCATGTGGAGTATCCGTCTTCGTGGGCCGCGCGGCAAGCAGGTGGTGCTGAAGATCGACCCAGGAGCCAACCTTAAGACGTTCTCAGGTTTGGGTGCTGCATTGCATGAGTGTTTGTCTCTCCTGTATGTCTGAAGGTTTTGTTTTTTGCAGAGCTGGCAGTGAAGGAATTGGGGTTGAAGGCAAAAGACACACCAATTTGTACGCGGCCGACTCTATAGTGGATAATTGCGGTTGGCTTGCGCTAATACTTTGTGTTACAGTTCGCAAAGGTTTTCCACCTCGACCTGTGGAAGTGGATGGCTCAGCATTGGTCAAGTTCGTCTTCGAGGCTAACGACACGGTGGTGGTGGACACTGGCACGGGTGCTGCTGCTCCAGTGCAAGCTGCTAGCGCGGCCTCTAGTACTGCGAAGAAGTCCGCAGGGAGACCGAAGCGAGCTGCTGCAAAGAAGCCAGCGGTTGAAGCCCCGAAAAGTAGTGTGCACACTCTGAACCCTCCCACCAGCTCTAAAAAGAGGGCCCAACCGAAGCGAAAAGTTACAGCCAGTGGGCATCAGCTTGGGAGCTCACTGGAAAACGACCCGTCGGAAGCTGCAGGAGTTGAAGGTGATGGTGAAGATGAACCACAACGCAAATATCGCCGAAGTAAAGCGATTAATCTCAATTCGAAGGAAGATGTGGAGATCAGTCTGGTGAACGCTGTGAGCGGCCAATCCCACGGCCGTGCCGCCAAGTTTTTCCGTGCGGCAACGAAGAATGCCGTGGAGCATCAGTATGAGACAACACTGGCCACTTCCAGACTGAATGCAGCATTGGCGCATAAATTTGAGATCGAAGAGCTGTCGACTGCCCGGCGTGCTGATGGAAGCGCCGCTAAACTTCGTGTGCGCTTCAAGGAAACACCGCGCAAGTGGAAGGAGGAGACAGTGGATCTACTGAAGACGGACGAGCTGCAAGCCATTTTGAAGTATGTGCTGATATCGGGCGGCGAGACTGGACGTGAAATGCTCAAGCCATTCAACATGGCGCAAGTGTCAACTAGAGTGTTTTGGAGTATTGCGCACCTGTACGATGGCGATGTGGCTGCTGGACTAGCAGACCTTGTACCTGATAAAGATTGGTCGTTCTTGGACACTCGTACGCGGTGAGTTTGGTCTTCGTATGGAACAGGAATCTTGTTTTTGACGTGTAATACTGTCACGTTACAGAGTCATGTCGGAGAAGGCTATGGAGGCTAAGGCAAGAGGCAAACACTTTCAGCTGCGGGTGTTTGGGACGATCTCATAATGTCTTTCATGGTTATTGCTAGGCAAATGAAGAGCAGTATAAGCGGTGGAAGCAGGAAAAGCAGGGGGATACTCAAAGCAGTCGTGCGTCTTCTTCGAAATCAGAGAGTAAGAAGGAAGCTAAGCCAGCAAGACGCCCTGCAGCTAAGGAGACGAAGCCTGAAGTAATTGTAGTGGACTCAGATTATGAAGAAGAGACAAAGCAAGAGCCCGCGGAGCCAAAACCAAAGCCAGTATCTCACACACCTGCTCTTTCAGCGAAAGAGGCGACTCCAAACATGCTGCGTAGCGCAGCGGCACACGCTGCGTTGGCCCGATTCGACCGAACTGCGCATACAAGTGCTGTTGTATCGGCTTTTCTTCCAGCTAACCGGCCCGCAATAAAGAAAGTAACGACAGTCGACGACGAGGACACCGAGTCCGATGAAGAGGTTGAGGAAGCCACTACTGTGTACTGCGATGTCTGCAAGAAAGCGCGTATTTTATCAGCAGAGGAAGCAAGTAACGCTGAACTGGAAAATGACCCGTGGACCTGTGCCAGCTTGGCAAAGGCTGGTCGCAGCGGTGGGTGCGACGCTGTCGATGATGAAGTGGCCCAGATTACGGGTGCTCCCATTGCTGAATGGTTGAAAAAGGCTTCAATTACTACTCGCCTAGAGCTGGCCGACGCTTCCATTGGCGCAACACTGCATTCTCTTGTGAATCCATTGGACCCATCAGCACAGACGCTGCAGGAAAAACTTGAAAAGTTGATCGATGAGGTGAGTGAGCCTGAGTTGTTGGTGTAGCTTTGGTCGACGATAACTACTTGGCTAACGGTATGTGAATGAACTAGGCGCGTCTTGATGAGGTGAACGACTGGATGACAGAACTTGTTGGTGCGACCGAAGTTCTACAGCAACTGGAGGTACAGAAGCTTGGCACGCTGGCCGATTTGATCGCCACACCGACCGACTTGATCGTCGAAGCTGTTGGCACTGCTGCTGATGTGTCTCTCCAAGTGGTCAGCTCGTGGCAGACTCGTGCCAAAGCTCTGGTGGACGAGCACCCGTGGTTGGCAGAATGGCGAACGCTTTAGCGGAGCTCCAATCGCGTGTCTGAAAGTGACACTGCTTGGATATTCACGGCAGATTGAAAACGGAATGAAAATTATTTTCCTACGCTTCCAGGCTTTCTGTTCTACACACAGGAAGCAACAAGCGGCATATGCACGACTCAGCCTACAGCTGTCAATACTCATGTAGCTCCCGGCTTCTACCCTCCTTCGTTGCTGCTTCACCCCCCGTTACCTCCCGCTATATTGCTTCATCGCACCATTCGGTGACTGGAGCCTTGATTCGCTACTTAGTCGATCTTAATGGAGCTGTAGATCTTGCGCGTAAACCAGAGGCAAGCGAAGTAGCCGATGGTTCCCGTGAGGAAGAAGAACGTGACCGAGATCAGGAACATGTAGCCGAAGTACAGAATGCCCGAGACGAACGCCGTGATGTTCAGCTTCGTAAAGAAGTACAGGAACGAGTACAGGAACAGATACACGGCTGCAGATCCAGAGGTGAGGAACGAGCGCCACCACCAGCGGTAGTCCTCTGCGCAGAGCTGGAAGTAGCACATCACGACCGTCACCTCAGCGCACGTGGCCACGAGAATCAACAGCACAATGAACAGGAAGCCGAAAACGTAGTAAATCTGGTGCAACCACAGCGCCGACATGATGAAGAACAGCTCAATGAACACAGCGCCGAACGGCAAGATGCCACCAACCAAGATACTGAAAGGCGAGGACAAGTACCACACTTGCTCCGGGATCTGGCGTGCGATCTGGTTCGTGCGCACAGGCTGCTCAATAGCAGCAGCCTTGAAGCCAAAGTAGCTGCCGAGGAACACCAGCGGTACGGAAATGCCGAACCACAGCACAAGCAGAGCGAAAAGCGTACCGAACGGGACGGCCTGCGACGATGACTTGCCCCACAGCACCAGGTTCAGCACGAAAAAAACGGCAAACAGCAGACCGGGGTACAGCACAGCCGTGAGAATCGTGTTCTTCTTCCAGTCCTTGCCGTTGAACATCTTGTACGTACGTGACGAGTGGTAGCCAGCGAAGCTGCCCATGAACACGAAGAGCAGCAGCAAAGTCGTCAGTAGAGAGCCACGATTGGCCGGCGACAACAGTCCCAGCAGCGCAATAACCATCGTTGACGCGCTCATGGAGCACACCTGGACACCTGTACCCACGACCACCGAGAAAAGCATGGGTGAAAGCTGCGGCGGACGGAATACATCACCGTGGACAAGCTTCCACCCTGACTCCTCCTGAGCCTCCTCCGTGGTCTGCACCTCATTGTAACGAGCGATGTCACGGTGAAGTGTGCGCAACATGATCATAGCGATCATTCCCGTCAGGAACAACACGATCATAAGCGAGTTAATGATGGAGAACCAGTGGATCTGATCGTTCGAGCTCTTGCTGCTGATAATACGGTCCCAGCGCTCCTCCCAGACGATGTCTGACTTGACGAACTGCACATCGTACGTGTACAACACCGTGGTCTCGCCCTCTGGGTTCAAGTACTGGTAGTTGCCCTGTGAAACCTCCTCAATGTTTACAAACTTGCCACACGTGTCCGAGTCGAGTTCCTGTCCGGCCATAGGCTCGTTCTCGTAGCTGTGCTTGATAGAGGTGGGGACGACCTCGAAGCCGACGACGCGCCACTTAGGGGCGTCACCGTCCTCTTCGGCGTATGGATCCGAGTTGACCGAGACGATAATGCGCACGTGGTTGTACAGGAGGTACTTTCCGTCTTCGTCCACTTCACCAACGGGGAAGCCGCGCTTGAAAGATCCAGCCTGCTGTGAGTCCGTCGGGTCGCGGTACAGCACGGGCAGATTATCCACCACCCACTGTACGTAATACTCGTCTTTGATCATGTCGATAAAGGTCTGCGACTGCTCAGACGTGTACGTCATGGGCTTACACAGTACCTGGCAGATTGCGTCCTTCTCCATCTGCATATTGTAGAGTGAATCCATTATGGCATCACCAGCCATGATCTCACCCAGATTCTCCTGTTGCTCGTTGGTGGAAGTGGGTTTGCAATACGGCAGGTAGTAGTACTCGTACGGCACGAGCGTCTTGGTGGACGTGATCTTGTTCACGTTAAGGCGCACCGTCTCGCCCGCTGCCCACGATTCGGGCGCCACGCCTGGCACGTAGAAGGCTGCACTGGCCTCTTGCACCGCCAGAAGCGCGGCCAACGCCGTCGCCGCCACGCTCTTCATCCACATCGTATGCTACGCTCGGAAGGAAAGGGAGAGGGGAAGGAAGTTCTCTACTGCCGCTGCCGCCCGACGTCTGGCTTCTTCGCGGTTTCGAATGAGGGAGTGTGACTGAGCTGCCACGAAGCCGACGCATCAATGAATACCCGCCCAAGTCGATGGCGGATAAGAGGAAACCTTCCAGAAACACATGCGGACAGTGGGAGAAGGGGCGCGCACGGTAAGCAGCCATTATTGGACAAAAATGAGACGAATCAGGTCGCGACACGACCTCGAACGAATCATATGTGGCCACACTAAATGATCATTTAACACACAAATCCTCTCATTTCCGTTAAGGATTGGACCTCCTCGCCAAAAGAAGAAACGGCACCCTTCGCGTCCAGGTTTTTCCAAACAGGGAATTTCCAGGTGTGCGTCCACGTATTTTCCAGTTGTAACTAAAACCGTTTTTCTTACCGTAATTTTTCTTTTGGCCTCAGCCACTCAGTTCCAGGGGGGAAGCGTGACACGTGGCGGACGGCTGGCAGCGCACCCGGAGGACACCGGAGCGCCCTCGGAAGACCCCACCATGGCGCAAACGCACAAGACAGCGATGATCAAGGCGCAGATGGCGGAAGAGGCACGCAAGGAGGAAGAGGCTCGCAGAATGGAGGCAGCCCGGCTCGCCGGTGTAATGGACGCTCGTACCCGCGCGGCGAGATCCCAAGCATGCCAGCGTGCTGATGAGATTCGTGGCCAGTTTGGCCCTCACGCTGTAGTCGACGAAGAAGATAGTGCCAGCGAGGGAATGGATGGTGATTCAGCGGACGCTCTGGCGGAGGTACCAGGGCACGAAGAAGGTGCCAAAGAATGTGTTTCTGAAGCGTCAAGAGATTCGAAGGAGGGGCCGGCGGAGGAGGAGGGTGAAGGAAGCCAGGCATCGGACCAAGAAAAGCGGGAGGAGAATACTATGCAGACAAACAAAATGCGGCAGACCGGTCCGAACCGGCAAGGCAAAAAGAGGTCGGCTTCCATGGTAGAAGACGAAGAGCTGGTCCAGGCCCCCCATTCAAGGCGGAACACGAATCCTGGGCGGACCTCGAAGTGAGTTTGAAGCAGTACATGGATTCGACGCGCCAGAAGATTGTGATCAAAGAGGTGATCCGAGTTTCGCGCCGTAATGCTGACCTCCGTGCACAAGTACGCTACAATGGTCGCCCTGATTCTGAGATCCCGTTGGTGCCCGTAGAAATGGAACCGTTTCAGCGAAAATATATCTACACTCATGGCTGGCCGGAGCGTGAACGATCGTCGGGTAAGAGGACTTCTCACACGCTGCGCCGCACAGAGTGTCCGTTCCAGATGCTGGCCCAGGTTTCGAAGAGGGACGATGGCACATGGTGCATCAAGATGAAGCGTGAGGTGTACTCTCATAACCATTTCGTCTCCAAGGAAGTTTACAGGTATTATCCAGGTATTCGCCAGGTTCCTGCTGATTCACCGCTTATGCCCGGGATTGAGTTGCTTGTGGATGCGCAAGCTGGAACCTCGAGTATTTACGACTACATTCGCAGCAACCGAAATCACTCTGTCACCATGGATGATGTTCGCAGCTTGATAGCTAGGATGAAGAAGTCAGGTAAGTTATGCTAGTGTGTTCTTGGGTGGGAAATGTCCTGACTAACTAAGAACTGTGTATCGATCTAGGTGTTGATCTTTCTGATGATGACGCTGTTGCAGAGATGATCTTGGACTTTAACCAGGAGTCACCAGCTAATGTGGCCACGGTGAACGAAAGTGCGCACGGCGACACCGGAGTGATATCGTTCTCGAGTGAGCACATGCGTGCGATGCAGGACAGCTTCCCAGAGGTGCTCCAGATGGACTGCACACACAAGACGAACAAGTGAGTTTCTTCATAGTATTTGGTGAAAAATGTTCCAGTTTTTTTCCGGTTTTTACCAGATATTAACAGGGTTTCTTTATAGATACAACTACCAGCTTCTGAGTATCGTTGCAATGGATCAATTTGGTCAAGGTCAGCCCGTCCAGTACTCGTTGATGGAGACAAACTCCGATTGGCACATGGCGAAAAGCTTGGATCATTTTAAACGAGCGAACGAGCATTGGCGTTTCGTGCGTATTGTCATTGTCGATAAGGACATGCAAGAAATCGATGTGATTCGAAAGAAGCTGCCGGAGGCTCGTGCTTTTTTGTGTCATTTCCATGTGATAAAGTGGCTCCATAATGTGATTCGCAACTCCCTATGAAGAATTTGTTCTCACGCAGATGAAGCACATTATCACCAACATGACTTATGCAAGAACAACTGAGGACTGCTGTCTACATCGCGACAAGTTCAAGAGTTTGACTTGCAGGGATGGTCGCACAGAGCTGTGGGCGTACTTCGAAAAGAACTGTGATGCCGACGCTACCATGTGGGTGATGTGGACTTGCCACACTTCAGCAATCACACGAACAATCGAGTTGAGAGTCTCTTTGGAAAACTGAAGCGCAAGCTGAAAGGACATCATACGATGCGTGCTAGCCTGGCGATTTTATTGCAGTTTCAACGCCGCAAGGAAGAAGGTTACCGGTCGAAGGTGGAGATGCCCGGGACGTTGCGAGATATTTCCTACTCTGAAGAGATCAACGCCGTCCTTGGAATGACGACACGTTGGGTGGCTGCGGCAATCAAAACTCAGTACGACATTTCGGTAGACAGAACACTTACCGAACGCTATGCATTCAAAGACAATGGTGCAACAATAACTGTACGGCATGGAGACCACGAATATCTTTTGGAGAAGGAAGGCTGGACGTGTGACTGCGAGTTTTCCCAGACCATGAAGCTTCCGTGGAGGCATGCCATGACGTACAAAAAGTCGTGCGGCCACCCGTTCGTGGTACCTTTCGCCGCCATAGCACCCAGGTATTGTTCAGGTTTTGTCCAGGTTTTTCCAGGTTTTAATTATTAACATCAGTGTTTGGTTGCTATATGGTTTGGACAGAGCCGTCTACAGTTGCAGCAACTGTCCGAGGTTGCCGATCCGTTTGTTGCAAAGATATTCAAGGCGAAGGGAAGCACAGCGACTGGGGCTTCTGGACTGAGTGAAGCAGAGAAACATCGCCGTGCCCAACAAGCGTTTGTACGAATTGGTGGTGAGCTTGCGCGCTTTCCAGATGATCAGTTTGAGTCTGCATTAGAAGCAATGAAGACGTGGTGGGACAATTTGCGCCAAGGTCACATAACGGATGAGGAGGTAGTACAAACCAGACCCCACACGCCGGACAAAAGTGATGACGACACGGGTAGTGCTTCAAGCTTTGGTGACAACAGTAACGATCCACAGGGACGCCTAATGGTAGCAAGAACGAGTCAAATGAAAAGGACAATGATGAATACGATGCTGAGTCTGCTACACAAGTAGCTGAATCTGGGACGCAAATGACAACCACTGACTGCAATACAGCTTCGACACCCCTGCTTGTGAGATTATCAGGCAATGTCAGGCGAGTGGGACGACCCAAATTAAATCGCTCAGTGATGAAGGAAAAGGCACGAGTTGCGCACAAAGAGTACAATCAGGGAATGAAACTCAGGGAACTGCTGCGTGAAAGCGACGTCTGTGATGTTTCTGCGATCCTTCAAGAAATTCTGTTACCTGTGCGTGAGGTGGGGTCGTATCTGGCAACATACCAAGTCAAGTCAAGAACCAAAACGATTGTGATCAAATGGTCGGTTGATATGGAATACGTGCCAGATAGAGTTCGGTTTAGACTGGCGGAATCGGTTACTGACGACGCACTAGATCAGCTAAAACAGGGGCTCGCAAGTGACGAACATATTGAATTGAACAGTGACGGGAAAAAAATGGATAATGCGGCTTGTTACGTAGTAGCCATTGAAAAAGTTGGTCGCTTCACTCGAGAGCAGTTGGAGGCTATGAAGTTCTTGTGGAATCTGCAAGCCGCATGCAGGGAAGCAGTGTTATGTTGCTCCTGGCTTACCCGATCTGTAAAGGCTGCTGTGGACGATCCAGCCCCAGCGCAAACTAGCAGTCGTGAACCTACTGGAGTCTTGGCCTTATGCTGCAGTGAACGGATTCGGGTTTGACCTGACGTACAGTGACTTGTTTCGCTTCAGAGATTCTTCCTGGCTGAACGATAACGCGCTGCGTGCGCTCACTGTGTATCTCGCGAAGTACAAGAATAACATCACTGTGATGTTGCCCCCAACAGATGAGGAGAGTGGCGTTGGTGACAAAACACGAAGTACAAGAATAACATCACTGTGATGTTGCCTTCAACAGATGAGGAGAGTGGCGCTGGTGACAAAACACTCTGCTCTATTGTTAGAGGAGTCGAAGTGCAAAATTTCGTTATTTTGCCTGTTAATGGGGGTGTTCACTGGAGTGGTATAGTAATCGATCGAGCTGCCAAACAAGTCAAAGTGTACGACAGCATGAATGGCAAGAAGCACCGGAAATCGTTGCAACTGCTAGTGGCGAAGATTTTAGTGAAGGCAACGAAGGATACAACTTACTCAGTCCTGGAAGTAGTGGACCCGATCCAAAAAGACAGCGACAGTTGTGGTATTTTCGTTTGCCGTTTCTTTTGAAGTTGTGTGAGCGATGCAGCTTCAAGTGACGTCTCGGCGAAAGGGTTGACCAAGCTGCGTTGGTCAATGCTGCACGCAATTTTGAAGATGAAGCGGAAGTAGTAAGCCAGAAGAAGAGCAACAGAGCTAACAAATAACAATACATGGGCTATACCTGGGAACCAACTGGTAAATACCTGGACTCACATTATGCAGCTGGACAGTGTCGGCGCCACAGGCGCCGACACTGTTCAGCTGCGCTCACTTCGGATTCTTCGCAAGTAGAGCACATATGTATTCCCCAGGTATTATCCCTGGACAATACCTGTGTTTGGGGCAATGCTCTGATTGGCTCCACCTCTATCTGCAACGCTATACTGCCGTCACTTTGACTTTTGCTCAAGTCTCGCACACATGCTTTTTCCAGGGTTTTCCTACTGAAGAATACCTGGTCGCGTAATATATCCGCTCGGAATATACTACGTGCGACTGATTCCACTCTGTATAAGGAAACCTGGAAGAAACATGGGGCCCCCATGTTTTTTTTTTGATTTCTGATTCTCCATGTATGATACCCCCATGATGGGGGTATCCCTGGACAATACATGGAGAATCAGAAATCTGAGTATTTTCGAAATCTGGTAAACCTGGACGCGAAGGTCGTCCAAGAAGAAAGCTGAGTTCGTCGTAGAAGCTGCCAGTCTCACACACCACCAACTCAATACATTTGTCCTCGCAGGAACTTGGTGAAATATTTATCTACTCGTCGAGAGACCCGATCTCGTCCACTGAGCGTGACGCGACCAGCTGCACTGCTACAATTAGCATAAACGGTCGAAGTACGACCGAAACTATTGCTGTCACTGTTCCTTTGTCCATACACTCACGAAAACAAGACCCAAACGCCTTAAGTGAAGCGATGGAGGTAGCCGTCGTCTCCGAAGCTGTAGTGTCCGAGGCGCTGCATCAGCTCTATAGTCCTCTGAGCTCTCCGCTCGTTCGTCGACGTGCCGATTCACTGCTACAGCAGTTTCAGCGCTCTCCCGAAGCAGCACAGACGGCTCTGGTCGTGCTGCAAAAGCCGATTGTCGACACAGGCAATGCCGAGCACAACGCCTTGTTACGAGCCAAACGCGCGTTCTCTGCGTCGACACTCTACTTTACTGTGGCTTCGTACATCCGCAAGTACAAAATGGACGACCCAGCCAACTGGACACCCGAGGATCGCACACAGCACGAGCTTGTCGTGAAGGAATTTGGTCGGATGGCTCAGGATGTCTGGAATGTTTTAACTGGACCGAATGGAACCCAAGAAGAGCTGAACGTGCAGACTCACTTGGCCCTCACGATTGCAGTCATCTTGCTGCGCTTCCACGAACCGCAGGGCGATACCACTGTGGTTGGTGCAGTGGAATGGCTTGTTCAAACCCAAAAGCACCCGGTGAGCGATGGTGTCACGGCTGTATTGACCAATTTCGCTGTGCTGCTCACGTTAAAGGTTATTCCAGAGGAAGTGGACAACAAACGCGTCAAATTCTCTAAGAACAAGCGAGCTCAGTGCGAAGATATGGTGCAGCAATGCGCAGCTCACGTGGTTCGTGACGTCCTGCCATCAATTGCCACCGCCCTTGATGCCAGCGAAGAGCAGGCTCAATTGAAGGGGCTTTTGCTGCAAGCGTTTGCGAGCTGGGTGGAGCATGGCACTGTGCCACCTCCAGTCATCATCGAGTGTGGGTTATTGGATCGAGCATTCCGAGAAGCCTTGGTGCCAGCAACCTCCGTGTATGCGTTGCAGGTTGTGCGTGAAGTGGTTCGCGCCTGCCGTCACAATGAACACGTGCAGCTGATGGAGATTGTCATGCACAACTCTGTGGTTCTAGGAAAGCAAGTGCAAGAGCGCATAGCTGCATCCGAGAAAAGCTTAGACTATTGTCTTGCCGACTGTGTCAGAGCAATGTCGGAGTGCGGACAAGCCTTTATCGTGTACTTTGTGGATTATACGCTTGATATGCGCCCCGGGTCGTTGGTCTATGAATTCCTGGACTCCATTTTGTTCTTTACGTCGCTGAACAACCTCGACATTTCGAACGAAACGATGGAGTTCTGGATCGATTTCCGCGCATACATCTCCGGAAAGCACGAGGAGCGAATGTACGTGTTTGAATCCTTCATCTCGCGATTGCTCATCATTTTGATTGAGCGGACCCAGTATCCTGAGGGCTTTCAGGCCTTCCCGGAGACTGCTAAGGAGCGTTTTTTCCTGTACCGAAGTGAAGTCCGCAACGTATTCCGTGCACTTGCAACAGTTACAGTGGCTAGCGAGGATAAGTTCATTGTCGATGCGATTCATGCCATTTTTCAGCAGTACGAAGCCGCCGATTCGGGATCTCCCTTGCCATCGAATGTACGTGTGCTGATCAATTACTGTCTGCAATGTTTCCTACGCTAACTCCTTTGGTATTTGTGTTTAGTGGTGGCAACGAACTGAAGTGTATGTTCATGCTCTTAGTGCATTATCAAAATCGATTCGCGAGGCAGATACGTTTCTCGTTCCGAGGCTGTTCGAGTACTTATCGCGGAAGGAGCCTTCTTACCGCGCACTCTTGCGCACAGTCACCATCTTCCTTGGCGTGTCCGGCCATTGGTTCGCACAACATCCAGAGCACTTGTCAACCTCCGCGTTCAGAATCATCTCCAACGGCTTCGAGTCTCAGGATGACCCTGGATACCCGTTTACTCAGCACGGCTTAGAAGATCATGTAGGTGCGGTGGCCCTCCGGAAATTGACTCTTCGTTGTGGCTCGCACTTCTTCAATCCGCTGTGGATGGACGCGTTGGTGAACCTGTATCGCTCGAATCGCGCGGCAGTGGGCGGGCCGTCCGGGTGTTTGACGGGAAACAGTGCAAAGCTAATCGTCGACTCTATCTGCCACGTCCTCACTACTGTATCTTACAAGGAGGCACTCCCAGTGGTGGAGGAGCTCGGTGCCATAATGTTTGCAGACCTTGCTGCTCGGTACAGCCAACTAAACGCAGACGACGAAGGCTCGGTAGAGTTCCTGTGTGAAATGTTTAATCATCTCTTCGTATTAGCTACGAGGATCCCGGTGCTGATGGACCAAGAGACCCCGCATCCAGTTCTGTGCGTGTTGCAAAAGCAGTGGGAGGTGTTGGAGACTATTTTGCGAGTGTATGGCTGCTGTGATGAAGTGGCGGGGCAATTCTGCGTGCTTTTGGTGGGCGTGTTTGAATCTTTACGGTTCCAAGCGCTGGAGTTGGCGTCTGCAATCATGCCGGCGTTATTAGAGCAATTTTCCCGGAGTTATGATGGTAGTTATCTTAGCGTGATCAAGAGTATCATTGGCTGCGCTGGCGACGACGAGGCTACTGCAGTTAGCTTAGCACGAGTGATGATTATCGTGACTGAGAGCTCAATGAGCAAGATCGCGGCAGACGGTAGTGTCGACGAGCACCCGGGACTTACTATCGCACTTTTTTCGTTGGTGATCACCTGCGGTACCCACCATCCGTTGATCTTAGTCCAGTCGAACCAGTTGGAAGGTGTTTTGGCACTCGCGCTGCACGCCTTTAAGTCCCAGAACCCTGAGGTTGGAACTGCAACTTTAGACTTCCTGCTTGAGCTGGGCTCTTTATACGGTCAGATCCTTCGCACTCCGGAAAACTTGCTACAAGGACCAGAATTTGCAGGAAAGCTACTGCTGCACCAACAGATTCAAACTCTATTCTTTGAGAAGGACGTGCAGTACCACGTTCTTTTCGCATTGTTCAATGCCGCGGCGGGTGGTATGCCACCAAACTTGATGGAGAAAATCGCAGAAGTCGTTCGGTCTTGCTGGGTCTACTTCGGGCGACAGCGCAGTGAAGAGCTTATTCACCGGCTTCTGTCCGACAGCAACTTTCTGGGCTCGCAGGTTAGTGAACGCGCTCGAACTGAATTTCTCAACTACATATCCACACCGACGTGCGCGGAAAACTCGCGTAAGTTTAAGCGCGTACTGAACGCGTTCTGTGACCACTTCAAACGCAACCTTACGGGAAGTGCGGTGCCATCGTGATAGAGCTGGGCTACCGAAAATGCTGCAAAGGCACAAAAAAATGAAAAATGAGGAGCTGTACGAACGAGGGGCAAAGCCAAGCAGCAACGCTGCAACCAAACACAAACTATGCAAAAACCAACGAAAAGAGACAATAATTCACGCGGGCTACCAGATATTTTAGGGATGCGATGCAAACAAAACGTAGGCTTCGCTATTTTGCCTTGCTAGTGAGCCAAACAATTTCGTTTCTATTGAAACGAGTTGCCAACGTCTTTCCAGGACGTCGTGTTGTTCACCGTAGTGGCAGTGACCAAATGTCCACTTGGGGGGCGAGCAGCAGAAGGAGTGTTCGACCACTCCAAAATCTTCTCCGCAATATCCTCTGCCTGTAGTCGAATTCGTAATGCCGCAATGTGAGATTGTGCGGACAAATAATATCACCAAACATTTGTTACCTTTGTCCACGTAGAAAAGTCAGCATCACCCATGAACTGTCGGTTCATCGGCGTGTCGATCGTCGTTGGTAGCACGCCAAGCACGGATGAATCCCCGGGTAGTTCAGTTCTGTAATTAGACAAATATAATGAGCGTGAAGCTCTCTTTAGACCAGGACAATTCTTCTAAATCCTTACACAGCACTGGCAATCAAATGGTGAGTAGCTGCCTTGATCGCTCCATAAGAGACCATGCCAGGAGTAGCTTGGAGGGCCGCAGTTGCGCCTGTAAGAATGAGAAGTCCGCCAGGCACAAGCAAGTGGCTCGCCAAGTACGTTGCTGTAGAACAATTGACGCTCCGTCAGCAACTTTAACATAGACTCAAGTTGAATCCTCATTCACTCGCCCAGGAACGCAGACTCGAGGTTCTTGGAGTACATTTCTCCCAAGTTGAATAGCGAGTCCGCGTCTCGGATACTGCCGCCTGCCCAGCCCCCGGCAGTGCACACAATCGTGTTCACCTTGTCATTGCTGACCACCGCAACACGTCAGCTTCAGAATGCAAAGAATTGCATCAACATAACTAAGGAACCTGCTGGATATTTCCTTCAACGTCTGCTCAGCCTGTTTTAACGAGTTGCTCTTCGGCAGCAATACGTTGTTGGAGGCGTCCTCACTGACCGAGAAGTCCACCGAAGTGACTCTCCATGACGCACGTGTGAAGTGGCTGACCACGCCGCGACCCAGCGCACCAGCACCGCCAATCACTAGCAGCTTCTTGGACATCGTGCAGAACGTTAAATGCGCGTCTTGAACAGGTTGTGTTTAGACGATGTAACATTGTTAGCGTCTAAACACAATTTGCAAAGAAACCTAAAGTGTACACGTATTTTGAAAAATAGATACCGGTAGTACTACTATCCTTTAATTAAGAATAGTAGTACGTTGGCAGTGCCTCAAAATAATTACTACTTTAAGTAGTACTAAAGTTTGTAGTACTACAGTACCGGTATGAAACTTAGAATTTTCATCATAGCGTTCTATTGGAAGAGATAGAATAAGGGCTAATACTATTGACATTTATGTTTTTTACATTATGTTTTTAAACGAGCTGTCTTTCAATCGACAGCAGGACATCTACTAACGACGTATATGTGTTTATTCTATGAGAATTTCTCCGAGTGGAAGTCGAAGATGGTTCCGTTCGGGTCCGATGACGAGTATCGCTTGCACGTGGTGTCCAGGATCTCCTCGAGTGCGTGCGGGCCGCAGTAGAATACGCCGACCTCTTCACCAGGGTGGTTCGCCTTGGCCTCGGAAAAAACTTTGTCCCAGTCCGGACGGCCGAAGTGAGTGAGCTGCTTTGTGTTCAGACCAGACACAAAATCCTTTCCTGTCTGCTCGTGCACAAACTCCTGGAACATCTTGAGCTGCGACGTGTTCTCGCTGCCCTTCACCGTACTCAAGTACTGGTGAGTCTCGATCACATTATCACGATCCATTTCCGAGATCTGGTTCATCGTTTCTTCGAACCAGCTTAGGGACTCCTGTCCACGGGTTACCCAGTGGAAATAGAGCTTTTGGATCTTGAACGAACCCGGATGCCGGACATGGCTGCAGTTCGGGCAACGGTTGTCTTCCCACAGATGAACAACATCCTTCAGAATTGAGGCAAACGGGGTAACACCAATACCCCCGCCGACACAAATGACGGTCTTGTAACGGTGGTAGTCCTGAGTCGGAGCGCCAACCGGGCCATCGAGATAAATGTCGGGGTACAGCACCTTGCGTTCGTGGCAGTCCGCGATGACTCGACCCAAGGCTTTAGTCCAATCACCGCAAACACGAATGTGAACGCTGATGTAGTTGTCTCCAGGAGCGGACGAAATCGTGAACGGATGCCATTCGTGAGACGAGATCATGGGACAATTGACGAACATGTACATGCCGGGACGGTATACAAAACGACGAGGCTTCTCCATGAACAAAGCTACTGTGCCGTCAAGTTCCATAGCCTCCATGATACGCACGGGTGCAGCAAACATCTTAGCGTAGCGGAAACGACGCTCAATGAGGTAGATGAGGAACGGAGGCGTAATCCAGATGTAGGAAGAGGAACGAGCGAGCCATGAAGCAGCGCCATGAAACGAGAGCACAAACAGAAAGGGTCCGAAGAGCATGTGCGAGTACCAGAAGACGTTGAACTTGCCCTGACGGAACTTGGGGATCGCAGCTAGCGGGAACGAAATGCACGTGATAATAAGGAGAATCGCACCCGTCCACACTGGAAGCGACTGCAGCATCGTAGTGAACGGAGGTCGCTCGCCATTCACGAATGAAGACACATGGCGGGTGACGAAGATGGACCGCTTGATCTCTTCAGGAGTAGCAATGAGGTACAAGTACACCTCGTTGAAGACGTGGGCAACAGTGTGGACAAGGCCAGCTGTAAGCAGCACGCTCCCTGCTATCTTGTGGAACGCGATACTGTCGTCAAAAGGGATGTAGCGCCATAAGAAACGACTGCGCTTCATCACTTGTGTGATGGAACGACACATCGGCAGCAGGACGAAGACGCAGTTAACCATCACCACTTGAGCGTTGGCACGGGCGATACGTAGACCCCAACCGATGGCGGGATCCACTTCGTACGCGAACCACTTGAGCCAGAAGGCGATATTGTTCACAATGGCGTATACCAGTAGCCACCAGATGCGGAGCTTGTTGGCACTGTACCATGCGCCAAACTTGCTCTTCGGCCGGATAGGAGCTGTGTACATAGGTTCGGATTTCCGGAGATTGTACGAGTCGTTGATGTAGGGGGCGAACACCGTCTTGAACTGCTCGTACGTCATCGACTCGTTCTTTACTTGAGCCTTGCGAAACATCAGGTTGGCCACAGTCTTGAAGTCTGTGCCCACCACGTCAATGTGGGCCGCCGAAAAGTTCGATTCCAGTAGCTGAACAATCTGGTCTTCGATCACGTACCCAGTATTGTCCGGGTCGAGTGTTTCGAAGATGAAACGCAGCTTCTCCTCACCGTCCACTTCCAGGTCCATCACGGCGTCAATCAGAATGGCGTTACCGTCGATCGCGCCGTTGTTAGTTGCATAGCCATCGAACTCGTTGCCATTAATTTCAAACGCCTGCGAAAAGGTTTCACGCTCAATGAAGCCGTCCTTGCTGGTGATGCTGCTCATAACGTCGCGCAGAGCGTGCAGCTTCTCCATGGGGGTGTAGGCTGGGTTGTTGCTGTGGATGACGCTCTCGTCCATGCTCATAGCCACGTTGTACTTCTGCTCGAAGTTGCAATCGCCCAGGACTGGAACGGACACGACGTCGCTGCCGGGCTGCGGGCCGTATCTCGAAACGGCGAATGACGACAAGTTGGATGCACGTGCCAGACTCTGGCGCACCATGGACGCGCCTAGCATTGCCTGGACGTTAGGGCGGCGGCGGTGCATACCACGACTACTCTTGCAGTTAGAGCTCATCGTGGGCGGGCCGCGTCCTAGGAAGTGTGTGGTGGAGGAGTTCATGTTTATGAACTGGCTGCTGTCCATGAAATTGGCTGTGCTGTGGAACGAGGATATCATTCCGGTTTGGCTGGCCATGGGAGGAGGAGGAGGGGGCGGAGGTGGGGCCGGCATGCGCTTACTTTTCATGCTGCCTTTCCGGCTAGCCGTGCGCTTATTGCGCGAATTGGGCGACGGCGTAGAAATGTCGACGAACGGCTGCGTATTCTGCCCGGGCGTGATCTTGAGCTCCTCCGCTGGAACGCGCACGACGGTGTCCTGCAGGCCGTCGCCACTGGTGTCGCCCATTTGGAAGCGGTGCTGGCGGCCCATCGTCCACCGAAGTGCCTCGTGTCCTTGCGAAGGCGAAGAAAGCGAAGTGGCGAATCCGAGCGTGCGGTCACGACGATGAGGTCAGTAGGAGTCCACACGCAACTGTCTTAGGGACGTATGATACGTCGTATCGTTTTATCTAGAAACGCGCTGGCACCTGTGCGTCAGGAATACAGGCAGGTGGCACTGCTGATGGCGTTGCAATCGCAAATGGCAAAGTGTCGGCGTCCGAGCGTTGCTAGCACCTGGTCGGTGCCAAGCCCCATCCGTGACACCTTAGTAAAGTTCAGGCCCACCGAACATCGACATGTTGGTTTCAGTAAGAAATGTTCCGTTTTCGCCCGGATTCGCGCTGACTATGCAGCGGGCAGGGGGAATTCGTTTTTGGATCCCAGCTGGCCGATGGCTCAGAGGCTTTTGAGTCAAAACCTCTTGAGAATCGAATCAACTCGACCGCAAAGTCAGTTGACTTCCAGTTACCGTTGATTTAGTTAGGTTCAGTTGAAGTGTCATTGCCGCCCCACTTAAGGATCGGCACTTGTTCGGCCACAACGAATTCGCGCACGGATGAGGTTGAATTCGCCGACCAGATCTCGCTGTGTACTGCCAGTACTACCGGAATGCAACCTGATTCAAATGCAAATGGTTGGCGCTGCCATTTCATTTGCTGTATACTAAAACGTTTTTTTTGTAATCGTCCCGTAGGGGCAGAAGATTCTGAGTTTTGGATCATGGATCAAAGCCAGCTACAGGTAAAATACAAGAACATGGATTTACGACTTGTAAGTTACAAGTACTGTCATTCGGGCTGCAAATGACAGCAGAGTTCTTGAACACAGTTATCGTCTCTGGGTCCGCCCCAAACGACAATCGATGTTCATAGACTATGAATCATAGTGTTGTTAAATGCTCACGCTAAATCAATAATGTACTGTACTGCATAGACATTTTGCAAAATTCGGCACAAATTGCATTAGCCAGCAGCGAAACGGGGAAAGTCGTTAAATGCATTGCAAATTGCAATCAAAAGCTTGATCGTGGACCGGTATTATTACGGTATCGCCGGAATGCAAGTTGCATTGCAACACTGTTGCCGCAAGTTGCGCCAAGTTCCAGCCCGAGATCCTTCCTGCGATGTGTTGCCCGCAGGCTGCTTGCAGCGACGAGCTCGTGAGGACATTGCAGAGCTGTCAACAATTCCACGAGATGACATTCCTTTTTAACAATACGTAATGCGTCATCTTTGTCGAGGCTGTCCCGGGCCAAGCGACGGCTTATTAAATAATACATGTACTACATGTAGTACATGTAACCGGTATTAAAAAAATTGGCATTCAACTTTTCCAGGCATGGTATTTTTAGAATTGTGTTCCTTTGACTAAGAATGAGTGGCGATTACATACTGATGTTTTGTAGGTGCATCAAGATTGGGCAAACGATGTATTAGTACATTCGCTTAATTCGTCTCCCCTGGTAGAATAGAATTTCCTGGCACTTCTGAAAACTTAAAAAAGGTGTTTTGTAGTTTTTCTAAGCGCAGTTCTGCTAAGTTACCGTGTTTTGATACTTATTATTTTAATAATTTATTCGACGCTCTGCTGCTAAGCTTTTATAATATGTACTACAGTGCATGCTCGGTAACCACCAGCGAATGCAGCGCTCTCTGCGCGCAATGGATCTTTGTCTCTTGAGTGCGACGTACGTTACTAAAGATCCTGTAAGGTCGTACAAAAATTCAGGTAACGACTCGTGAGCGCGATACACCCAGAACTTGCACTGCTGGGCCAGCAGTGCAAGTTGTCCCTATGCAGCTTTCATGAGTCTCACCGTGAGTGTGTTTTGTTAACGATGCCGCACAGTAAGAAACAGCAAGCGCAACATGTTTTCCCGGAACTCAACTACATGTAGTGAGAGTAGCCAAATGCGCCCTATACGTTATCAGCAGGTCAGAATTTAGTTCTAGCCTCTTAGATTTAAAGTTTAATTTTACGCATATCGATTTCCGTTTTATAGTTAATATGGATTTAGCTTCGTCTTCCCACCTCTTATCCCACTGATAAAGCTCTCTTGACGCGCCCCATGGTTTGTCGATTGTTGCTGCTCTTGCTAGCGACCTGCCTCGGCATTAGCGCGACTGGCAATGGCCTCCCCACAGCTGTGCGCCTGGTGACCATCCATCCGCATAACGTCAGCGCCTTCACGGAAGGGCTCGTGTTCGATGATGGCGCGCTCATTGAGTCCACTGGACTCAACGGCGCGTCCTTCATTCGCAAGTATAAGCTGTCGGACCTCAACGCCGACTATTTCAAGACCGGTGCCACACACGGCGTTCCCTTTGTACAAGAATTCTGCTTCGACGCTTCCATCTTCGGCGAGGGTGTGACCGTGCTGGGCGACAAGCTGTTCGCGTTGACGTACAAGGCGGAGCAGGTGCTGGTGCTTTCTCGACGTGACTTCCAGCTGATCGGTCAATTTCCCCTCACGACATCCACTAAGGAGGGCTGGGGACTCACAACCGACGGGGAGTTCCTCATTGCTAGCGACGGCTCGGCCAACGTGCTTTTCTTCGATCCTCGCGACGACTTCAAACTCCATCACAGCATCACTGTGCGGAAGGATGGCAAGGAGGTGACCAACGTGAATGAGCTAGAATATGTTGAGGGTGAACTGCTCGCCAACGTGTGGTTCGAGGATCATATCCTGCGTATCGACATGGCGACTGGAGACGTGCTGGAGCAGATCGATCTTGACTGGATATCTAATATGGTGCCGAACATTCACACCGGGGCTATGATGTCCTCCCCTTTCAAGCAAGATGCTGTGATGAATGGGATCGCCTACGATCCCGTGACACGACACGTATTTGTGACCGGCAAGCTCTGGGACTCTATGTTCGAGCTTGAGCTGTCGTATCTAAACACTCACAACCGTCCTATCGTCCCTTAAATCGTCTGAGACCGTGGATCTTATTATTATCAACCATCAAGTTGCTGATTTTACACGGGGTTTATTCATTGGGGCCACAAAAACAACAACTATAACTTCACTTCTGTAAAAGATATCAAAAAACTACAACAACGATCATTGCATGTGTTCGCCTGCCTTCGTTCAGCAGGAAGATCGGTGCGAGGAAACAGGAACAGTGCAGTTCGCTTACGCAAACTTTTCCGAGTGGAAGTCGAAGATAGTACCCTCCGCCTTCGAGGACGAGTACTTCTTGCACACGTTGTACAATATTTCTTCTAGTTCGTGGGGTCCGCAGCAGAACACACCAACTTCTTCACCGGGATGCTTGGCTCTAGCTTCTGCGAAAACCTTGTCCCAGTCTGGTCGGCCGAAGTGCGTGAGCTGCTTCGTATCCATTCCAGAAACAAAATCCTTGCCTGTCTGTTCGTGCACGAACTCCTGAAACATCTTAAGCTGCGAGGTGTTTTCTTCTCCACCCAACACCACAGTACTCAAATACTGATGCGTCTCAATCACGTTGTCGCGGTCCATTTCGGTGATCTGCTTCATGGTGCCCTCGAACCAACTAAGAGACTCCTGGCCACGGGTTACCCAGTGAAAGTAGAGCTTTTGGATCTGGAACGAGCTCGGGTGACGAATGTGGTTGCAATTTAGGCAACGGTTGTCCTCCCACAGATGAACCACATCTTTCAAAATCGACGCGAACGGGGTGACACCGATGCCACCACCGATGCAGATCACCGTTTTATAACGGTGATAATCCTGGGTCGGTGCGCCAATGGGACCATCAAGGTATACTGCATGTTGCATGCGTGGCAGTCCGCAATAATACGAGCAATGGCGTCCGTCCAGTCACCACATACACGAATGTGAATGCTGATGTAGTTGTCGCCAGGAGCGGATGAAATCGTGAACGGATGCCACTCGTGAGACGAAACCTGAGGACAGTTGAGGTACAAGTACATGCCAGGTCTGTAGACGAATCGACGCGGTTTCTCGATGAACAAAGCCACTGTCCCGTCAAGCTCCATAGCCTCCATGATACGCACCGGTGCAGCAAACATCTTGGCGTAGCGGAAACGACGTTCAATCAGATAGATGAGGAATGGAGGTGTGATCCAGATGTAGGCTGAACAACGAGCAAGCCACGAGGTAGCTCCGTGGAAGGCCAGCACAACCAGGAAAGGTCCGAAGAGCATGTGCGAGTACCAGAAGAGATTGAATCTGCCCTGACGGAACTTGGGGATCGCAGCTAGCGGGAATGAAATGCAAGTGATGACGAGAAGAATCACACCCGTCCAGACCGGAAGAGCCTGCAGCATCGTAGTGAACGGAGGTCGTTCACCGTTCACAAACGTCGACACGTGACGAGTGACAAAGATGGAGCGCTTGACCTCGTCTGGGGTGGCGATCAGGTACAAGTAGATCTCGTTGAAAACGTGAGCGATCGTATGGATGAGACCAGCAATGAGCAGCACGCTACCCGAGATCTTGTGAAACGCGATATGGTCGTCAAACGGGATAATACGCCACAAGAACTTGCTGCGCTTCATGACCTGCGTGATGGAACGACACATCGGAAGCAATACAAACACACAGTTAAGCATGGCTACCTGCGCGTTGGCACGAGCGATACGGAGACCCCAACCGATGGCCGGGTCGACCTCGTACATGAACCACTTGACCCAGAAGGCAATGTTGTTCAGTATGAAGTAGATGAAGAGCCACCAGATTCGGAGCTTGTTGTCATTGTACCACTGACCAAATTTACTCTTGGGTCGAATGGGGGCTGCGTACACCGGTTTTGCTTCTTCGAGGTGTCACGTACGGCTCGAATACCCCGCAAAATTGTTTAAACGTCATCGCATCGTTCTGAACACGGGCCTTGCGGAACATGAGCTTGGCCACCGTCCTGAACTCCATACCGACAACGTCGATCTTAGCACTGGAGAAGTTCGACTCGAGTAGCTGGACGATTTGCTCTTCGACCACGTATCCGGTGTTGTCAGGGTCCAGTGTGTCAAAGATGAAGCGTAGTTTCTCTTGAGCGTTCACCCCGAGTTTCATCACAGCGTCAATTAGGATAGCGTTGCCGTCGATCGTACCGGTGCTAGTAGCGTAGCCGTCGAACTCATCGCCGTCCACTTCAAACGCCTGCGAAAAGGTCTCGCGTTCAATGTAGCAGTAAAGTTGCCCATCGCATCACGAAGCGCTTCGAGCTTCTCCATGGGCGTGAACGCCTTCTCATCCATGCTCATGGCTACATTGTACTGTTGCTCAAAGTTGCAGTCCCCAGGGATTGGTACGGTCACCACGTCACTTCCGGGAGGTGGGCCGTACATGTCGTTCTTGCCTGCGGGCGGGGCAACACGGCAGTTCTTATGAGCTGCACTGGAATTCGATGACACGCTTGACGCGGAAAGCGTCAAGCTCTGACGAACCATGTTCGAGCACATCATGGCGTCCACATTGGCACGGCGACGACGGGATCGGCGGTTGTGGCTCCTGCAGTTGCCCATAGCGTGGGTCGTGGCAGTCACGAATTTGCTGCTGTCCATGAAATTGGTGGCCGCTGGCTTCCGAAGTGGCGGGTTCTGGTTCATGTTGACCATCGTAGACATCATCGGGGTACTTTTGTCGCCAAAGTGTGGGGCATTGGGTGACGGTATCGAGACATCAATGAGTGCCTGGGTCTTGGCTGGGGTTATTTTCAGGCCGTCCTTTGACTTGCTGCGCCCCGGGTTTTTTCGAGAACGATCCATCGTAAAAGTTTTGTGAAACCAAACCTTACTGCTTCGAAAACACCAACACCTTTGGAGACACACTGCAACAAGTAAAATGGAGAATGAGAGCTGTGGGACGTCGAACCGAAAGTTGGAAGTTTGACACCCAGCGGTGTTTGCCGATCAAAGTCACCTTGAACGCATGTTCTGTATGTAATTCAGACATCTAGAAACGCGCGGTACGGCTATCCTCCAAACCTATGCTATTATAAACGATGACGGCGGGTCTACACGTCGGGAATGCATCGATCCTCTACTAACGTTTTACACAGACACGTTCAGCGCCTCGTACGCAGAAATAAGTTAGAATGTGCAAATGCAGCTCGACAATACTTTTAAGTAATTTTTAAAAATATTAAATATCTTATTAAATACAGCAGCAACATGTTCTGCTCCATTTGCACAGCCCCTTTATCGGAGAGTGCCAGCGTCAAAGAGCTGAGTCAAAACCAGCAGAGGTGTAGTTTTCATCGCTTTCTCGGGTGTATCAGTTCGGGATCCTGAAATCGTCAAGTGCCGTTACGACAGCAAGTTATAGTCCAGCCATATTTTCTTTAAGGCCAAACGTGATTAACTGTCGCGCACTTCATGTTAAACCACAGAAACACGCACAACCAGGATCAGCAATGGGACTTCATTTCTTTTCCTCAAGCACAGCCGAAGATGCCCATGTAAAAATGCTCTATTGCGTTTCTAGTGTCATGTCGTTTAACGCTTTGTGTTTTGACGTGGTGGCACTCGCAGTAAAGGTGTTTTGGTTTTAAGCCCCCCCCCCCCAACGGCAAACTGGCAACCATTGCGGGAACTCGTCGCCGATTGCAAGGCGGAACGCGTACATGTAGATGTGTGCTTCGTGGTCTTTGCAGCTACTTTCGTAAAGCTTACGCCAACTTTAAAGAATGCCACTGAGTAGTGAAGGAAACGAAAATTGAGGACCAAGTACATGTATACAGAAATTGTTTCTGTTCGGACGAGGTGCGATGTACTTGTAGTTGCTACCGATAGGCTTCTGCTGAACTGGCAATCGACGCAGCGCTCACCGCGCTTTCCTATTTTAATAGTGATCACGATAGGCATTAGACTTCAAGAATCCAACAATATTTCGTTAATTTGCACCGCGTATTATCTTACTTTAAAAGGGCTGTGACTTGTTGGTCGAGTTGCTATTGTTTTCCCGCGATGCGGGGACCGAGAGCGAGGTGGTAACCAGAATCCATCCCCCCGTTCGCGCGGAGGGTTATCAAGTACTTGAACGCGACGATCGATATCGCGCCAACCTCCAGGTGACGCACAACTATCCGTATACGAAGAAACACCTGGATCAAAATGAGCTGCGATCTGTTCACTACTGCATACGAAGCTTTGCTCTTCATCGCCCTCTTCGTCGTCGTCTTCGTCTTCTTGAAGCGTCAATTCGTGAATTGTAAGAGCTTGTTCGTCGATTCTTTTTTTCAGCTTCTGTCGCTCCAATTGCAAGTCTTTGATTTCACCCATAAGCTCACTTTCCTTCTTCTTGTCGTTGTCGCTCTGCCAACACTCTCTATTATCTCGTATCCTGCCCTTGAGTCGAGCTACTTCATCTCGTAAGACTTTGCATTGCTGGCGTAAGCTGGCAATAATACTTTCGTCCTCAGTTGAGGTAAATTTGTCCGTTGAGCCAGCAATTGAGCTTGGTGAGGTGATATTAGCACGGTCAGGGGAGAGCTTGGGATTTGACGGGGAGACGTAAGTGCCATCAGCCTTCGCTTGCAACAAGTCATCAATTGTGTGAGCCTGCTCCTACGGATAAGCAGACAACGTTGTTGGCTTTCAACCTCTTCTTTTGTAGCCATAAATGCGTACCTCAATCAACAGGTTGGCACTTAATTGCGCTTGTACAATCTCGTTCCAGTGCTTTGACTTTTCTTGCTTTAGTATCTCATACTGCGCGACAAACTCTTCATATCGATGGGTGAGCTGCTCGTGATCTTGTGCAATAGACTTTTTATCGGCTTCAAGGTTACGAATTTGTTCCTCCCACTGTTCCCGCTAAAACATAAAGAAAACAGTTGAGACGTTGTCGTGAAGGTTGCTCATTAAACAGATAGAGCGAACCTCTTGCAACCGAGCAGCTTCAAGTTCCTGAAGTTTCTTGCTTTGGTCTGCTGTCTGTCAGCAACAAAAACTGACCGTTAGCTCTCTGTAAATCGTAATATTGAAGCGTACACCGCTACTTACGACTGCGGTCAAGTTTGTCAAGTTCTCAACCAAGTCCTGCATCGTTTTCTTCGTCCCTTCCATCTGCTGAGTCTCTTCTTCTCGCTTTGCACTCATGTCTTGCACCTTATCTTGAGCTTCCTTCAGCATGCTCAGTAACTTTTGCTCCTTTCCTTGAAGACCTTGATGCTGAGCAGTAACTGTCTTACATTTACCGCGTAACAGCTCGCACTCCTCGATAGCAGTCTGCAATTGTTTGTTTGTCTCTAAATATTTGCTGTTCACTTCCTGAAAGCGATCCCAGCGCTCAAGCTCCAGATTCTTGGTAACTTCGAGTCGTGTTTGTTCCCGAACTGCATCCAACTTGATGTTCTCATCCAGTTGTTTTTGCTCGAAAGTCTTTAAACATTGCGGGCACGTGACGCTCATCTTCTTCTTTTTCTTCTCAATTTCCCAGCACTCTTCTTCTTTCTCCTTCATTATTTGTTCGTGCCGCGCTTTCAATTGCCTCATGGTCTGATAAAGCTGCTCATTTTGTCGTTCAATACTCGTGCGTGACCGGAATAAACCATTGTAATCTTCCTGCAACATCATCAGCTGCTCTTTCGAGTGCTGATGATTTCGCAACACCTCTCGCCACTTGTCCTTCATATGCCGCACCAGTAATGTGTGTTCCGCCTTTAGCTCACTCTTCGCGTGCAAAGCCTCCTGCAACGCTGTCCCCAAATCAGCTACTTTCCGCTTGTACAAAGTAACCTCAGCACTCATTTTCTCCTTTAACTGAAAACTCGAGCGCTCTCGGTAGCGAGCATCTTGCAGTTCCTTGTCGACCAGCTGTAACCTCGTTTTGCATTTTTGCAGCTCATTCGCCACTGGACGGTGAGCATTTTCCCATTCCTTTCGCTCGGTCTCTAACTTTCCTCTCAGGTGCTCAACTCTAGCACGTAAGGCTTGACGTTCTTCTTGAGTTGCTCGCACGTTAGATGTTGCCTCTTTCTTGACCAATTCTACTGTTTCCTCGTGTTTCTTCTCTAATGTCCGTAGTGTCTCGTTAAGGCGGAAAACTTTGGCTTGATCCTCTTGTCGTTGGTCTAGTGCTGTCTCTAGTAACGAGCTTGTATGTGCGAAGTGCTCTTGACATTTATCGCGTTCTGCTTCTACAGCTTCCACTGCTGTTTGTAGAGTAGCGATCTCGCGCTTGAGCTGAATCGTGTGCGTACTCGCTGATGCCGCCGCACGAGCAGCACTCTGGTCCTTCTTGACCAACTGCTGGCGCAACGTCTCCAGGTCGCGCAGGAAGGATTGCCGCTCCTAGCGAGACAAGTTAGAAACAGATGGCTACATTCGTCTACGACAACTTCAACTTGTGACTCAGTTTACCTTGTCGAAACATCGCTGAGCGTCTTTCAAAGACAGCGTGGAGGCCGCGACCATGGCTTCTCTGGCCATGTTCAGCGGATGGGGAACCCTGCAGTCATGCACCGTGCTACGGTTCACACAAACTCGTAATCCTGCGCTGCATTTAGATAACAGAGTACCATGTTTCCTCTATGAATAGATATCCTTGTTCAACAGTATCAATGTATTTACATCCCACGACTAACGCAAGGAATCAAAGGCAATTTAGTATCGATATCTTCGCACAGTTTGTTGTGGGAGCTTGGTCGGTTTTATAACGATGAGTTGTGTGGTGTACACCAAACTTGAAGTACGTGGTCGCACCCAAGCTCCCCGATGGCGCTGCGTCTACGCCAACTGCAGGTAGTGCATCGCCACGGCGACCGCACCCCACTGATCAACATCGTCAAAGGGAGCGTCAATGCGCTGGCCGAAGAGGAGGAAGTACTGCTGTGGGGTAGCCAGCTGCCAGCGCCGACGCAGCTTGCGCAACTCCGTTCCAAGTTCAGCGTTCACCTGGGTGGAGAGGCTCAGACGTCATTCCAACAGAGGCCGTTCGGATATTTGACGACTCGGGGCATCGATCAAATGACCAAGCGTGGTGAACGACTGGTGAGGTGACAGTTGTCACTAAATTGTTAGGTCGGACTGGAACAGCTCAAAAACGTGTGTGATGATATTGGACTCCAACAGCGAGGATTCTGTAAGAAAGAGGGCCTGCAATTGGATGAAGTGTCACCTGAGCAAGTGCAGATCTTCAGCAATGCGTACACACGCACTCAACTGAGTGTACAGGCACTACTGAGTGGAATGTTGAGAGATCAACCCCAGCTAAGCCCTCCAGTCAGTGTCCTGCCACCGGAAAAGGACATCATCAACAGTACGTTAATACTTGGTTTAAATTGTGTTCTTGACGCTGAATTGGTGATGTGTTATAGCGTACTCGATTTTCCCGGAGATCATGCAGATGAAAGCAGATTTGGAAAAAGACGACGCTGAGTTTGCTGCTCGTGAGCACGAGATGGCTCCGATCAAGCAGGAGTTGACGAGACTGTTCCCAGCGGTTGACTCGGGCCAGGTCCCTTTCACCTGGTTAACCGCAGCCGACTACTTTGTTTGCCGTCGCGCTCACCAGGTTCCTTACATTCCTGGCACCGAATTGCATGGCGATGCCACCGAAAGACATCTTGGTTTCCGTTTCCACCAGGTAACAATTCCAGCGAAATGTGGCAGCAATCAAAGAAACTGTGAGATCTAAAGATATGTTGCTGTGGTATCCGGTAGTTCTACTCGCATCGAACGATTCTGAAGCTTGTGGCCGGACGCTTGATGCACAACGTGCTTCGTGAGGTGGGTCAATCATACTAAAGGAGTTTGTGTGTGTTGCTAACATCCTTCGTGTGGTACAGATGCAAAAGGCTTTGTGGGACCACAGCGAAAGTAAGAAAATCGTGATTTACAGCGGACACGACGTGTCTTTGTTGTCGGTCCTTCGAACAATGGACGCCGAAATTGCAGATGACTTCAGCTTTTGGCCTGAGTATTCTTCTGCCCTCGCACTGGAGTTGCTGGAAGATGAGGATGGAAGATTTTTTGTTCGTGCTCGGCTGAATGGCGAACTCCTCACAATGGGTGAAGAAGAAGCCCCAGACGGTCTTTACTCTGCTGACCGCTTCCGTGACATGGTCTCCGACCACATTGGAGGTCATAAAGATTAGCTACTTTCCACTAGCTGCAATAGTCAAGGGCTCTTACGCCAAATCAAGGACGGCAGTAGACGTAGACATTTTTGATTCTAGAGGCAGTTAAGCCAGCAACTCCGCCACCTGCAAGGCACGCTTGTAACGTCGCCGCGCAAGTTTAATACTGAGCATCTTTTCTTTCTCCTCAGCGGCGGCTTCTTCATCTTCTTTTGCAGGAACGCCAATGTCGATGATATCTTGCGCTGAATCCATGACACGCTGCACCGGAGTATTCAAATAGTAATTAGCACATAGCTATCTCTTTCAGTGCCGACAAAACTAAAACGGCTACCAACCTTGCGCGCAGCTCCCCGAATGCCATTTAGATATTCAAGTACAATGGCGAACATGGACTTTGGCACAACATCTGCCTCATACATCCACTGCAAGATCCATTGCTGTTTGATTGTCTGCGCACATGACGCACGATAAAAAAAGTAATGAGCTTCACTTGTTGATGGTCTCGCTCTGCATTGCAAGCAGACAGGTATTATTATTCCAACGCACTTTGAACTTCCAAGGTAATTCGTCATCAGCTTTGGGCTCGTTGCGCTTTTGCCACTGCTCAAGATAATACTTGGCCTGCTGGATCATCTCCGGTGATCGATCGGACTTGCCGCCACCCTCCTTCACCTCCTCAGCATTCTTCTTAATCACGCGCGCGCGTTTCTTGGGAACCACCTGGTCTCCATTGTCATCGAACTTAACGTGCGACTTGGCCGACTCCTTCTTGGCCTTAGTGGCTTTCAGCTTGCCGCGCTGCTTTTTCGACAGCTTGGTGGCGGCCATGTCGACACAATTCACACTACTAATCGGACCTGTGCCAACCAAATTCCTGCGACGTGTGGAGCTGGCGTTGTGTACATCAACATTCAAAACCCACTGATTGGCGGAGCCTTACGAAGACCATCTCTGATTGGTGGATATTTTTCCAAATCGGCAACGGGCTCTCGCCAAAAATCGTCAATAAGCTCACGGATGCAGACGCATCAGTTCTCTTGTTGCGAGCGAACGGGCAGCTACAGTACTGTGTAGACTCGTCTCTTGATATCCTCAACAAATTCTGCAGCGGGCAGTGCATCTTCACTGAATACCGGTAAAGCGTCATATTCAAAATCTGGCGGAATGTGCATCAATCGCAAGCATCCACGAAGTGAGCAGCCACAGAGTCCCACGAATCAGCAGTTCCGTGATGCCGGTGGCAAGCAATTAAAGCGTGTTAAATCTGAGTCGCCGACAGCGGTGGATCACGTTAGAATAGAAGACATTCAGGACAGGGATGAGGAGTTTGCGACGGCTGCACACCGAGATGAGATGGTGGCGGCCATTCTGACGATCACGTCGGCGCTAGGATTGTCGAAAGAGACATTGCATTTATGCGTTGGGCTATTGGACCGGTTTTTAGCACTTCAGAGCATCGAAGTCTCCAGACTTGAAGCACTCAGCATTTCGTAAGGATGCAAGACCGAGACTGCTTTTTTTTCGTAAAACAAAAATGCTAACATGTTCGGTATGCTCTACAGGTGCTTGTGGATAGCTGTCAAATTTGTCGAGACACCAACGACTATTTTCGACAAGAACATCAAAGAGGTTTTACAGCGACGAAGACACTCTAGCAACGTAGGGTGCCAGTCATTTTGTCTACCGTAGCTTCGAAGCTTATCATTATGTCGCTACTTATTTACAGTGGAAATGGAATGAGATTCTCAAGTTCGAGCTTGATATCTTACAACTTCTCAACTATCGGATCATGACACGTACAATACTAGGTGCGCTTCAAAAGCGAATCTATACCCTCGCAGACCACGATAGCCTTGAGTACGGAGTTCATTCGCTGCAGCTCGAAGTGCGCCAGCTAGCGCTTTATTTTGCTGACTTGCTGCTGCTCAAAGCGCGAGCGAACCAGTTCTCGAAGGAGCTACTCGTAGACGCTATCTGGTTTGTGATCTCTGGCAACGAGATTGCGGATGTGAAGCCTCCTTTGTTGGAACCGGTCGTGCTGCTTTATCTCGCACACCGCGACAACATCAACCCAAGTCACCCGGTTTTCAAGTCGTGGTTCGCGCTTCGCTGTCGTTACGGTGCCTTCCTTCCGGCGCCGTGGAAAGTTCCTTACAACGCGTCCTGCGTCTGCCGAGTCTGCGAACACGCACACGACGATCTCGCGTCCGGGTAAATTAGAATCATCAAAGCTTTACCGGTACTGCCTTGCCTGCCTAAGACAATTGCTGTAATGTACCATACCAACTTTGATTCACAGTCCATAATAGTAGTACGTAGTACAACACAAAGAGATACTTCGAAGTACTGTGAGTCCAAAAAACAATAATGCGAGCTACCATTTGGTCCCCCACGTGATCCCATCTCCTAGCTGTATCTGCATGTTGCCGTCTCTAACGTGACTGACAGACGGCGTCTATCACCGATGCAAACAAGCAGAGGTAAGATCTGAAACGAGGGTTAAATCTCCCTACAGGAAGTGAGTCTTGCGAAGGTCCTGGTACTTCTTGTATCCGGCAGCAGCAATACCGGCAATGATGAACACAATGATGAAGAACGGGGTCTTCCAGCTACTGGACTTGGCAGCAGTTTCTTTCACAGTCTCTTCCAGCTGTGAGTCGACCTGGTCGCGGATAGCGTTCACTGTACTGTGCACACGCTCGACCACTTTTCCGTTTGCCCAAGCCTCCAGCTCGGCAATACGCTTCTCGTCCTCTACACCTTGCTGCTTCAGCTTCTGAATCGTGTTTTCCGTCGACTCCTTTAGTGCTGTGAACTGATACTCGAATTCCTCAAGCAACTGAGCGTATTTCCGCTTGACCAGTTTCATCTTGTCGTCGTTGTTACCCTTACTGAGTGTGGCTTCAAGGTTTTTGTCCACTGCATCGCGCTGCTTTTCATCCTCCTGTGCCGCGAGCGAGTCAATGACGTCACTACAGAATCAAAAAGAAAATTAGCATGCGATTCTCATGAAAAGATACACAGAATAGCTAAACTTACTCGTAGAAGTTGAGAGCGACAACGTCGTGGTTGTCTGCGAGACCACCTGTTGAGGCCGAAATACCGACGTAAGCATCATCCATCCAGTCATCACCGATGTTTAGACGCTGGTTGTAGCACTTAACCCAGTTGCCCGACGCGTCAGCATCTATCAAGATAGTTAATTGTCGGTCGGCCTTTGTGTATGTGATCTTAGCACGGGACATGTTGAGCGACGGACTGAAGGCTGCGTTCTTCTCATGGTAGCGGATGCCTGGAGCCATGCAACCCACTTTCTCCATGTCGTTGAGCTGGTCCAGCGTCTTGCTGCCGTCGTTCTCGAAGAAAGTCACATCCTTGTGACCACCGCTGTGCTCCTGGTTGACGAACGTGTCGAACAGGACGCCGATACCCTTGAACTCGCCAATGAAGCCGTGGTTGTCGCCCTGCACGTACTGACTCGTTGTGAGCCACAGCGCCAAGCCATCGCCGAACCAGGACTTTGCTTGACCACTGATTCGGAACGTGAACACGGCGGCAAAATCCTTGGCCGCCAGCTTCTGCTTTCCCCAAATGTATCCGCGCTTGCTCTGACGATCGGGTGTAAGACGGGCAAAGTGGCGGTTCACGGCTGTGTCGCTGCCGTAAACGAAGTTGTCTCCGATCTGACGCAGACCCTCGCCGTCGATGTTGTCGAAGGGCTTCTCAAAGGAAACGTGGTCGAGACGTTTAGCGCTAGTAGGAGATGAGTGCATCAGCGCAAAAAGCGCCACCACACTCAGCAGCAGCATGCGGAAGACACTCATGCTCAAGAGGTGCTCAGGGAAAGAGGCTGCCGGGATACGTCGGACTCCGCGATTTGCTACGTGGCGCAACAACGAATCCGGACACTTTTATATTACAATGCGTGCCGAAGAAATAGTATTACAAGTTTTAGCACTGCAAGTAATTTATGTGCACATAAGTATAATACCGGTACGAGTAGTGGTAGTGGATTACTAAAGCAGTAAGCTGAATCACGACACAAGGTGAAGCCGCAAAATTATAACAACCCCCGTAACTGCAGCTTAACAAATAGTAGAGTACTTACGCTTGCGCGGGTTACCGTAGCGATCCTCATACCATTTCACCACCTCCGGATGATGATTGCCATTGCCCGTGTGGAAAATGGTTGCAGTGATGCAGTGCTCTGCGTTTGAGCGAATGAACTCGAGGACACCAATGTGACCATGACGGGCAGCTTGATAAGCATTTTCCTTTAAAAGGGGCTGATGCAGCTGGAAGTGCAGCCACTTGGCAGCCTCAATTTGCTCGTGATCCAAAGCACGTCTAATGGCAATGTTCGGCCAGTTTAAAGAGAAATTTTCGGCCAAAAACTTCATCACTTTAATGTGTCCATTAGAAGCGGAGCCTACCATCGCCAATACTGTGCACCCCTCGGTACGGTGCGCATGTAGCCATTTCACGACGTTAAGATGACCTCCTGCGGCTGCGCCATTCATTGCTGAGGCGGAACAGCCTTCCCGGCGGTATACATGCAGCCATTTCACGACGTCAAGATGACCTTTAGTGGCTGCACCGTTCATTGCTGCAATGGAGCAACCTTCTCGGCGATTTTCATGCAGGAACTTGACAATGTTCAGGTGACCACGAAGTGCCGCTGTATTCATGGTCTTCTTGGACCATTCCCCCTTGCCATTGTTATGCAGCCACATGACCATTTCCAGATCTCCGTTTTCCACTATTGTATTCACATCCTGATCAGAGCATTGAACCTTTTGATGTTCCATGATCCACCTTGCAATATCGAGACGGCAATTATCTAGTGTGCCACGTATCGCGTCTTGAGTGCAGCCTTCATCGCGGTTAGAGCTCAACCATTCAATTACGTCTAAGTGGCTTCCAAAAGCTGCTGAGTCCATGGCATCGGTTGTGCACCCTTCGGAGCGATTCACATGCAGCCATTGCACAATATCGAGATGGCCTTGCGCGGCAGCACGATCCATTGCCTTCGTAGTGCATCCTTCGGAGCGATTCTCATGCAGCCACTCCACGATCTTAAGATGACCTTTCGCAGAGGCTTGATCCATCGCATTCGTAGTGCATCCTCCTTGAAGATTGATATGAAGAAACTTAAGGATTTCCAAATGGCCTTCGTCTGCTGCCGTGTCCATAGCGTGGAACTCAGTGTGAAACCTGTTCGTTAAGGATCTGGGATGGTTGATGTGAAGCCACTGCACAATTTCGAGGTGCCCCCCAGACACAGCACCAGAACCGAAGCGATTATCAAAATTACAACCAATCTGGTGCAGCCATTTAGTCATCTCAAAGTTCCCTTGAAAACCCAGCCCCCACGGTGCAACTACATGTGTCGCAGGCTTCTCGTTGTGCAAGAATTTAGCGGTGTCGAGGTTACCTTCCTCAACTGCGTCCGCGAGCGCAAACCTTAGAGAGGTTTCATCCCATGTTGTATGCTTCATCAACCATTTGATAAGGTCGAGATGACCCCCTTTCGCAGCGTATTCTAGCGATCGTGTGCTTTCAGGAAATAATTTCACTAGCCAGCGAACCACATCCGCATGGCCTTTCATCGAGGCGTGCAGAAATATCTGCTTGTCGCTCCAATCAAACTTAAACAGCAGCTTTGGCTCACAGGCGTACAACCATTTCAGCACTCGTAAATTCGCCATCTCACAAATTGCGCCAATTGTGTCCGAATCGATGCATCCATGGTACCGCGCAAAAAGTTCCTTCATAGTCTTCAATGCACCCTCTTGCATGGTCATCTTTGACGGGATCAAATGCATTGCTAAGCGAAACTGACGCAGTTTTTCGTGGTGAACGAGTTGCGAGCTCTGCTCCACGGCACTAAGTGCTCGATAGAATTGATTAAACTTCCCTTCATTCAGCAAGTTCGGTAACGCAAGCAACGAGAGTTTGGCGCTATATTCGTGAATAAGTTGAACAACGTGCGGTAGAGCTCCTACCTCGGGCCACTCGCGGCACACGGCCGATACTCCCGTTAGGACAAACGTATCTTCAGTCTTCATTTCTCCGCAGGCAAGGTGTTTTTATCACTGTAATTCAAAAGTCGCTGCCAATCAGACTGATTGGCAGCAACTTCAACTTAAAAACCGGTATTTACTGAAGAAGTACCGGTAGTGTCTTTAGAAATATGGGTTCTAGAAATCGAGCCGTCAAATTTTCGCGCGAACCATTGAGCACGAGATTTCGCCATGTTCAGCTCTACATCGACATCCAAAACCAACGTCCCGGCGCCCGTGCTGCCATGGGTGGAGAAATAGTAAGTGTACTGCTTTTTGCCACATTTCCACCTAATTATGTAAGATTTATATTGGCAATATCTCGTGTTTGCTGCGCTTTAGTCGCCCCAAGAATGTGGACGAAATCTCCCACCAGGAACACGTCGTAGCTACGCTCAAAACATCGATCGCCAACGGCCAGTTACCCCACTTGCTCTTCTACGGACCTCCGGGCACGGGCAAGACGTCCACCATCGTAGCTGTGGGTCGCCAGCTTTTTGGACCGGACTTCCGTAAGAACGGTCGCTTCCTGGAGCTGAACGCGTCAGATGACCGAGGCATCAAGGTGGTGCGTGAAAAGGTCAAGAGCTTCGCCCAGGGTGCAATCAGCAGCGCCAGCGGCCTGCCACCGTTCAAGATCATCGTGCTCGATGAGGCCGATTCTATGACCGGCGACGCACAGTCTGCTCTGCGTCGCATGATGGAGAATTACTCCAAGGTCACGCGCTTTTGCCTTATTTGTAACTACGTGAGTCGAATCATTGAGCCTGTGGCCTCGCGATGCGCCAAATTCCGTTTTGCCCCGTTGGAGAAGATCTCCATGGCGTCTCGTGTGCGCTTCATTGCCTCCGAAGAACGTGTCGATGTATCTGATTCGGTGCTGGAGTCGCTGCTCGAGTGCTCGACCGGAGACTTGCGAAAGGCGATCAACTACTTGCAGAGTGCCAAGCAGCTGTGCGGAGACGACGAGCTATCACAAGATGATGTCATAGCTGTGGCGGGTCTTGCTCCGCCCGAGCTCCTGCAGCAATTTTGGGTATCGGTGACTTCGAACAGCTTTGAGAAGATGAAAACGGACATCGAGAGTATCCTGCTGGCTGGATACCCGGTGCTTACGATTTTGCGGCAGCTGAATGACGACGTACTCGCACTAGACAAGCTTAACGATGTACAGAAGGCTCAAATCTGTCTGCGCATTGCTGGGGCCGATAAAAGACTGGTGGATGGCGCCAGTGAGCATTTTCAGCTGCTAGACGTTGCATCCTACGCCATGCGCGTTTACCATACGTCATAATAGATCGATCTGAGGAGTTCTCGGGTGACGATGACACGCATTAATAAAGCTGAACGACAATGAAAAATGGACACAGGCACATACTTAGTAGGAGCACCTAGTCTTTAGTAAAAGAATACCAACTCTAACTGCCCTAGCACTTGGTAGCTTTCGCTACTCAGACATCTAATTGCTCGTGATTATAGTTGCGCCTTGATCATTTACTGAAGACATCTGCGTCCATTCATGATTGCTCTGCTGCTTCCAGAAGGTTACTTCGTCATCACCAGCAGCGACACTAAGCACAGAGCCCGTAAGTGACCAGCTCAAACGGTACACCGGCGCGCGGAACGTGTGCAGGACGTGGGACGCCCACTCGCCATCAGCTTCATCTTGGGTCCACACACGCACTGTGTGATCATCCGACCCAGATGCAATCGCGTTCGCCGGTATACCCACATTTGGCGCCCATACCACATCGCGAACCCAGTCGTTGTGTCCGTAAAAAGGAGTGATCACAACTTTCCAGTAGCTGTTGCCAGCATTGCTATCTTCCTGTGGCGCAGTAACAAACTGCCAAATAGTAACTGCGTGGTTACATGATCCAGTGACCACACGCTGGACGGGTCCTTGAGCTCCTTGCGAGCCCAACGAGTTGTAAGGCGCCCAGCTCACAGAAGTACAGCCCATTCCCTCCTCCGAGTTGCGAAAACTCGACGACACCACCCACCCTTCCCGCGTACGGGTAAGGAATGAGACTTGTCCGTCAGCCGATGCACTCGCTAGACATAGTCCGTATTCGTACGGCGCCCAGGCCACACTAAGCACGGCCAGCGAGTGGAACTCATGCACGTGTTTGAGCCGCCATTCCGTCACATTGCTTACTCCTCCAGTACCCTGTTGGACTAATTCTTCTCGGTAGATGTACACCTTACCATCCTGAGCTGCCAGAGCGAGCACTGCCCCAAACTTAGGGTGCGCCCAGGCCACGCGGTGAATCGGGGCCGCCGAGTCGTCGGCCAGAGGAACCACGTGTTGCAATACGTGAAGCTGCTGCTCCTGCTGCGGCTCCAGTCCGTCCTTCACTGCTGAATGGTCGTCGCTATCTCCACCTGCCACCATGGCTTTCGACACGTCGTACACACGGAAGGTCCGGTCGGACGAACAAGTGACCAAGCGCTTGCCGTAGTAGTCAAGCTGGATGTCGTAGATCATATCGTTGTGCTCCGTGTCGATGCTCGCAGCGGGTGTTTGGCGCGACGTCATTTGCTTCTGAGGGTGTTGCGACTGAAGAGGGTGAAGCTGTCCGTGCGGCGCGGCGAACTGACCGCTCGCCGGCGAGCCCTGCATGCCGCCTGCGAACTCCAAATCTGATACTCGATTGGACTATTTCCGCAAAATAGTCTCACCCGCCGGACCAAATTCAAATGCACCTGCTACTTTTCGGTCCTTAGGGCAAGTTGAAAATTAAGCGATGTTTTCAGTAAATGGGCCGAGTGGGCCAACGTCGAGGAACGAGCGCCGCGTTAAGAGCGATCGACAGCAAGAAGAAGAGGAAGATACCAGAAGACGATGGGCCGAGAAGAAACGCGAGCAGTTTTTTCTCGAAAAGCATGCCCAGGCAAGCAGCACGAAGCAGGGTTTGGAGCGTCCTGGAGTGTGTAAAGGAAACTGCAACTTCGGCACTCACTCTTTGTGGCTATCGTATATTCAAAATTTAGAGGAAGCGAAACAGCGAGCGGCACAGTCCGATATTTTCAAGGTACATTCATAATGAGTCCTCCTTTCGCTTCAAGCTGCAAAACTCCGCTTGACTTTATTGTTTATATGCAGGGCTGTCGAATTGTGTTTAATGGGCGAACAGGCAAAGTATCCTCGTACGTGGATGTGCAGGTGATGAAAACTTGCCTGTTTGCTCTAACACCTAATTACTTTTGTTTCATAGATATTACTTAGCGAAGTTGGTTCGGGAACACGGCGGAAACGTGGCGTACGCAGAATTAAACAACCTGCAATGCGTCATTTGACTTGACATTCCTTGTGTTGCGGCTGGTACCCATTGTAGCTCGGCGCTGACCGCCACGCGCGTCACGCACATGGTCGGCTCCAACTTGAACGGGTCCAAAGCAGATAAAGTGCTAAAGGTAAACCTATAGTTCATCCTGATTGCGAAGAAGGAGAAGAAGCTTATGATGAACATCTCGTTGCATGCAACAGAGCTGTGGCAAGGTTAAGTTCGTAAGGCCGGGTACGTCTACTACCGCGTAGTACTACTACATGTAGAAGATGGCTAGTGCTATGAATCTCACAAACGCTTGTACTGTAGAATGGATCCTTCAGTCTGTTAAGCAAAGAAAGCGTCAGCCTGAGTTCGAATTTGTCGTCTACAAGGATTCCAACGCTACAAGCTCGCTTAGTGCTGCATTTTCTCGAGGGGGAAATACTAGAACAACGGACTAATGTGCGCCAACTTCAAATGCAACTAAAGCAACGAAGTACGTAGCATAACCCAACTTGTAGAAAAGAGAATGAATATACCGTGTATAGGGTCGCAACTAACCAGAGTAGCATTCGTTGTCGCTCCTTTCAAGCCAAAAACGAGGACGCGAGACCTAGGAGAGAAGCGCAGACACGACTTGAGAAAGCGCCCTGATACTCCGTTCCACACGCCACCAAATCCTCGAACAGCCTTTTTCACCCGCGCCACACACCTGATCTCTTCATCCTGTTCTGAACTCGCCCTGAGTGTCACGCCTCGCTACACACCCCAGGGCCAAACTGCAGATAAATCAACTAATGCGCGACGCGAGGCTAACAGGACTAAACGACACTGCTTAGCAGCACTTCGACCCGCCATTGGACGGGACCTGCTGGCCAGGCGTCAGCTTAACTCCGGCCTTGGGGGCCACGGGCGCGTTTGCCATGCGCTTCTTGATCTGGGCAGCCATCATCATGAATGCCTTCTCGACATTGGCGGCGTTCTTCGCACTGGTCTCCAGGAACTCGATGCCCAGGCTTTCGGCAAATTCCTTGGCGGCGTCGGTGCTCACCACGCGCTTGGCCGTTAGATCGCTCTTGTTACCAACCAGCAGCTTGTTCACGTTCTCACAGGCGTATCTGCAAATCAAAGCGGTCCATCACTTAGCTCTTTCTTTTCTGTAGGTCCATTCCGTAAACAAGACGAGCGCACCTATCGATCTCGTGCAGCCACTGTTTCACGTTATTGAACGACTCCTGGTCCGTCACATCGTACACCACGATAATACCGTGGGCACCGCGGTAGTAACTGCTAGTGATCGTGCGGAAACGCTCCTGGCCGGCAGTGTCCCACTGTTGAAATAGGAGAACCGTTAGTTAAATAGGAAATCACGCGGGGACAAATGTTTTTTTAGCGGCGTACAATTTGGAGCTTGATGGTCTTGCCGTCCAGCTCGATCGTACGGATTTTCTAAGCAAAATCGCGAAAGCCATGTGAGCAATGTAATGGCAATCTAGACCTTACAAAAGGTCGTTTGGCGTAAAATATGTTAGACACTCACAAAGTCAACACCGATGGTCGAGATGTAGCTCTCCGTGTACGTGTCGTCAGCGAAACGGAGAAGCAGACACGACTTGCCGACACCAGAGTCACCGATCAGTAGCAGCTTGAAGAGGTAGTCACTGCATGTAAGAGACGCAGGTCAGCCGGATCGAGCCTTCTAAAAGCAGCAATAAATCAGCTAGTAGCATGCGATCCTGCACGTACTATTCGGGGTTCATCTTGGTGGAATGTAGAGAAAAAGCGGCGAGTAAAGGCGCTCAATCTGCAGCACGACACAGCGATCCCGTTAGTTGACAGCTTCCAGCATACCATGACGCTCCCTTCTTCTCCCCGTTCCGTCGCTCCTAGATTCCAAAGAAAAACCAAGGATCCATTCACTTCTACCATACAGTGTAGATAAGGGAGGGCGACCGGCGAGAAGAGGGGAGATGAAGGGAGAGACAGCTGCGCCCCATATTGGCGCTACAAGAATAGAAAGGCACCTACACCGAGAAGAAAAACGAGGCGACTCGCGCGTTCTGAGCGTCTTGGGTTGTGCTGCAAGAGAGAAAGAAGGAGCCGTCGTTTTGGCCCGAGGTTTTTTAATGGTTGAGATCAAGGTTTTTCGGGTAAATTAACCAATCGATTCTCCCAGCGTGGCGCGAGAAAACTGTGTTCAACACGCAAGTCGAACCACATCAGACTGATGCCTGCAGTTGGTGTTGCCGATGGCCGCTGTTCCTGGTAGGAACATCCTACGGACAGCACACATGGTCTACTGTACTACATATGCAATACTGCCCGACAGCGAGTGAATCTTTCGATGTGTCGAGCCTGGGGATTGACGTCGGTTCTGTAAAATCGCAGTGTATTCGAGGTGGCAGGGGGAGAAACGAAGCCTGTTAAATATGTACGACGTGTGCAGTTGGGCTTGCAACTCAATTCGAGAGCACAATGGTAACCGCGGTAGAACAGCATGCGATAACTAAACCGAAACGCCGTCGACGAGAGCTTTCGCGTCCGTCGCGCTTGCATTTCCAACGCCATCGCCTTCAGTAAATTGCTGATCCGTGGTACCAGTAACGCCCAAACCAAATGGGGCAACCCTAGCTGCATGCAAACGAAGAAAAGAATGCTGGCGTAGAGGCCTGCCAGAAAATGCTTATTATTAATACCTGTCTGCGTAGACCAATATTAACAAGAACAAGAAATGTTGCTACGAGGATCACGTCGCAGAGCTGATACATTCTTCAACCAGAGTGATGGTCGCTCGTCCTCGTTTTATGAATCACAGCAGCGAATTACGTACTCTTCTCGAAAACTTTACCCTTACAAACTCTAGCATATTCTGTTCACCCAGGTAGCAAAGCCCGAGCTATGTGCTAAAATGCGTTGAATTAGTTTTCTATACCTAGGGCTAGGTGTATTTGGATTGTTCCGACTTGGTCTCCCTTCACACAGAAAGGGGAAGCCGAGAAGAAACGTCGAAGGCAAGTAACCCGATCGAAGCCAATGGTGGTGGCGCTCGAGCTCGCTACGCTGAGCCGCCTAGGCCCCGCTACACATCTTTACGTGTGTGTTTTAGTGGTTGACGTGCAGCAGAAACCCGCGTCTCTCGATTCGATCTACGGAACGAGAACGCGCGAGTGAAGCTGGATCATCCCACTCGGGAGTCAGGCGGTGGCTTCCAGTGTCTAATGGGGTCGCAGCACCAATTTGGCGCTCAAATAGTGTGCAGCGACCCTTCGTGGTGGGAAAGTGACTAACTGTGTTCTGCTATTGACCTGGCGCAGACGAACTGAACTCGGAATCTAGTTACCAAGAAAGGAAGCAGCACACCATGAGCTCATTTAAGAAGGAACACCCGTTCGGTAAGTGGCCGTTTATGTCTCCAGTTTGCTGTGGCAATCGCTGAAGGCAATTTTTGGTGTCAATTTTGTAGAGAAGCGCCAAGCCGAGGCTCAGCGTATCAGATCCAAGTACCCCGACCGAATTCCGGTATGTAGCGTTGACAAAAATAATTGGTTAATGTGTTAGCTGACGGATTAATTTACTCCTGGCGCAGGTGATTTGTGAGAAAGCAGACCGAAGCGATATCCCGGACATTGACAAGAAGAAATACCTGGTGCCAGCCGACCTAACAGTTGGCCAGTTCGTGTACGTGATCAGAAAGCGCATCAAACTGAGCCCCGAAAAGGCAATCTTCATCTTCATCAACAACGTCCTCCCACCTACCGGTACGCCTTCTCCGCTTCATCATTTTTTAGTGAATACCATTTGTTTACTCACATCGCTGCGCTATTTTTCTCGTTCAGCTGCTTTGATGTCGAACATTTACGAAGAACAGAAAGATGTGGACGGTTTTCTCTACATCACTTACAGCGGCGAGAACACGTTCGGTCAATAGGTTGCACGTGCTGTGCTCGTGTGGGGACTGGATTTTGGTTGAACGAGATTTTTTCGTCGTCGCTTTAGGGAATTGCGAGGTTCGAGCTTTCTTGTTGCAGTAGCGGCGCTGTACTGTTGACTTCAGTAGGAACTGATGGCAAGATGAAGCCGCCGGAATCTACTTCAAGCATGGAAAGAAGTACTACTACATGTAGTATTTGCTGCGGTGTGGCTATTTCTACTAGAGCTGGCGATGTGGATCTTTCTTAGGAGCAAAAAAAACAGAAAAATGCATTCAATTCTATTCTCTCTGTTGTGCTTCTCTCTTACTCGCGCTGGAAGTGCAAAATTTGCAGACCTTGGCCGACGACAACAACTTCGTCACTTCCAGTCGAGGTTTGTCGAATTGCGAGATCGGCAATATCGGCGCATTCAGAGAAGGCAGCTCCTTGCCACTCCAGCTCGGTGTCGTTCTCGTTGCGACAAATGCTCCACTTGCTCACTCGTTGGTCGTATCCAGCGGCAAAAATGAACTCGGCATCAACACATGCAACGGCTTTGATAGCTGAGCCACTAGCGTTAATTGTCCCAGCTTCAGAAAGCATTCGACACTCTGGGAATTGCAGCTCACGCAGGTTCAAATTCTGGTCATCTCCACCGCTGATAAGAGTCACGTCAAGGCTTTCTTCCGTCTTGCTCTTGTTGCAGGAGACAAGATTGATGCAGTTCACACCCATATCGTGCGCCAAGTAGTTGCCACTAGGTTGCAGCTCACCAATCAGCTTCTGAAGTTTCGTCTTGAACTGGGCCAACTCTTCATTGGACTGAAGAAGTAAAGTAATCTTCTTGAGTACATCGCTCAAGTCCCATAGCGTCACTAAACCATCCGTAGAGCCAACTGCTAGACCAGCAAGCACTGCGTCATCAGCACCTTTCTGAAAGCCAGCGCAGGACAAAATTGGCTTTCTTGAGGCCGAGTGGAAGTCACCAATCTCGAAGAGTTTGCCACGGCATATATCCAGCAGCAATAGCTGAGTGGACCCTTCGGAATTACAAGCCGTCACTAGTCGATACGAGTTCGAAGCATCAGGTACCGCAAACGTAGCGAGCCCGAGAATGCGGTGGTCCTGCGCTGCCTCAGCACGTTCGTGGCCACAAACATGACGGAGCAAGTCGCTTTGTCCGCGAACTAGCCACACATTTAGACGTTGTTTACCGCCTCCGGACAGAAGGATGTGTTCCTCAATACCATCAGTATTTGTGTGTTGGAACGAAGTAAGCGCCCGGACCGTAGTCGTATGGGCGATTCCTGTAGCCACACTTCCCCAACGCGAGTTTGTTCTACCGTGATCGCGTTGGCGATGAAGCATGAGGCTGTTATCTTCTGCAGCAGTAACCAAACGCTCACTTCCGAGGAAAGCCACACAAGTCGTCATGCGTCCGTGATGATGATCATGTAGTGAGCATTTGGAGAAACGCGGCAAAGTCTCGGCACCATCGATTCCACTTAGAAGAGTAGAGTGCACCTTGACATCAACTTGCTGCTTTTGAATCGCTGGTGGCGTGAACACAAATGTGTGTGAGGGCAAGGCGGAGTCGAACTCACTCGGTCTCGTGAAAAGGGCGTGTGGTCGGCGCCAACCACCACACTCCACGTTAAAGATACGATACTGCGCCGAGAAGTTGTGCAGAACTGCTTGTGCCGCGTAGAATCCAAAAACCATAAGGTCGTGCTTTGTTTTACCGTGGGCAGATGACGCTTTGCTCCACCAAAGCTGCTTGACTGTGGAAATGCCTCGAATAGACTCACGACCCACCTGTGTAGTTGTAAGCGCTCCAATTGCATCTGCTTCCAGTACGTATCGGCAAATGTATCCGTCGTGTCCCCCCGACAACATAGAAGTCTCATTATTCTGAGCGTCTTCACTTTCTTCGGATAGAAGAAGAGAAGCAACTAATTCACGCCCGTGAACTCCTTTCAGCACGACAGCAGGGGCCTGCATCGTCTTGAGCTTATCATCGCTTTCCGTTAAAATGAGTGAGCGGTTGAATACATACACACCACCGTGTCCATCGCCTGCGATGACATTTCTGGTTGTCAAGCGATCAACGACCAAAATCGAAGATGTTGAGCTCTTGGCTGGGATCTTGAATGATGCCACAAGCTCCATTGTGATCACGCGTGAAGCCAAGCTCTTGTTGGTCTGTACTTTGGCTGGTTTCCATTCAGAGAGAACTGCATTAGCACTGCTGATAAATAGAGCGTCCTCCAGGTCCCACCAAATCTTCATAACTCGTACGTTGGGCTGGGTAATCCATGAGTACAGCAAAATACCAGTGGCTACCTCGACGATACACACGCGGCCCGTTATTTCACCGAGCAGCAAGAAGCGTCCGGACGAATCCGTTGTGAAGGTCGACAAGCCACCGGTTCGTGCCTGAACGATGCCTTCGTTAATTGGGGGAATAGTAAAAAAGTGTTCTGCTGTGAGCGACAAAAGGTCCAGACGGAAGATATCACCGTGCTCGGAGGCTACGAACGCTGTCTTGGCGTTATCCTGGATACTCAGTACGATGTTTCGTACACTGCGCGACGATGGAGCTCCTTTCTTCTTCTTCGATGAGGACACTACTGTCGCAATAGGGACACGAACAGTCTTACACAAGTCGGTGGCTCCTGGCCCATCAGATAAAGACATACGCTGGTGTGCGATGTCCCAGAGCTTTACAGCGCCATCACTACCTCCCGAGGCAATCATGGTTAGCGAAGGATGGACAGCTGCACGCCATACATGCTTGCCCATGTGACCTTGTAGTGTGGCGATGCAATTGCCGTGGAGATCCCAGAGCTTGCAAAGGCCATCTTCACTCGCTGTTACCACGCCGTGCTCCCAGAAAGACACGTCCCAAACGCGCGCTGAGTGACCCCAGGCACGAAACACTGGAGAATACTCGTTCGCAAGAAGCTCAGCACGGGTTAGCGTTCGTGGTAAATGGAGCTGTTCAGCTGTGATTATCCCATTGTGCGACCACAATTGAACCGTTCGGTCATCGGATACGGAGGCCAATGAGCGTGCGTCCGAAGACCACGCCAATTTGAAGAGCACGCCATCATGCGCATGTAGCCGTTGGGCCGGCTCTACGGCAGTGTTCAACGCATTCTTTCCATTCTCCATGGGATTCCACAGCAAAATTTGCTGGAAAACCGTCCCAGAAGCAACCACAAGCTCATCCAGTGATCGTCCGTGGAACGCCAAAGCGTACAAAATGCAGCGCTCAGCACACTGCACGCTGCGGAGAATATCGTTGCGCAGTGGATCCCATATCTGCACCAAATTGTGAGCCAGTCCAACTGCAGCCAGTAGATTCTCGTTCTTCGTTAACGCAAAGTCCGTTGTCAGCAGCTGCACGTCGAACACCCAATCGCAAAACACTTTCGGTTTGGCCAGCACAGCAAGCTCCTCAAGTTCACAAGCGGCCTCACAAGTCTGCGGCAGATTCTGGAAACATGACACGCGTTTTTGACCAAAGAAGGCGCCGACAAACGATTTATCTAAAGCCGAAAGTCTGACGATGTCACAACCGTGCAGAACGCCTCGCGTCAACACCTCGTGCTTCCCCAGAAGCTGGCCAGTCCCAGTAGCGTACAGGAATACCGTCGGACCTACGCCAACGTATAATAGAGATCCATCATATGAGAAAGAAACGAGTGTCACGGCACTCAGGAACTCCTCCTTCTTGATCGGAGGGTGCACCATGGCGACGTGATGGTGCGCAGCCATCCATGATTGGTGACCGACCGGTTTAAAACCGGTATTCTCTTGAAGTCGCTTGGCACATGGCTACAAATGTTTTAAGCTTCAGAAATGATCCAGTAGTTAAGGATTAATAAGTTAGTTTGTGTTTTATTTGCTATAGCTGCACGACCAACTCTCCAGTAACTTAGGGGCAATCTGGCAACTCATTAAGATTCCCGGCACTTCTGTTGCTGCCGGTACTCGCTGAGTTTGGAGAACACGGGCTTTTCCATCTGTAAGACTTTCCACACTGAGCGAGCCTTACGAAACTCGATTTGACTTTTGCTCGGGTCGGAAACAGGCGAAAAATTCTTGGGCTGCAACGACTGCTCGAGAGTCTGCAAGCTCAGGTTGGCAGGAAGCGTTGCACCTCGAAGAAAGAAGTCGCGAATTATCGGGAAGATGGTTTTAGCACAGGAAATACACTTTGGCACCGCGGAAAAGGTATGCGATGCCAGTATCAGCACTAGCTGATGAAGTTCAGCACGACGCTGGTTGATCACATTGGTCGACCGTGAGCACAGAAGATGGCGCCTCGGTAGCCAGTAGTTGCGCAACGTTTGAGCGAACCATGCACAGCCAAAGCATTGCGAACGAGCACCGCCTCCACGATGCAAGAAGAACGCGTGAAGAATCTTCAGCAGCTCCCGGAACTCCGAGTATCGGCGCTCTACAAACCACTCAAGATCCGTCTCGGCGAGCGAGCACTGCAGCACAAATTGCGTGGGCTCGCCCATACGCGTGCTAGGCTTCACATTCACGAGCTTCACCACAAGTTTTGGCTCGAGGCTGTCGGATCGGCACGCGATACTTGAGTGGAAGCATTCATTGTCGAGGTGCATGACTGCGATACTGCCTTTAGGACTGCGCGCTAGACCAAGCAGATTGCGAAGTAAATAACTGCAATATGTCTGCTTTGCCATCGTTGCTAATTGCAGCGCAAGACACCATCATGAACACCACCTTCACTTTCTGATCTGTCAACTTTCATCCTGACACGATTAAAGCTAATTATGCGCTTGTACTTTTATATTAGGTAGTTCGCTTGCGAACCCCTTTTACCGTATCAGAGGTGGGCCGTGTGATTTTAGATTGTCGTCGCTTAGGAAACATCAATTGTGAGCGCAAAAAGACAGCTACCCAGCCAAGTAACTTGCTTGGTCGGGTAGCTTTGTCTTGTACTTGTCAGGTCAACTCGTCGTCTGTATATCTAAAGGCTGCATCAGTTATACTACTGATTCAGTTTCGCGGCACGTGCCATGCTAGCTGTCTGGCTAAGCCTCGGCACCCATATCCCCGGTGAAATACAACTAGTATCAAAGAAGGTTTCAATTGAACCCATGGCCCTTAGGCCTTGAGGAGAGTTTGGATTTCCTAAAACGACCGCGCTAATGAACACCTGAAACGGCGTCTACTTGTTACCAGCAAAGAGGTGCGTCGACACGACGGAATAGAGCGGCGTCCATGACGAAAGAAACGTTCTACATGTAGCAACTGCTGACGCCCCAGTCCAAGACGTTGCCGCTCGGCATCGTAAGGTATTACTGTACCCATGCCATTGTCGGCAAAAGTGTACTTAAGTATCTTTCTAAAATCCTTCAAACGGTGGACTATTGATAAATAAACCTTTAAAACAGCGTCTTTCGTGGTAACAGATTCATTCGACCTTTTATAATGTTACAAAAATGAGGATCTTTCAGCAGCAATTCTGCCACCCAGCTGTGAATCCACATCCCACCCAGTTGAAAACCGGTTCCCTTAAAAAAATGGTGTCGAGCCGTTTTTCCAGCTGTTCCAGCAACCGATCCCGAACTGCAGCCTGATCGCGACACTCCATTCGTCGACCAGGTGGCTCCATAAGTTGACTCTTTCGGTGCTGGTAAGACCAGTTTTCGAGGTTTGAGAAGCCTCTGGTCGTACAGATGCCATCCCCTTCGTCCGCCGCCACCATGCCAGTAATGAGTAACACCTCCGCTGAGCCAGAGGCCAGTTTGGACGTCGTAAAAAACTGCAGAAGTAAAAACGACGAATTGTCGACTGGTGCGAGTACCTCAACGCAGGAAGAAGCTGAAACGGCGTGCGGAGACGAGCAAGATCGTGTCTCAATTCAGAGCGACGATCGGATCGAATCCGAGATCGAGCCAGAAGAAGTGGTTGAAAAAGTGAGCGAGGAGACGGCAATCTTGAAGTCGACGACTGCAGAGGAGAAGACGAAGGAGGTTATTGACACTGAAGAAAACGAATTGAAGCCCGCAGCTACCAAGACGCAGAACGAACCCGCGCTGGAAACGTCCAGTGACGACTTGTGGAAAGAAGAGCAGAAGGAGAAGAAACCACCGCTGCCTACACGTCCTGCAACTGCGAGAAGTGCCGAGTCGAGTTCTGTCACTCGCCGTCCATTTGTACCGCTGGCATCAAAGAGTTGGCGCGTGCGAGCTATGCAGTCCAACACGCACCTCACGCGTTTAATGAAGGCAGCGTTGCTGCAGACGCTGCTACACGCTATCCGCACTGGATCGGTTGAAGGCGTGAAGGTTGCAATTGAGCGTGGAGTGCAAGTTCAGTACCTGGACAGTCGCCAGCGCAATCTCGTCATGCTTGCCACCAAGTGCGACACCGACTCTCGGCTACGCATTGTTATAATTCTGCTAGACGCTGGCTGTGATATGAACCACAAGGACCAGCTAGGTTGGAGCTGTCTGCATTACGCTTGGTACGTGCAAACACGTAGAAGAAAAGCGGGCGTCTGTGTGCTGTAGACTAACTATGTTTATTCGTTCTATTCCAGTGCCAGTGGAGCGGACGATGTCGCTGCAGAGCTCATTCGTCGTGGCGCCAGTGTCGAGTTTAACCCCTATGGATACGGCCCAGAAGACTTCAACATTCCTAAGGTGGCACGTGCAAAAAGTCTGTTGCAACACACGGAGCAGCTGCAACACGAGCAAAATGTGTGTTCTGCGTGGATGTATTTCCGCCGTCAAGCTGAAAAGTCTGGCTACAGTGTCAAGTGCAAATCGGTATGTACACATTCAGTTCCTTGCTAAAGTTTCCACAAATGACAGGACTAAATAATGTGTGTGTTCATGTTTGGTAGAACTGCGATCTTGGCAAGCCTCTCAAGATTACATTTCAAGCTCCTGCTGGGCACAGCCCCCTCGACCGTATCCGCGTTGTTGATATGAACTCGGATGTGGCGCTGTGGCTTCAAGTGTCGAAGACCTTTAATATTCCTCCTGGTGACGTGGGCACGATCACGTTGGACGTGGAGACGCTGGACCGTCCGTCCTTGTATCGTATTGTTTACGAGAAATATGAGCCGACGCCTATCCAGCTACCGGCCTCAGTTGCTGAAAGCAGTTTGTGTGTCAAGAATCTGGACACGGGGACTACAGTGTCTATGGGAAGCGTTAATAATCTGGTGCTTAAGGAACTCAAAAGCTCGCGAACAGCGAATAAAACCAAGAATTTGACCAGCTCAGCCAGGTGAGTCGCAAGCCACGTTCATGCGTTGAGTATGGCATACTGAACTGTTATCTTTGCAGACCAGCACCTAAATCGGACAAGGCGACGAATGCTTTGCGAAGAGGATCCACAACGTACGTCTCAGTGTAGAATGTGGTGTAACATTATACTGGAATTGCTGTGCTAATACTCGGGATATGATTACAGTCGGGCGCGGGAGATCACAGAAATTGTGCATGAAGCCATGGTGGAGGAGGAGGAAGAAGGAGAAGAGGCCGAGTTCTCAGCTGATGAGACAATTACGACCCAGGAAGTGGCCGAGCACCCTGCGGTCACGAGTATTACTGGCGTATACAAGATCGTGGCAATGGGAGTTGTCAGTGTTTCGACGCTGAGAACTGCCAAGGCGAACGAATATGAAATCACCATCCGTGGCAAGGGTCCTCTTGGTCTACAACTGGTACGCTTTCAGCCTTTCTCGATGCCTATAAAACAGTATTCACGTCTAACACCGGATTTTAATGTATAGGCACCCAAGATTGAAAGCTTGAAGAGATCTCCACGTCTTATTGTACGTCGCAGTCAAGGCCAAGCAGCAGCTGTGAATCCGGGTGATTGCCTCGTTGCGATTAGCAACGCTAACATCGAGCATGCTGGTCTTAAGCACACGCTGTGGGCTCTGAACGATGCAAAGCGCCCCCTTGTGCTGCGCTTCCGACGTGGTAATGCCAAGGAGAAGAGAAGTCTGTTCAAGGCTGGACTATCCAAGATCACAGGACCCCGTAGACAACCTGTCATTGCGGTGTAGTCTTGCAGCTCTAAAAGGTGCAGTTTTTTTTAAGTTTTTTAGGATGATTAGGCAAGTTTTATGAGGTCTATACATGAAGCCATGAATGGATTGAGTTTCTGGAGCTTAGTGTGCAAAGTGATCTTGTCCTGCGTATTCTCTTACTCTTGTACATTTAGCTGACAGGTCACCATGAGCCAGCGACTACAACATTGGATGGCCTTTGTCTACGTGGCAGTACTTGAACGTCCTGTTCTGACCAGCGCATCGTCGACATAACGACCCAGGCTGGGATGACACGTCAATAACGTGCAGCGGGTGTGTCTGCATAAAAGACATCAGTCAGTCTCGTCCCAGTTTCGTTACTGTTCGCCACATCAGCAAGAAAACTCACTCTGAAGTGCTCCAGTAGATCATCTGGATGAACTTGTATGCGAGTTTCTGTCTCGGGGTCGTACACAGTTGCAGGGTCTGCCAGACGTTGTACATGAGGAAAGCGTTAGGTGAAGTTCCAGTAAGCAAAACACCAGGGCTTTAGAGACTCACATTGTTTGCCATCACCGCACCAGACGTACCAAGCTTGCGCCTCCCACCACGCTGGCTCCACCGAACCAGCATTCTGATACTGTTAGCGGTACAGACAGCATTAGTGTGAATCAATAAGCATCTTGCTCTTCTGTAGAAGTAACATACTGCGATCGCTAGCATGGATCCTGGCCGTAACGAGTTCGCCCACGTCTTCACGTGCCCCACGAAATCTTTCGGGGCTTTATTCGCAGCGTATTTCTTCATCAGCAGCCACTCGCCGTCCTTTCCGTTGCCACGCCGCCGAACCCACGGGTTGTGACCGTGAAAGGACCATGTATTTGGTAGTATGATTCGGTGTGGCTCGTTCGGATCCACGTGGACAATACCAAAAGACCAGAGTGGGAACTGCTGCCTCATCGGACCCGTTTTGTAGCCAGTGTAGTAGACGAACAGTTTGTGCACACAAGTCATTTGGTTGTGCATGAACTGTGACCATGATTCCATCCCCTTGGGCTTCTCTTGTTTGAGTAGATTATCCCGAGGTGTCTCGGCCAGGAACGCTCCGGTGGCTTGCTTGGCCATAATGTCTACGTCCCGCTTAAGCGTTTTGTTGGTCTGTCAGTAGGCCACACCACACGTCAGCAACGCATTGCATTCCGTCTCTTCACACTTGCACGCACCATTCCAAGTCTTCCCAGCGAAATAGGCGCCAGGAACCCTGCAATATATAGCTTGAGCTCATAGTTAAATTGCTGAATATTGGCCACTTTCTGGTACGCGTGCGTTTTTGTCTTTGTTGCTACTGGCACGGTGGCGCTGTCTCCGTGGCGCTTCTTGGCTGCGGCTCTCTCAGTCAGGTTCTTCTGGAAATAGGCGCTCTCCACGCGCAACATACATGAACAGACGTCGCGTCCGTTGCAGCGTCGAGTGTGACGCACGAGTTTGGCGTCAATGACAGATGTGACAGCATCCTCGGCTGGCATCGCTTCCTGTAGCTGCGGTTCCGAGCTCATGGTCGGTTTGCTATGGGTTCCAGCCAGCAAATGAGCCTGCGTCATTTGATTCGCTAAAATTCGTATGAATATTGAATGATTTCACTACAAGTACTAGTATGACACACTTTTGCATTTTATCATACCAGGGCGTGAGGCTGACGGATGCGGGGTCTGGCGCTGTGGCGAGCGGGTTCTGCACAGGCGAGCCAGATGCGTCGGTACCTGTCGGTTGCTGCTAAAGCGAAAGCCGTCAGTCGTGTGAGAGGCACAAGGGACTTGTTGGTCGACGACACGCAGCAACACCGTGAAGTGTTGGATGTGCTGAAGTGCACTGTCGACCGCTATGGGTTTCGGGCAGTGAGTGTGAACAAGGATGCATTGTATGATCTGAATAGTGCGTGTAGGACTGACAACCGAGTTTTTGCAGATCCAGACGCCGCTGTTGGAGTACACTGACCTGTTTTCGCGTTCGTTGGGTGACGGATCCGATATCGTAATGAAGGTGCGTCGAGATGCTTGATCAAAGGTGGAGAATGGAACCAATAAACTGGTCACTTGCAGGAGATGTATACGTTTAAGGACAACTCGGGCAAAAGCGTGACGCTGAGACCGGAAGGCACTGCTGGTAAGTGCTCGAACTGTAGCAATTGGTTCAAGGATCACAGCTAACTGCGTGGATGGGCTCCTACAGGTATCATGCGGGCGCTTGTGAGCAATAACTTAATGTTCTCACTGCCCCACAAAGTCTCGTATTCCGGTAGCATGTTCCGGTGCGTGTAGACTGCCGTATTATCTCCAGTTTAGTTGCTAGTGCGAGTGTGTTCTTAAATTAACTGCTCTTTTGACGCAGATACGAGCGTCCTCAACGCGGAAGATACAGGGAGTTTCAACAGTTTGGTAAGTTTGCTGTAGACATGACAGCGCGCTTGGAACTGTAGCCTAATGTGATGCATTGTTGTGTTAGGCGTGGAATTCGTTGGTTCCACGGGGCCATCCGTTGACACAGAGGTGTTATTTTTCTTTAAGAACGGTCTACCTACAGTTTTATGGACTTATGCGAACCGTCTTTGATAATTGCAGGTTATTGCTATGGCTGCTGATGCTTTGGATGCTCTGGGGATCAAACACAAAGTTGTCCTAGAGTTGAACTCCTTAGGCGACGGTGAGAGGTAGCTATACATTATCTCGTAGCGGCTTATGCATGTGAAGAGCGTGCTGACCCGTTCTATCGAATTAGTCGCGCAAGGTACCGATTCGCACTGGAAGCCTTCTTCTCAAAATTCAGGGACGAACTCTCATCCGACAGCATCAACCGGTTCGTTGGCATTTTTACAACTTGTATCTGCAATGTTATGACCGTCGGCTCCTTTCGCAATTCTACTGTAAGTCTTGAGCGAGGAAGTGTTCTTCGAATCCTGGACTCGAAGAGTGAGATCGACCAGAAGATTATTGCTGATGCACCACAACTAAGTGCCTTTCTCTCTGAGGACTCCAAAACGGTAGGAAGAACATCCTTATTGCTTCCTGACAACGAGTGATGCTCATCGTATTTTGCTTTAAGCGCTTTGACGATGTCTTGAGTGGCTTGGACGCTTTGGGCATCACTTATCGGCACAATCCACGCCTCGTGAGAGGACTGGTACGGCTTCTGCTTGTGTGCTCAAGATACAAAACGTATAGGAACTCACTCGTGTCACATGATCGGCCCGATTGCAGGATTATTACAGCAATACGGTGTTCGAATTCGTTGAAAAGCCTGACGCAGAGCAAGCAACTGGTGGTGGTATTGCGGTCCTAGCTGGCGGCTGCTACGATGGACTGGCGGAGTCATTAGGAGGACCAGCGACGGCTTGTGTGGGCTGGGCTGCTGGAGTTGATCGACTGAACCTTCTCCGTGACAAACCGACCAAGGCAATGTGCTCCGTTGCGGTACGATTCACACGTAGCGTAGAAAATGATCACACTGTTGTATCTAACGTTTTTTATGCGTTAGATCGTCCCTGTGCTCGCTGGCGATACTTCGAAACATGTGCTTCACGAAGCTATGCGTGTCGCGCAGGTACGATGTGGTTGACGGCGCGAGTTAAATGTTTCCTGATCGCACTATTGGCGCCGTTTTTTTTTTCCTTAGACGCTTCGTCAGCGTGGTCTGACAGTTCACTTCTGTCATGGGAAGGGCAATATGAAAAAGCAAATGAAGGTGATGTTGATACGCTTCCGATACGGAACATTTGCAGACATATTGCTAACGTAATTTTTCTTGTGTTAGGCTGCTGAGCGCTACGGTAGCACTCACGCTGTGATCCTGGGTGGAGCAGAAGTGGAGCAGCAAATCGTAAAGGTGAAGAACCTCGACAAGCGTGAGGAGGTTGAAGTGACAATGGAGGAACTGAGCAGCTTTGTGCTCTATTGAACTTGCGACGTCAATGGCACGTGCACAAGCCAACGTTAGAAAACATCAATAGACGGCGATGTATCCATTTGATGACTTCAACTTGTAGCAGGTCACATTAGAAAAACCTTGACAACTGAGGTTTTTCGCACTACCATCTCAAAAATACGCAAATGATTTTTGGGTGCTGAGCATGGAGGAGGAGGAGCAGGAGCTACACGAGCAGGAATGCGAGCAGGAGCCGGAACCACAAGAGCTGGAACTGTGGTGCTTGATCGTTGGAATGGTCGGTACGGCGTTTCCCGTCGCTGTAAAGGGAACTGACCGTGTCTGGGAGCTGCAAAAGACGATTAAAAACGAAGCTGTGGAGATCTACGGAGACTTGAACGCCGCCCAGCTGAGAGTATATCTGGCCAAGAACGATAACGGCGAGTGGCTTACTACAACTGAAGTAAAGCGAATTGAGAACGGAGACACAAAAGCGGCCCAGATTTTGCTGGAGAGAGGTCACTTGGCGTCCATGAGCCAATTGGCTAGGATCTTCAAGGACCGTGCCGTTGACGTCGTTCACATTCTTGTCCAGGCACCTCTTAAGGCCCCAGAGATAGAGATGCAAGCAGACATCACAGGAAAGAGGAAGCGATCAGAGCAATCGATTGGAAACGCTGAGACAATTGATGTTTCGGCCGACGAATTGAGTCTCCTCTTTGACGTATTGGGGCAAAACAAACAGACTGAGCAGAATTTGGTTGCAACTGCTGATCTGAATAAGTTTTGGAAAGAGTATGGAGGATTTCCGTCGACATTTTTTGTGCGGAAGGAGGGGCTCATCCTTTGGAACCTGGTTTTGCGGATGATGTCCAAGAGGGACAAGCGGGTCACGATCGTGGGCTCAGCTGGGGTTGGCAAGTCGTGCTTCCTCGCATTAGTCGGATTTTACTTATCAGTTGTTGAAAAGCGGAAGGTTCTGATTGTTCGCCGGTTGAATCGTTCATCGGAAGCTAATGCTGTGGTCTATCTTGATGGCGAGAGCAATTCTTGCATCAAAAAGACTAACTTGACGGCTGCGAAGATTTCATTGATACCTGACAGGAAGGAGTCCCAAGGTGCGTTGATTCTTGTTGATGGCTACTCCCGAATGGAAGTTGAACATCGGTTTGGTCTCTTTCCGTATCAACTGCTGGCGTCGTTCATGGAGGACGAGTTTTCGACTGATGAAGTTGTGCTGCCGGCGTGGCAGTTTAATGATTTGTTGCGTTACGCTGAATTGACACTACCGACTTGGAAGAGATTAACTGGCCTGGATCAAGAGAAGCAAGAAACTACGCTGAAACTTGCCCAGGAGCAATACTTTTACAGCGGCGGAAGTCTCCGCGACTTTTGTAGAAATCGCGTCGATGTCAAGAATGGAATAGATGGAGTATGTGCTCGTGTGAGCAGTGCACAGACACTTGACTTGGAGCTTCAGTTAGGCTCCCGAGGATACAATTTGTGGGATCGAATTCGGCGGGACTACGTCGTAGATCCCAACGATGACGAACATTACTGGCAGGTTTGCCATCGGAAGACCGCGATGGATTCTGGATATGCATTTAAGCGGATAGGGCGCTTTATGGACATACAGAAGCAGATTGACCTCTACAAGATCGCTCAAACGCTCCAAGCTGGATTTGAGGGCTCGGCATTTGAACAGTGCTTCCACAGCGCTGTAAGGCGGTCTACAAAGAAATTTCCTGTTCAGATGGTAAATGTCGTGGTTAACTCTGACCCAGCGTACTCAAATCAAAGATACGATCGACTCGTATTGCACGGCCGGCCGGTGGTATGCCACGGTAGCACAGAACAGGATTGCTTCGACAATTTGTCGCGGCTATGTTTTGGAGCCTTTTGTCATCTTGATAGTGTGAACTTCCCGTTCGTCGAGGCCGTAGCAATTTGCGAAGGGGTTTTGAGAGGGAGCAACGTTAAAGAAACAGTTGTGGCCACGATCAGCACTACTGTCTCCAAAAAGAAATCTTTCAAGTCGGAGCTCTGGACCAAGCTAAACAAGGCACTTGATCGCAACAAGCACATCTCCGGCAATACTCCACGCGTATTTGCAGTGGTTGGCCCTAATGCCAGCACGTGCAAGAGCTTTACCTTGATCGATGCTCCCGATCCAAAAGACTTTATGGTGTGTTGCTATGACCCACTGAAGTTGTATCGGAAGTCTTCAAACGCAACAATTGCATGAGGAGAGTTAAAAATGAAAGGAATGGGCTTGGTACAGAATATATGTTCTTGCTTCGTCACGCTGATGAAATTGTTGTACTAGCTGACGGTCATGTTGTCGAAGAAGGCCCATATCACGAGCTGGTTGACCTTAAGCGTGGTGTATCGTCGCTTGTACACAATTCAAGAAGCAAAGGCACATGAGCAAACCAAATCTGCTGCCTTTGCTCTCGCTGAGCGATAATAGGAAGATGACGGAGGTTTTATTGGGCACGAGATCATTCGCTCCATGAGAAGCTCCTAGTTGAGAAGTAGCCGCGTCGCGTACTACATGTAGTTCTGCTGCTCTGAATAATTCCGGGACCGAAGCTCCACGTAAGTTTACTGTGCGGGATGACAATGCACTCAGCAAACCTGAACGCAGATATTTCGTCATGGACATGGTTGGGGTCGGCAATCGATGGTGCCTTCTGCTGTACTAAATAATGGTTGTGATCATGACGCTCGATTTCACCAATTACGAGGAATACGATGGCTTGTCGTACTTATCAAGCTTGCCGCACAAGGTGGCCGTGTACTATAGTATTTACATTGCTGGGGATGTGGTCATTTGGGCTGGACGAGCTTTGGATGGCGGAGAAGCTGACAAAGTACTTATTTCTTGTCACTACAGTTGAGCAGACATAAGATGCCTTATTTGACGAGAAAGAGCGTGCAACTAGCAGATGAGTTTTCGACGGATGCTCCGCGTATTGCAGTGGTATCTGGAGAATCGCCATTTTTATGACAGCAGCGGCACTATTAAGCTCGTTCTTGTTGTATCAATAAACCGCCCCAACAGGGCAACACACGAGCTCTTACCACCACCGCAAAACGCCACGATTTCACTGGCCTCGGTGGTGAGCTTGGAATTCCTCTCGCCGGGTACCGGAACAAGACGTCGTTAAACTCAATTTTGTCAAGAGCAGTATCTGTTTGCAGACCGAATGCAGTCTCGTAGAGAGAGGATTATGCTTCCTGCCTCCAATTTGCTCTCTGTGTCTGCGATGTAGCCTACCGAGGCCCCACATTTATGATTGCACAATTATGGCCATCAGGGAACGCATCAGCTGCAAGAGGTAATCGATTCGTCTTCCACCAGCTTCCCACCGTACCAGAATGAAAATGCGTAAGTGGCAAAGATTATAACAGAGCTGAATCTAAACGTCAGAGTAAACCCAAGTGACTTCGAAGGTTACCGAGGGTCGAAAGCTCCGAGGCATGAGCTCTGTCTTCAGCCATGTCATCGACGGGAAGACTCTGTATATTGAGCGAAACACATCCGTGGTCAGGTCTTGTTGGATGGAGTGGACTCAAAAACTCAATGCTACGTGGTTGAGGAGACAACTCGATCTTGTGGGCCAAGACCGGGACTCTCCATCGGTATGACCGCAGAGAGCATCGCGTACGATTTCGATGAAATGCCGATAATGGAGGAAACGGCAAAGATGGTAAATGCTCATGAGTTCATCTCCCAGCTTCTGGACGGATACATGACGCAGGTCGGGATAAAAGCTTTCATGAGACGAATTGCGATCGCACGGCAACTTTGTAGAATTATTAGGATGACTTCCCGTCGTTAAGCCATATCGATGACAACCGTAATGAGTCATTACGGTGCCAACAAAGTTTTAAGTTTTTCAGGCCAACGATACATCGTCGACTCATGACTGTCCATGACATCATGAATGAGATGGATTCTGGGCCGATTTTGGTTGCTGTCATCGTTTTCGGTCGGTCCACATGCGACTGTTGAATTCTTCGCCGATAGGTACATGTTCATGTACCATCAATACTGTAGAACGCATGCATCATATACAGTACTGAACGGCCATTCTGGGCGGTGATGCGGGTCATCCGCTGCAAGTTCCCACCCAGCCCTCTCATCTAAACTTTGGGGGACGTATTCGATCTGGTTCAGTACTCCGACTGACTTACCTTACATTCGACAACCCCATGATTGTCAATCACTGATTGACAAAATTAATAACGTAGCCATTTTCCGCATCAGTCATCAATTCATTGAATTGCAAATAATATGTAAGCCACATCAAACCTTCACAGGACTACAGTCGCCGCCACTTTCGCTTACAACGTCCTCAGAGAAGAGCACCGCTCTTTGTCGACCCGTTGCTGCTTCCTGTGCACCCAGACCCGTCGCTGCTGCATCCCGTTTGTGGCTGCGCGGGGATCATGGACAGCAGATCTCCTGATCCAGGTTCGTCCTTAAATGCTATAGTACTGGCAGAACCGACATTTCGGCCGTTGGCGCGTCTTTTTTGCGTTGACCTTGATGGGCTTTCAAGATTTTTAAATACGTTTTAATGATGATATCGTTTATGTTATTACTTTTCACAGTAGCTTCGCCGGCTACTCAGGAGGAAAAAGCTATTACAATGACGCCAGCGCCAGTTGACGCTGCTGAGCTAACGATTACGGCCGCGGACACAGTGCTACCCGCGTCTATTAACGCTGAGGTACAGATAACTACGGCTACAGACTCAACACCACCTGCCAGCCAGAAGGAAGAAGTTCCTGTAGCGACGCCCGCACCCGTCCAAGACGTCGAGCAGATTACGGTGGACTCGAACACAGTGCTCTCCACCAGTCAACAGGATGTAGCTCTCGCAACGACGCCCGCTCTCGTTGGCACTCTCGAGCAAAAGATTACAGTCACTGGGCCCGAATTAAGCCCTGCCCACGCTGGTAACAATGCAGTGAAAACCGACGTGAAGACTGAGAGTCCAACAAAGAGCGAGGACAGTGATAAACGCCGCAAGCGCCGGGCAAACAAGAAAATAAAGTACGTGGAGGAGGACGACATCTCAGAGGGTGAAGAAGCCATGATTGCAGACAAGAAGAAACGTGCACAGCAACTTGATTATCAATTGAGAGCGGTACGTAAGCTATTAAGGCTTCGGCTGCGACTTGAGGTGGGTAAATGTACTGATTTTGGGTTGTATAGGACGCGGGCTACCCGCAATTGGATCAGATTGTCGGACGACGGACCAATGATTCGTCGGGACTCGTCGAATATTTGTGCAAGTTCCTCGGTCGGTCGTATCTGCACCTGTACTGGCTCACGTTCGACGAATTGGAGCTTTTTATTCCTGAGGGATACCAGAAGTTTCACCGTGTGCACGTGTACGATCGTAAGCTACGTCGCGAGGGATACCAACCACTGGATGAGGTGGACGATCTGGAGGCCAATAAACTGACTGTGGAGAAGATATTGAACCACAAGGTGGACCCAGCCGACCATTTGGACGAGCAGATCGAAAAACGGCGACGTCAACTCAAGTACGAGCCCAAATTCCCACGTGTGACCGACTATTTCTTGATGAATAATGCCGATATCATTCAGGAGCGAATGCAGGGAATCGTGACAAAGCTGACGAAAGAAATGGGAGGCGACATCTTTGAGCACCCTGTCGATGTTGAAGAGGTTCCTGACTACCTCAACTTCATCACGAATCCGATGGACCTTGGAACAATTTCCACACGACTTGGTCGAGAAAGTTACTACATTGGACCGTCGGCCGTGTCACTATTTGCCTCGGATGTTCGACTGGTGTTTCAAAACTGCAAGACGTACAATGCTGAGGGATCTGACATCTGGCGCGTTGCTGCTGAGTTGTTGCGCACATTCGAGAAGTGGATCTATGACTGGATATTATCCCCGTCTGCGTGGCTAAAGTTGCCTCCTTCAGGAGACGCAGAGGAAGACCAACGCCTTCAGAAAGAGTTTCGTGATGAAGCAGAAGCATTTTACGATCTGTGGGCACCTTATCGGATCGGCTGTTGCATATGTGGAAACAGCAATAACAGTGAGGAGCTTCTGCTATGTGACCGATGCGATGGTGAGGTTCATATGCATTGTGCTACCCCGAACGTCACGGAATTACCGGAAGGTGAGTGGTTCTGTGGATACTGCCGAGTGCGTAAGAAATTTACTGGAAAGATGGAGAAAGCAAAGGAGGAGTCCGAACACAAATTGAAGAGCATCGAGATAGAAGCATCCACGGGAGTGACGACTCCTTCAGCTTCTGGCTCAACCCCAACACAGGCAGACAAGAAAGCAACTACTACGTCTACGCACGCCCCGAATATCCTTATGGAGCGAGCCGATGGTGAAGGTAAAGTTAACAAGAAAACGTCAAAGCGCAGCCCTAAAGGGATCAGCGCGACGAAGAGCTTGGCGCCAATCAGTATGAAAGATCGTGCTGGTACCTTTTTCCTTGTCAAGTGGATGGGTTTGTCGGTTCGATTTTCGACGTGGGAGCGTCCGGAGGATATCGGAGACGATGAGCAAATCCAGAGGTATTTCAAGTTCAGTCGTGTGCCTAGCGCGAAGGAGATCCGTGAGACTACGTGCCAATTGCCGTGCTGTGCTAAGCGACACCAATACGCACTAGTAACAGCCACGAGCGGGAAAAGGTGCTGTGAAAAAGATCGTTTCTGTACTCTAGGCAACGGCCACGAGGGTAATTGCAGTCGTAGCATTAAAGCAGTTGGAGGAGCCTACGGCAGCATTGCGTATCAACGACTCCACATGCAAGAGCAAGTAAAGGCACAACTGTTCGCCTTTCACTGTTTGCTCAACAATCATACGCCCGACAAGGATGTGCTCAAGCAGTGTGGAATGCACACCAACGCGTACGTGACTACGAAACAGCACTTAGCACCCAAGGCCTTAAAAGAGGACGACGATGAAGATTATTCGGATGAGGACGGGGACTCGTCTGATGACGATGCAGACTTTGACGCCGAGACTGATTTTCTGAATCGACCAGCTTTCTATCCTGGAATCTTGACGCTGGAAAATGACGACGAAGAGAACGATGACGAAGCTGGAGGCCACAAGAAAAAAACGGAAGAAGAGGTCGGTGAGGTACTGAGCTCTATCGTTGAGCACGTTGCGCTTGGATACCCCACGAAGCTCGAGACTGTCAGTGCTGAGTTTCGATTTGACTCGATATACCCCGCATCAGCTTTCAATGAGCTCCCAGCCTTCACGGAGTACTGCATTATTCTGGGTCGATCGCCCCTCGGTTTGGGCATGCGTCTTGGAATCAGTTGCACCACCAATGTCTCGGTTCTGGGTTTCCAACCTCTTGCGAATGGCATGATAGGTCCAGCGCAGGCGTCTGGAGCTATTTCGATTGGTGACGTGCTTGTAGCCGTCAACAAGATATCGGTGGCAGGTCGTTCGTTTCAAGACGTCGTCACGCTGATTGGTGCTTCTTCCCACCAGGTTCTTTTCCACTTTCATTCTCCCCGACCAGCGTTCATGTACCCTCCGTACTGCCAAGCAAAGCAGGTTACGAAGCTTCGGTTGGAAAAGATTCCTGATGATGCGGCACCTGAAGGCTCAAAGTACGCGCAATACAGCTACAATCAGTTCAAGCGAATGCTCAAAGTGGGAGTTGCGGAGCCAGATGTGGCATCGGCAGCTTCGACACAGACGCTGATGCAACACGCCAACTATAGTGCACCAAGTGGCCCCATGCAACATCTGTACGCTGGGGTCGTTGACAACAGCATCGACCCACACGAGCACTTTGCTAGCTTCCTCCCTGAGCGGAGCAACGCAGCCAATAGTGGATCACACGCTAAGAGTGCGGGCTCAAGTGGAGATGCGAACGAGTTTGTTCCGTACGAGCAGTCACCAACGTACAAAGGAGGCCGCACGCTGCGTGCGTATCAGGTTGAAGGTCTCAATTGGATGGTTTCGTGCATCAAGGCCCAGCGGTCGTGCATTTTGGCTGACGAGATGGGACTGGGTAAGACGGTTCAGATTGTGTCTCTGATCGAACACATGAAGTCGGAGGAGTCCATTCGAGGGCCTTACTTGATTGTCGTGCCTCTTTCTACGATCCAACATTGGCGACGTGAAATAGAAAGTTGGACGGATCTCAATGTGTGCGTGTATCACGATATCGGTGACCGGTCTACTAAGTTTACGGCTAAGGACATGCGAGCCGTCGTCCGAGACCAGGAATGGTATTATCCGGGCTTGGGCAACTCCATCTTCAAGTTCCACATCTTGCTGACTACGTTCGAGACCATTTTGGCGGATTTCGAAGAGTTTGAGCACATTCACTGGCGCTTAGTTGTGGTGGATGAGGCTCACCGATTGAAGAGTGCCGGGTCACGCGTGCTTAAGATGATGCGCGTCCTTCACGTTGATCGGAAGGTATTGCTGACGGGCACGCCTTTGCAAAACAACACGCAGGAGCTATGGGTCTTACTAAATTACCTGGAGCCAGTCAAGTTTGCGAGCTTGGAGGAGTTTAACCAGAACTTCGGAAAGCTTCATTCGCAGGAACAAGTCGTGAGGTTGCAGCAGTTGCTCGCACCGTTTATTTTGCGTCGAGTGAAGGAGGACGTTGAGAAAAGTATTCCTCCGAAGGAAGAAACGATCGTCTCTGTGGAACTTACGACGCTGCAGAAGCAGTACTACCGAGCCATTTACGACAAGAACAAGAGCTTTCTGTATCGCGGCACAAAGAATGGGTTGCCGACGCTGAATAATATTCAGCTGCAACTGCGAAAATGCTGTAACCACCCGTTCCTGATCAAGGGCGTGGAGGAGCGCGAGCTGGACGAACTTGGCAGCAACCCCACACCTGCTCAAGTGATGGAGAAAACGATCGAGTGCTCAGGCAAGATGATGCTGGTGTCCAAACTGATCCCGAAGCTTAAACGGGACGGTCACAAAATTCTGATTTTTAGCCAGTTTCTCAAGCAACTGGACTTGCTGGAACGTTATTGCGAGGCAAATTCTTTTGTGTTTGAGCGTCTGGACGGCTCTACTGGTGGAAGCGTGCGGCAGAGCGCGATCGATCGATTTTCTAGACCCCACTCGAAGTCGTTCATTTTCCTGCTGAGTACGAAAGCTGGTGGCGTGGGCATCAATCTCATTGCAGCTGATACGGTGATTATCTTCGACAGTGATTGGAACCCGATGAATGATCTGCAGGCCCAGTCACGCTGCCATCGCATTGGGCAGAAAAAGAGTGTTCAAATTTATCGTCTAGTGACCCGCAACACGTATGAAAGCGAAATGTTCGACCGCGCCTCACGAAAACTTGGGCTTGAACACGCGGTGTTAGGCACGGCGTCATTTAACGAGAACTCTCAGATCACCAAGCCGTCGGCAGAACAACTTGTGGAGCTGTTGAAGCGTGGAGCGTATGCGCTTATGGAGGACGATGATACGGCGTCGAAGGAGTTTGCTGAACGGGATATTGAGACTATCTTGAAGGAAAACGCTCGTGTTTTGGTTGTAGGCGGCAGCTCCAATGCTAGCAAGAGCGCTGATGGCGATACGGGCGGAATCGCATCACCAAAGCAGAAAAAGTCGCCCTTGAAGTCTAACAAGAGAAAGTCGCTGGGCGGAATGGCAATTGACCGTTCCTCCTTCGTGGCCGAGGGGTCGACGGGTGAACTATCCGTGGATGATCCGAATTTCTGGGAGAAGGTTCTTCCGGGAGCTGTGTCGGTGGAAATGCTCAGTTTGAAGCTGGAAGATGGCAGTGCTGTAAACTCGCGCCAGTCGAAGATCAAGTTTATCAGCAACTTGGATATTGCTCTGACGAGCTTGGTGGCTGAGATGAGTTCAGGCAACAGTTCTGACGATGGTCGACATGGCAGTCGCGACATTCAGCACGAGTACGACATTGCTATCCAGGTATTGAACACTGTGAGCTCGAAGTATCGTGACGAGTTCTCCAACGACCAGATCGATCTCGTGAAAGGATACCTGACAAAACTGGAAAAGTCACGTGTGCGAAGCTGTCGACTAGCCCCTGCGCGAACGAACTTGTTCCAGGATGAAGACTTTGATACGCCGAAGAAGAAAAGGAGAAGGAGAAGCACCCCTGCAGGCAGCAGGGCTGGGAGTGAAGATGAAGCGTATGGCAACACTCCGGTAAAGAAAAGAGGACGCGGTCGCCCTCCAAAACACCCAAGAACTGAAGACGCGAACCCCCCAATCGCCTTGTTCCAAGGTGGCATTATTAACGAGACTGACGATTTGTGCACTCTTTGCGGCGACGGTGGGCTGATCTTGCTGTGTGATGGTCCGTGTCATCGTTCATTCCACCTCGACTGTGTGGGCATGAAAGACGAGCCCAACGACGAGCAGTGGCTGTGTCCAGATTGCGCTGAGGGTCGTCATATGTGCTTGATTTGCAAGCAGGTGGGTGAAATGGGCGTTGAGTTTGGTGTCACGCAGTGCTCCGTAGCCAAATGTGGCAGATTCTACCATAAGGGTTGCCTGGCAGAGAACTCGCGTGTCGAGTGGGTTGGCAAGAAGCGCTTCCGTTGCCCGAGCCACTTTTGTCATGCCTGCTCGAAGCAAGCTACGACCAATAGCAACAAGAAAGGTGAAGACAATACTGGTTTAGTGAGCTGTATCCACTGCTCACAAGCCTTCCACCCAGACTGCATTCCGTCAGCCGACAAATTTATTCGACTATCGAAGAACCTCATGATTTGCGCGAATCATGTAGACGGGAAGAAGGCTCCAGGGAAAATTAGTGCACGCGCATCTGGATCAGCACCGGCTGCACAACGTGCTGGAGCTGTCCTTGCTGCGGCCTCAACCCAACTAGAGATCCCGCAACATATTCCGTTAGAAGAAGACGAAGCAGAACAACCGGAAAAGTCGAGTGGTAAGCGCAAGCGCGAGCCATCTCCCAAAAGACCAAGCTCGAGTGGGTCGAAGAAGAGCAAACCAGCCCAACCGACCAACAGGATCGCGAGGCAGAAGGTCTGCGCTCTTTGTCACCGCGGAGACGTGATGGGAGGGGGTGCTGCTAGCCAAGATTTGCCACCCCCATCTTCAGCCAAACAGGGAGCAGACTCGACAGGGACTGACACTGCAGATATGGCTCTGGAAGGGCCTTTTATTGAGGCTCCTGTGCGCTTGAAGTACACTGACAGGCCCAACGAGTCTGTGCATGTGCACTTGAACTGCGCCGTACACTCGCCAGAAGTGTACGTGAAGGCTGATGGTCTGATCATGAACTTGCCCAAGGCAATTAAGCGCGGCCGACAGCTCAAGTGTACCAGTTGCCACAAGTTTGGAGCCACGGTGGGCTGTGTTGTAGCCAAGTGTCGGCGCAATTACCATCTACGTTGTGCAGTGGAAAGCGGTGGAGAGATTGACGGAACCACGTACGCGTTGTACTGCAAGCCGCATGCTGCTGCTCGCAAGGAACCGACCCGTGTCTGCGTGTGCGATACCAATGAAGAAGACCCGAAACTCACGTTGGTCTGCTCGTCGTGCGACACAAAGTTTCATCCGAAGTGCGTCAACATGTCGGAGCGACATGCGGCGCGTATGGCGAAGACGTGGATCTGCGGTGTGTGCGATGGCTCAGCTGCGGCGAAACCTGCGATCCCAACACACATGCCTGCGAAAGCAACGTCGAATAAACCGGCGCCGAAGAGTAAGTCAAGTAGCTCGAAGGATCCCGCCAAGAAGACAACGAAGGCGTCAAAGAAGAAGAGCAACGAGAAAGCGGAAAGTGCTGATGCTAGTCCGCCGAAGCGCAAGAAAGTGAAGAAGAACCGCTTGAGCATGCCACGGAATAAAATCCGCTCGAAAGCGAACGGGACGAACCACGGTATCTCACCGCACATGGCCGACTCAGATAGCGGTGTCTCCACGGACGAGTAGGTAGAGAAAATACAAAAAAAATAATCGTTGTGGAATCCACTGTACATGCTATCCTGGCCTGAAGATCAAAGATGTATCCGACCCTGAAAATTTGTCTCAAAAAAAGTTTAGATTGGAAGAATACGCAACCATGGATCCTATTCTACGACCTTGGTAAACAGCTTCTCTCATGATCCATCACAGCACTTGCTACACATGTACATCTTGCTCTGCCCACCACCGCAACGATAACTGGCACGTTTACCGAACCCGTATGAAGGTGGGGAATTAATAATTTGAAGAGAACATCCGAAAAAAGTCGGTCGGCTTCTTTGCCGACCGACCGCAACGCTAGTCACACTTTGCACAGCAGTCTCAGGACTTGTGCGCGTTACGCACCACGTCCAATTGCATTTTTGTCCGCGCGATCTGCCAGCAGTAATGCCAACAGAGACCTATCAACGCCAGTTGCACTGCGACACAGAGAGCTGTGTGAATTTTATAACAAGACGTCTCCGCAATCCAGATGAACAGGAGGCACCGTCGTCGTTAGGTGAAACCCTGAGCTACCTGCAGTCTCCAGGCAGAATCCTTTATTGCTATCTAACAAGGTACTGGTGGGCCGCCATGGCAAGAAACTGCGAAAACCCTCCAAAGGCTTCGCCAAAGTGGGCAGCGACTGATATCGGCAATGTTGCCGATATCAGTTGCCTTTTGGAGGGTTTTGTGATGGGTCCTGCTCTAAGATCGCTGTCGAATTTGACGCCGAAAAACGAGCTCTTATCCAGGTTCTAAGGTTTTCGGACACCTGATTGGCCCAGCATGAAAATTGATATTGAACTTAGTGCATCGCGATGGACTTGAGCCATGTAGCTGGCGCCGCCATCGAGGTGTAATACGTTGGCTAAGGCACGATGAACCCCAAGGCTGTGCGGGTTAAAGCCTCTGCATTGCCGAGTTGAGCTGACTGGGAGAGACAGTCGACTGTTTTTGCCTCTACCGCTTGGCGGGCCGATGCGATTTGCTCGGCAATTTTGCAGTTTAACAGCGCTTGTGGGCGCCTGCTGTAGCGGGCTCGACATGTTACACTGGAAGCCAGCTGAACAGTGCAAAGGGTAAAGTCAACTCGAACTTTAGTGGTCGAAGGTCTCAGAGCTTTGGTGTGGACGAAGCAGCTTGTGCTGGCTTCTCCTCTCCCCCGTTGCCTTCGAGCTCGTTCCATTCTCCAACTTGCTCTCGACCCGGTCGGAATCGCCCTAACTTCTGAGTGGGCATTTCGTTTCCCCTCTGGCAATCCACAAAAAGAAGTTTCGCCAATCGTGGATAGCGTCAGGAGCAACACGTAGTGCGAAGGAGCAACGAGTACGTAAACGAAACTGAGCCTCGTCGCCACCAACTGCAAGCAGCGCGAGCTGCTCCGTCTCTCACCGGTGAAGACCTCGGCAACTCAAAGTCTCTTCGCTGGTACAATCCCAAGTACTCCGTTTCATCTTCTGGACAGCTCCTCACTTGGCAATTGGCCCTTCAAGCGCCACTTAGCGCCAACAGGCAGTCGCTAAAGTGCGATCCCACAGATTAGCGAAACACACAACAACAACCGTCAGCAAATTCCAAAGAACGACGCAAATCCACTTCCAGCACCTGACCGAGTTGCAATGCCACTTTCCATCTCGTTTTACCACAACAAACGCAGCGAAAACGCGGCCAGCTCCTACCAGAGTGTGGCACTACACGATCGAGAGAAGGTGAAGCATAAAATGGCGTTACCCTGCGAGTTCTACCGCAACATTTGGGGGCCAACGGAGGATGAAGACGCAGCGCAACGCCGTCGCGCTCGATCAACCAAGTCTGGCCGCTCCCCAGCGTCGGTAGCGTCGCGCAAGTTCAAGAAGCGCGTGGCAACGGGCCCTCTTGTCGACATCGCCCAGGTGGCGCATGTGGTAACGACAATGTCGGACTTCCGCGCCGACTACGGTGAGGATTCCAAGAAGGTGAGACTCGTCAACATTTGGGACGACCGCAGTCTAGCATTAGGATTAGACTCAGGCTCCGCCAAGTCGACTGGCAGCAGTGCCGACAGCAAAGGTCCTTCAACTGCTGATACCGAGCCAGAGGAAATGATGTCCCCTATTAGCAGTCGAGCAGGTCGGATCACGGAGCTCAGTTGCGAAGACAGCGACGATGATCTAAGCAGCTTAGCGTCCTCGTTGGTGAACCGGCAACGACCAGGCGAGCTGAAACGAGCACAGACACCCGAGATTATCTTCCCAAATGCCAAGAAAACCAACCAAGGACGTGGCAAAGACAGTGGCAAGTTGAACAGGAAGGAGCTCAACTTCACAAACTTGCCAGTTCCCCCTCCATCGTCACACAATGGCAGTATCATTTTTAGTGCCGTATTCTCTGAACAACGGGAGTGGAGTTGGAGCGCCAAGTTCCTCTTGGGGATTCACGAACCGATTCGGCATGCTCTATTCGTCATGGATCGGTTCTTGGAACAGTCTCAGAGCCAGTCCAAGCCTATGGCTTCGCACACATTGGCTCTAGAGTCCCACGTGGCAGAGTTTTTCCTCTGGTTCAAGACGTACTTCGTCGAGTATTTGCTGTGCCAACACGACGTTAAGGCAGCCGTATTGCTGCCAATGCTCAACTTGCCAGTGTCGACTAAGCAGCAAATTCTGGATGTGTACCAGGACATCAAACAAATGCTGGCTCAAATACAGCAGCTCGAGCGTGCGCTGTGTGTCAGTGGAGCTTGCAGTGCCTCCTCATGGCTACTGCGGCTTCAAGTACTGCAAACCGAAATCAGACAGCTAAACCGTACGCTACACTCAGCGTTGAACATGGAGGAGACAACGTTGCATGCAGCTATGAGCGCTGCATTCACTGAGCGCGCATTCCAAAGCCACATTATGCCTCGCATATTTCGCGCCATCCGAGCCAAACGTGTTGTGGTGCCGTGGATTGTTGAACGCAGCAAGATTTGGGGAGGAGAAACCGAGCAGCGCAGTATCCAGGGCATGCTACCGTTCTCAGCAAAGTTCATGTACCGCAAGATATGGCGACCGTATTTCATGAGCAACGTGGCAGTGGCGATGAAAAATCTCAACGAATTTGTCTGCTCATCAGATTCGAGCGGAAGCGCCAGCAGTGGCTCGACATACAGCGAACGCAATGGGGAAATGTGCTCCATCATGTGAAGCAGCAGCGAGGTGGCAGTCTTTTGTTAACTTTTTCTTGAAAGCTCGATAGCTATTTATTATGGACCAACATCATCCATTTCGAACTTGTGTCGTGGCGTCACCTGAGCTAGCAGAGCAAATAGCCTGAGCAGCGAGTAGAAGCCTCATAAGTAATAAAAGCGCTTTCAAAATCGTTGGCTTTGTGTTTTTTTTGTCATGAAGGCACTCTGCAATGATGAACGTTGGTTTTGCAAACGCCTCGATCGCTGCATTAAACGAGAACGTGGATAGTAAATGCGAAACTACTTTAAAGTGGCTGGCAAATCCGAACTCTGTCAGTTTCTAAAGAACGACCCATCAGTGGCCATTGTCGTACGTCGAAGGCCCACTGTAAACGAAGGCACCTTAAAACCCACAAACCAAAAGTAGCGGGGTAACAGCATGACAGCAAACGAGCGAGTTCAAGGTAAGAATGAGATCAATCAAGATGCCGAGCAACAAGCGATTGGCGTCGCGAAGACGATCGACCAGGACAACGATTCCCAATCACCCTCTGTCTATTCCGACATGCCTCGACTTGCATGGGATTGGATACGCTGGTCTGGTGCCAAAACGTTCGATGGGATGGATTTTGCCGGTGAGGTGCTAGCGAACTTCCTAGGACTCAATCAATCCAAGTACCAATGGATCATCGCTGCTCAAGAGCGTGAAGAGGAGGAAAAACAGCAGCGGCGCCTTGAAAAGCGTCAGCGACGTCAACTTCGTCTGGAGCAGTTATTAGAGGCAGAGCAGCGCAAGCTTCAGGAGCTTGAACTAGGTGCTCGTGAGCAGGATGCAGTGCTATTAGATACACCCGCTACGATGTAGGAGCAACACGTAAGTGTTGAACTCGTGTTGGTTTCTGGTTTTTGTATCTGAGATGCAAAATTCTTCTTGACAGCAGCAAAAATTCACAGTATCTATTCGTCGACCTGGGTATCGATGCTATCCCATAACGGATGTGTTGGTGGCTTCACTCCAGCGCGTATCAGCATTCGCACAGCTGTCTTTTCGATGCGTTGCAGCTGTCGGTTCACAACACTTTCACTCTCGGGCGTGAACTGTTCCGTTCGAATCGTTAGTATCCCTGCACGATATTAGGAAGCAAAGAGTCACACCCTTGTCAATCACCGATGTGTCTGTCATTTATAAATCTCACCATTAAGGTTGCCAAAGAGGACATCCGTCGAGTACCGGTCGCCAATCACCACAAGTGTTTGCGGATCTACTTCACCAAAGTGTTTCTTCACGAATGCAATGCCTCCTGGTTTCTGCGATATTAAATATTTACATGTGAGCCCCACAGTAGTTGTAACCCAACAATTCAGCGCAAAAAAGAAGAATACCTTTTGATTGTGACGAAGTACCGCAACTTGTAGCTCCTCTTCTATCTTCTTGGCTTCTATTCCGTCTTTGTCGTCCGTTGATCCGGCCGAGTTGGAGAAAATTACGATGCTAGAGTCTCCGAAAACACGGCGACATTCAGCCAGAGACGGCGCCAAATGCGGAGAAATCTCCAGTTTGTGGGGCACAGTTAATGTATTATCCTTGTCAAAGATAACACAACGGAACCCGCGGTCTCGCAGTGTCTGGAACGGCACCTCCGTCACATCTGAAACGCAGGGAGGACAGATGCACGTGAAGAGCATCAACGTAAGTGATTTATTCTGTAATGAACATTAAAACTCTGCCCACAGAAATAAAAGTAATGGCGTTGATTACCTTTCACAGAGAGCTGCGGCAGCAAAAGCTGCGGTTGGCGCGTTAGCACGCGGCAGAACTCCACAACGCCACCAAGATTGAGGCCTTTCATGCCGCTAATACTAGTAACAATGGTTCACATTTCCATCAATCAATGCTAACTTTGAACAGCTTTTTCAACCAATCCAAACGCGATTCGGTTTCAGCAGCCAGTGACGAGCTCAAAAACACTTTGGCGTCGCCGACACTAAGCTTTTGGTGTGCTTGCTCCCTGCGCTGACGGCCTCGCAGTGCAGGACTACTCGGATAGGCTCACCATATATGCTCGCTGCCCTTTCTACCCTGTAACTCTTTAAAATGGCCGAAAACCAGCAAGAAACGCACATCCATGACGAGGAGGACAAAGCCGAGAACTCGAGCTCCGACGATGACTCCTCCTCCTCCAGCTCGGGCTCCTCCTCCTCCTCTTCATCATCTGATTCAGAATCAGAAGACGAAGCGGAGACCGGGAATGCCAATGCAGACGCCAACTCGACAACCACACACGCCACTCCACCAAGCGGCCGCTCGGGCCACGGCCACCCCAGCAACTCATCGGGACCGGCACTGTCTGCCCCTCGGCCCCATGGGATGGCATCCAATACAGAGACGTTAAATGTTAATTCGACGCGAGCAGCGGCCAGGTTTAAAGCTGCAGAGCCAGAGGCGATGATGGCTCTGGGCACCCGCAAGCGAGACCGACGTACCATTGAGGAGATCCAGAGGGACCTTAGGGACAAGAGGAAGAAACCTCTACGTACACCAGCAGCGAAGTCGAGCCCCCCGCCTCCTCGAGGTTCGCCAGTGCGGTCTCCGGAAGCTGAAGCGGTCGTCAACAGTGGAGCCCCGATGGCTGTTGGAGGCCCTCTAGGTACCTTTCGAACAGCAGGACGACTGCCAGCAAAGAGGAAACCAAAGTCGGCTCATGACAGATTGGCTATGAAGCTTAACGGACGAAAAACGTCAAGTGCAAAGGCGAAAAAGTCGACCAACTCGACTGCTGGAAGCGGAACAGTGACTCCCGTGTCAGTGATGACGAACAAAACGGTGACAAAACCCATGACAGCCGCAAGTTCGATGGGTATGGCAACAGGGAACAGTAGCAGCAGTGAGCATGGAGGTGACGCTGGAGGTGACGGGTACAGTAGCAGTGTTAGCAGGTCATCAACTCCTGCGGTAGACGGCAAAGTGGTGCGTGCGATGCTGCGTGCGATGCTTCGCTACGGAGACCTGACCGACGTGGATCTTTACCCGACAGCTGCCAATTTCGCTGACGAGTACAAGATGCCTAACTTCATCGAGCGCGCGAACCTTCAGACTACCACCAAGATCTCCATCGATCGTCTGCAAACTCTTGCCAACGAAGTTGCTCAGAAAGCGAAGCAGGCGGTCGAGGCACGGCCACCGCACGACAGCATAAAGATCGCCGAGGTTGAGGCGAAATCGTCACAGATTATCGAGCGCCTTTACGAAAATCTAAAACTCCGCGTCGCTGTTCAACGCGCCCTGCGTACTGCTAGATGCACTTCGGGTAATGCCCTAGCGAATGCTCAAGGCGCCTATGTATTAGTGGCAAAACAGAGTGATCTCTCAGTTCTGGGTGTCAATACGCGAGATTTGCCTGGCTGGACCTGGGCTGAAAAAGAGCATGACTGGTCACAACGTAAAGATGCAGCGCTGCTTCTCGGTGTCTACGTACACGGGTTTGGAGGCTGGGAAGATATTCTAAACGATGATTTACTTCAATTCCAGGGACAGCGCGCTTTAAAAGGCGAGCGTCTGAAGAAACGTGCGGAGAACTTGCTGAAGCGATTGCCCCCTCCTGATCTTGATGCTGGCGACCCGCGCATTGTGCAACAAGCGAGCTCACTTAGCTCGTCCGGGGGTAATTCGAACCAATCGTTAGGGGCGCAATTCAGTGCTATTATCCACAGCGGGACCATTCCTGGGGTGACAGCATCAATTCCAGCTAACTCCGCAACAGCAGGGGGTCGAATGGCCCGTGCAGCTGAACGATTCGCTGCACGGCAACAGAATGGCGAAGATGTTGTGGGGCGACGTCCAATTGGGTCTAGCAATGGGACAGGGCCTTCTAATGGCCAGGCAACGGACTCAGGAAGACAACAGAGAACTCCTCCGATGAGATCTCCAGCTCAAGTCAGTGTGGTTGACAACGAACCCGAAGAGGGAGAAGTTGGCGGTGCCTCTCCAGCACAATCGACGTCGTCTCGACACAAGAGGAGATCGTCATCCGTGGAGGATGAAAACCAAACTTCGTCCCGTAAGAAGCATCGCAATAACAGCATTAAAAGTTCGAGCAAGAAAGAAAAACGGAAAAAAGAGCATCGACGCAGTGACCGTAGTGACACGAAGACCGATGAGACGTCTGCCGTGACAAATTCTGTTAGCGTGGCACCATTGCCGCTGCTGTCGACCGATGAATGCTACGAGAAGTGGAAACCTAACAAGAAGCTGCGCGAGATTCGACAAGTGCTGAAAAAGATGAAAATTATGGCCGAATGGTCTCGCAACCAAAAAGACGAGACTGTTGTTGAGAAGGTGTTCAAGTATGTGAGTACAATTGGCGAAGCGATCGATCGCATCGTCACACAGCACGAGGACAAGCCTGAAGACCATCGTCCAGATACGTCATCTCGCGAAGTTGACGAGCTCTGTACGTGTCTATGGACATACGCCGCTGGTTTCACTCCGTTCACACCACAGGGATTCGAGCGGCTCTATGATGATATTTGCGCGGATGGTGAAGCTCTTGTTGCAACTAAATCATAGCCTCACATTGCAGGAAGATACGTGCATAGATTCGGGGGAAAAAGTTTTAGCAAAAAAAATGAACGACATACACTCCTGACCTACACTCTTGACTTTGTGAAACGGCCACCCGGTCTGCACCGAGTAGTTGCAATCTGTTATCGAAAATGTTGCACGAGTTGCAGCCCCCGCCCACGCCGGAGGAGCTGGCGTTGAAGGAACAGGTTACACAGGTGCTGGCAAGTCAAGGTGTTCTTGCCAAACTAAAGGCAGAACTTCGTGCCGCGGTCTTCGAGGTTATGCACGAGCGCGAGGGATTCGTAAAAACAAACAACGCTCCAAAACTCGGCGACTTCCCGATGGAGATTCGGACTACGGCGTTATCTTTAATTGTTGAATGTATGCGATTTTTCCATTGGGAGCACGCGCTGCGGGTACTGCTTGCAGAGACCAACGCAGAAAATGTGCAGCAAGATGACGCATTGCTGGCAAAGAAGCTTGGACTAGAAAGCTCAGGATCCTCAAACAAGCCAACGCTTTTTCAGCTCATCGAGTCCAAGGTAGGAAGCCCAGACAAGGGTACAACGCTTGCTGCAACATTGATTTCTACGCACCATAATGATTTCGATGAAGAAGATGACGAAATTCGTCCGCCAACACATTCGTGGGAGCCAAAAACAAAAAATTTTGGCTCTGAAGAGAAGGATGTTTACCAATCCCCTACGATAGATATCAAACACACAGCCCCAGCAACGAAGGATGAAGCCAAAGTTGAAGATGCGGAAAGCAGCGTAGAGATTGAAGAGAGCATGATGGAAGAGGTTCCTAGTGGATCCGAACTGGAAGAATCGAACTTTACAAATTATGAAGATGATGGAAGCCAAGATCAAAATGCCAAAAGCACCAAACAAGCCACCACACTCAACCCGAAGCAACTACAAGAAGCTGAAAACCTCGATAAAGCTCTGAAAGAAAGTCACGAAAATGACAACAGCGACAATGGTTCTGAAGACATGTTACCAGTGGCAGCACCCCCTCCGGCACCGGCAAAATTGCCAACATTACCCCCGTTGGTTGCAGTACAGAGCAATGCTCTCGCTGAGGATACAGAGGATGAGTTTGATGCTGTTAGAAATGCTCTCGTTGAGGATGCAGAGGATGACTTTGATGCTGTAAGCAGTGCTCTCGCTGAGGAAACAGAGGATGACTTTGATGCTGTAAGCAATGCCCTCGCTGAGGATGCAGAGGATGACTTTGACGCTGTAAGCAATGCCCTCGCTGAGGATGCAGAGGATGACTTTGACGCTGTAAGCAATGCTCTCGCTGAGGATGCAAATGATGACTTTGATGCTGTAAGCAATGCTCTCGTTCAGGATGCAGAGGATGACTTTGATGCTGTAAGCTCTTTCATTGGGATAACTCCGTGTTTTTATTTTAATTTTAATCTGCATATTTTGACGTAGGAGGAGGAGGCTGAGCGATTAAGAAAGTTAGATGCTGCGTTGCGAGCCATGGAGGCTGAAGATGATACAGGTACACTTCAGCAACTGAAAGCGTCTTTGCAAATGGAATTGCAAGAGCAGGACAACCTTATGAGCAGTGGAGGCAAAGTGGAAGGCAGCGATGGCGAAGAGGAAACAAGGACGGGTTTTAAGGAGGAACAGGACGATGATGAAGGATACGGCAGCAGCGACTTCGAGGAGGACGAAGAAATTGCCAGGTAAGAAAAATGTATGCAGCTTTTTTCTCCCCTTGACGATACTCACAGGAAGGTGTTTGTACTGTTTCAGTAGTGATATTTCGGAGGAAATGGAATCCATGCCAGAGCTCTCGGACAAGGAGGACGAAAGTGACGACGGAGCAGCTGTGTCAGCAGCAGCAGAGCCGCCACAAGTGCTTCGAAATGATACCCGGGTTGACAGTGAAGATGCTTTGAACAGCTACGACTACATTGAAGACGTTGAAAAGGGTGGGTGGTGAAGCATTCAGCGAAGAACAGAGCAACAGGTAGAGTAGTTTTTCCACTCCAAACTGTATTCTAGTGGCCGCTGGCATCGTTTAGCCAGCCAAACATGCGTCTGTGAATCTACTTGCGCTTTCCTGAGCCCATCAGTTTGTTCAGCAGGTTTTGGTTATCGAAAGCCTCTGGGTGGATGAAGTAGTGACGGCCACGAGCCTGGAACGAGATCATCGGGTGCATCGCCTGTGTAGGAGGAGTGACACTGGACAGTCGGAACGAGTGCTGCTCCAGCTGAGCAAACAACGTCGTCGTCTCGACTGTCACAGTCGGGTCATCTTTTGTATCTGCAACGGACGCCTGATTAGGGCCAGCAGATGTATTTGCCAGCCACATCCGCATCACATACGGCTTGAACAGGTAGTGAAAGAGTGAGGTGGAGCCAAAACCGAACAGCATGATGGTGCCGCACATTGCCCACTGCAGAGCGAAGGTAACAACAAAATATAACCAGCGTCAGTACCGTGCCGGGAACTAAGGTTTACAGCCTTTTGACTATTGTCTACTAACCTTGCCGACAGAGGACGCGTCTTGCTCACTGAGCACACAGAGCACGGGCATTCCGATGGACGTGAGAGTGCAGCTGGTGACCGACACGGCTTTCATGAGGCGCACAGCGCGCGTCATGGGCGCCTGGTACACAAGATCTCCGACTAAATTCTCCCCATTTTGAAGTGGATTGTTTGCCTTATCCTCTCGAGCCTCGTCATCAGACTGAGACGAGCTGAAGTGCCGAATACAGAACTGTTTTTTAAGCTCAGCACTGCAACGGCTGCTGAAGTCAAACGATGCTCCTTGGATCACAGCTGTTTTGCTAGTACGAACGGCGGCCCGGGAAGCTGAGCGCAGAGAGGAAAGCTGCCTTGGGAACACCTCCACGAGAGGCCCTGCACGGCGTGATGTCCGCAGCATGAACATTGTGAATTCGTGGACTACGTCAACGCGATTAGTGACACACGTCACTATTGAAAGAGAAACCGGTTTACCGCGCAAATGACCTCAGTGAATCACTTGTGCCACAAGTTGTGGACCACCCGCGCCAAATTGCAAACCAGGCATTGGATGCCGTACAGCCAAACTTCTGTAGCTACGTGATTGTCGTGGTGCCAGCAACCGCCGAAGTTCATGCTCGGAGTCGGGTTGTCACCACATCCATTTTATGAGTCCGTCTTCGCGCGCTTTATGTGGCGGCAGCCACCATATGTTGTTTACTAAAGACAGCATTACTGTACAGTAAGTGCCAGTACACTGTATACATCGGCAGCCTTTTCATACATCGGCAGCCTTTTCCAAAGGCTCGTGTTAGAGTCACTAACCAGTTTGCATAGCCGGTCCATTGATCACCAACCAAGATGACCAATCACCACTAACCGGTTAGTTTTTCGTTAGTGGTTCGTAATTTAATCCTGCTAAGTACGTATTAAAAACCTTAGGTACGAAATAAAATAATTATGTACGATCTGATTTCTCTACGAATGAGCTGATTGTAGAGATTTTAGTGTGATGTTGTACGAATGTTGACTGAGTGTGGAGGCGACTTAGCGAAAATTTGTGTCTGCCATCGCTCATGAAATCCAAAGCAGCCGTGGCCACAAAGCGCAACTATGGGTATTCTGCAATCTATTTGTTATTTTAGTCCTGTCAAGTATGCCTGTCGTCGGCGGCTTTCGTCTCAACGTGAGATCGGGTTACGCAGATTCAGAGTGCCATGACTTAGCGTTTCGCGATTCCGGATCAACAAAGTAAAACGGCAATGTATTTTGTGCAGTTATGAATCGTTCATGGTTACCCTGCAGAACACTCCCTTGCTAGACAGAAAAAAATAGCGAAAGCGTAGATACTCGACTTGTTCGCTGGAAACCTTGGGAGCTGGGATACCCCGCACAGCACAATCAAAGAACAAGAGAGTTAAGGGACCGCACTATTTATATCTTCTTGTCGTGGGGCGCGTTGATGAATAGGATCAAGGGTCTCAGTGTATCCTCCAAAATACTTGTCCAAAATTTTGCTGATTTCCTTGTAGTTTGTCATCGTCTGCGCCGGGTCAAACATCGTTGCTTTCCTCTTCTCGTAATCCAGGACAACACCAGCCCAGTGCGATTCCAGATACATAGGAATGAGAACTAACCGGTTGGTAGTCTGACATGGCGAGTTGGCAATAACTTGTTGCTTCATGGATTCGTCATGCACTCTCGCATACAATGGATTCACCCCTCCAATACGACTTCTTCCGCTTTTGTCTTGGTCTTGATCGATAAGATGGCTCATAACAATTTTGAAGCACGAGTCATCCAGCCACTCAGATCTCCAAAAAAAGCTAGTTCATGTACTTGCACTTGTCCGAACCGTGTACTGACCAACTTTGTTACACTGATCGATTCTAGACGTGCGGCGCAAGCTTTCAAATCAACGGTGGTGCAGTTGTTTAGCGGGCTAGGTAGCGAATTCGAGTGAACTTTGAAACTCTGATCCATTCTGCAAGATCATGCACAGCAACCAGCTTCGGATATTCATCATGCCACATGAGCATCGCTTTCAGATCTTCCTCTACAAAAGTACCCATCTTCGAAATAGATA